ACAACAACAACCAACAACCAACAACCAACAACCAACAACCAACAACCAACAACCAACAACCAACAACCAACAACCAACAACCAACAACCAACAACCAACAACCACAACAACAACAACAACAACCACAACCACAACCACAACCACAACAACAACAACAACAAAAAAATACTACTACTACTACTACGACGACGACGACTACTTCTACTTCTACTTCTACTTCTACTTCTACTACTACTACTACTACTACTTCTACTTCTACTTCTACTTCTACTACTACGACTACGACTACTTCTACTACTACTACTACTTCTACTTCTACTACTACTACTACTACTTCTACTTCTACTACTACTACTACTACCACTACTACTACTACTACTACTACTACTAGTACTACTACTACTACTACTACTTCTACTACTACTTCTGCTTCTACTTCCACTTCTACTTCTACTTCTACTACTTACTACTTACTACAACCATGTACCAGACTAATGACCTTAATATATATATAGATGTTTATTTATATACAATTATATATATATATATCTATCTATCATTTTATATATATATATATTTAAATCTACATACATATAACTAAGAAATACATATGTATATACATATACATATATATATTCTCGGGATATAGTTTATTGTTTTTGTAGACATAACTTTGAATTGGGGGGCCACCTTGGCTTAGCGGTTGCATTTCAGGTAAAGAGGTGGCACTTTGTGGTGTTTCTGTTTTTCAGAGTGTATTGTCCCGTATTCAATGTTATTTTTCAGCTCATCTCCCGACCATTGTCTTGATCAGCTGCCGATCATTGTTCTCACTCTCTCCGGCCATTTCTAGATCACTTACACGGCAATTTGAGATACTTTTTTCAATGATATGAGGATGCATAGCGCTAGGTGCGAGACAACTAATTACCGCATGAGGGCTTTAGTTCCTTTGAAAGCTCTTTTTGTTTCCAGCAAATGGAATTGAATTGTCAGCTTCAATCTTGAGACGGTGCTGTTGAGTGTGTGGCATCATGCCACCGGCGGCTCAAGTGCTCAAATGCAGCAAATTCTTGAGATGCAACAAAGAAATACGAACCGCATTGTCAGGTATACAACTGATAAGAAAGAAACTATATGTTTGAATCAGGAAGACCATAGTTATGCCAGTGTCTCCGCGTTGAAAAATGTTATCAGCAAGTCAATATCCATCAATGCAAGCAAAACATTGCAAGGCCACGTTTGTTTTCAAAATGGAAGAGACGATTAAACTCCATGTCTCGTTGCCGAGTGGTCGGTCGGAAGTTGTTGCAGTGGGCCTGTCAGCGACCGTGTTGGACCTGAAAAGAGCTGCTCAGGAATCATTTGGACAGTGTTTTCTCAGGTTGGCTGCCGCTAACGGAGATCTTCTGGTTCAAAAAGATTCTCTGCAAACTTGTGGGCTCCAAAATGAGCAGTGTCTTAGTGCTTCGGTTCTGCAGCCGAGAATCACCTCAACGAGCTCAGCTGTTGTGTTGGAGGTGAATGTGTTGTTACATGGGGCGAGAAGCAGTCAGGTGCCGACAGCTCCGAATTCCAAGATGAGCTCAGAAATGTCCGACAGATATGCGGCATAGCCCATGCCTTTGCTGCCCTTTTAGAGGATGCTTCTGTCGTGACGTGGGGCAACCACATGCTGCTGTACGGGGGTCGCCCGTGCGAAGTCCCAGACGAGGTCCAAAACGTAAACAGCTTATTTGCTTCGCAAGATGCCTTTGCTGCCCTTTTGAACGATGGATATGTGGTGACGTGGGGCAGTCCAACAGATGGCGGCGACAGCTCCGGAGTTCAAAGTCAGCTCAAGAATGTTAAGAATATATGTGGGGCAGGGCATGCCTTTGCAGCCACTCTAGCCGATGGTTCCGTGGTGTCGTGGGGCAGTCCAGCATATGGATCGAGGCAACAGCTCTGAAGCCCAACGGCAGCTGCAGAGTGTTGAGCAGATTTGTGGCACCAATGGCGCATTTGCAGCAATTCTGGCAGACGGATCTGTCGTGACGTGGGGCGCAAGCAGCTTCGGTGGTAACAGCTCCAGCGTTAGACACCAGCTCAGACATGTGCGGCACATTTCCAGCACGGCTGGTGCTTTTGCTGCAACTTTGGTCGACCACACGGTGGTGCCATGGGGCCTCCCAGATTCAGGCGGTGACAGCACGGCAGTCCAAGCACAGCTCCGGAATGTTGAGCAGATTGCTAGCACACGCGATGCTTTTGCTGCCATTTTGGCTAATGGCAAAGTGGTGACCTGGGGCTCCCCGAAGTGTGGTGGTGACAGTTCTAGAGTCCAAGATCATCTCGAGGATGTGCAGCAGATTTTCGGCACAGGTGCTGGCACTGGGCACAACCAAGCTTCACAAGACCTTTTTTATTTGTTGGCTGGCCATGGTCTCCACCCTGAGTTCTGCGCAGCAATGCAAGCGTATTCGTTCCTTGCCACTGAAGTTCGCCGCCGCGCTCGCCCGTGGCCACAAAGAACCATCAGAGGCACTTGGTTGCATACTGTCACTTCCTGGCTGCAATCCCTTGGCTGGGATGAAGTTGGAGCCTTTCATTGGAGACATTCTGATATTCAGGTCGACATCCAATGGTCGCATCCACTCAGTCCTGCGGAAGGAGAAAAAGAAAAACATCACATTCGTGAAACTTGGAGACGGCTCTTGTTCGATCAATTCCTTGCCAGTTCCCGCCGAGATTCCCAAGCTGTTGGCAACCCTGCCTATGATGAAGCTTGGATTACACGTGCCAGAAAATTGTTTCAGGACGCAGACACGCACGGTCGTGCGGTCATGGTCGGTGCTGTTGTATCAGATGCCAGATATGACCGTATGAAGCGCCGTGAAATTGCACATGGTCAGTGGTGTCGTGATCCTGATGCCATCCCTGGATGGGTTCACCATGCTTGGGAATGCCCAGCTTTTGCTCAGGGGCGACCTCTGACTCCTGACAATGCTTTTCAGAAAATTCTAGGTTGGCCTGTTGGTCAATCCGCAGTTGACAGATCCGTGCTGGACCACTTGGCTCTTGTGAGGTCCCGTGTGTTGGATCAACGTTACAGAGGAACAGGCCTCTAGGGCCTCATACCTTGGTGTCAGTGTGCCACTCTTCGGGGTGTCGCCTGTGCGCCAATGCAATCTTTGATACGTTTGCTGCTTTGAAGGCAGATGGTAGCGTAGTGACGTGGGGCCATCCACGCCAAGGTGGTGACAGCTCCATAGTTCAATCTCAGCTTCAAAACGTTCGACAGATTTTCGGGGCACACTGCGCATTTGTGGCCATTTTGCAAAACGGAACTTTGGTGACCTGGGGAGATCCAGTCAGGGGCGGAGACTGTAGCCGAGTCCAACATCAAATTAGATACATCTAATCTGAGTGCCGAAACCATTGGAGAAAAGGATCGCAGTTGCGATGCGTTTGATTTGGATGAAGCAACCATATTGACCATGATGCTTTTCCACACTTGCACATTGGCATTGACATGCGGATTGAAGTACCAAACCACCCTGACGAATGCTAGTTGACCAGTCGTTCCGCACAATGCGATGGCGGAAGCTTCGAAAATAGGAAACCTATAGGACAGGTTGGCGGTTGTGAATCTAGAATGGCATACACCCTCTGAAACTTGGAATTGTCTTCCAACTACCTTCGTTACGTCTTCTATGATCTCCCATGAGCAGCAAGAACAACAACAATAACAAACACAACATCACATCACTCACACACACACATATCATCACATTACTCACACACACACACATATCATCACATTACTCACACACACAACATCACATCACACACACACATGCGCACAAACTCACCCACCTAAGTTTTAACATGTGGGGTTATCCGGTCCTATATTTTTTTTTCGCGCTGGCGCATTGATTCACTGGCTCTGGCTTCTCGCTGGCTCAAATTTTTCGCTGGTTCAGGCTTCTCATTGACTGATGGTTGAAATGGTGGTTTGGCGCGCTGTACTTTGGATATGTCGGAAGCTAGAGTTCCAAATTTCCTTCGATATCTTCGATAGTCGATTGGTACTTAATAGATTCCCAGTTGGAAACCTTATATCGACTGTGGTAGGTTAACTCTGTCAGTCACCAGGAAAAAGGCGGAGCTGGTTCGGTAGCCCCATCTGATCGGCAGCTTCTGACTCCGGAGCAGAGAGAGAGCAGCAACGCGAGATTCGCAAATGGAAGTTTTGGGAAGAGAAGGCCAGAAGGGAATGGAGTTTGTCGGCCGCTTTATTGACTTGACATTAATGCGAAACGCATGCTAAACAGAAACGTGCCGACCATCATTTGGAAAAGTAGAGGGTATGCATGATAAAGCTGTGCTGCTCGCCTAAAGATATCAAGTGTCCTTGCAGGCAGCCGAACGCAAGCGGAAAAGCGTGCATAGATGAATTGCCGGACAAAGCTGCCACAAATAGATGGCTGACGGGAAAAGACTCAAGCCTTTTGCGGTCACATTGCATTTATGATAGGGATGAATCTCGTTGTGAGAGCTAACTTGTTTTTTTGACTGTTTTTGTTTGAAGAGCTGATTAGCTAGGGTTTCATCAATGTGCTGTGCTGTTACAAGCGCCATGGTGGTTACAAAGAAATGCTATGCCTTCCAGATGTCTTAAACAGCAGTATCTTGGATGTGTTTCAAAATGATCCTTATCCGGGGCGTTTGTGTTTCGAAATGATCCTTATCCGTCTGTGTTTCAAAATGATCCTTATCCGGTGTTTCAAAATGATCCAGGTCCCGCACCCCAACAAAAAAGGTATTGCTGTGAAACATAGATACCCTCTGGTAATTAAACATGGCTTGCTGGAAAATCCTCGATTTATAGTTGATTTTCACCATTAAGACCTCCAGTCATATTGCGATGCAGCCATATTTTCCCATATTTCCCAAGTTTTTTCCCATACGTTCCCATGTAAAATTGGGATTTCCAGCCTCCAGCTGCGTGATCTAAGGATATCCGGTGCTGCTGCATCCTATGCTGCACCTGCAGCAGTGTTTGCAGTTGAAACTGCCGGGCTTAGACTTTTGGGAGCCTTGGAATTGGAGCTAAGAATGAAACATGGGAAAAAAACCTGGAGATGTTGAACGTATGGAAAGTACCCTTAGACCCTTGGGTTGGTAGAGTTTGGGGTGTCGGGTTGGTAAAAACCATGTAAGATTGCACATTTTTGGTACTTGTAGCAAGATTATGGAATTTTACAACCCACTAAGAGGGATCGCGACAAAATTGAGGATTTCAAGCACAGCAGTGATCATCTTCAGATTCTAGCCAGCAAGCATAGCGGCATAGCGAAAAACCAATGAGAAGAAAGGCGCCCAAATGATGGGAGCCTCAAAAATGATGGCATCTGTTGTTTGTTGATTCCTGGGGGAGGTCCACCTTGTAAGAGCCATGGAGAATCAGATGGGGAAGCCGCCTGAGGCGGATAGGGAGAATGATCCCTTGAAGCAAGTGCTTAGAATCTCCCCAGTGAGATGCTGAAACAGCAGATCATTATATCATATTAGATGTTATATCATTATATATCATTATATATCATTCTATATCATTATATATCATTATATACCATTATATATCAATATATATCATTATATATCATTATATATCATTATATATCATTATATTTCATTATATATTATTATATATCATTCTATATCATTCTATATCATTCTATATCATTCTATATCATTCTGTATCATTCTATATCATTATATCACTATATATCATTATATCATATTATATGTTATATCATTATATATCATTATATCATTATATCACTATATATCATTATATATCATCATACATCATTATATATCATTATATCATTAAATATCATTGTATATCATTATTTATAAATATATCATTATATATCATATTATATGTTATATCATGATATATCATTATATATCATTACATATCATTATATATCATTATATATCATTATATATCATTATATATCATTATATATCGTTATATATTATTGTATCACTATATATCATTATATCATATTATATGTTATATCATTATATATATATATATATATCATTAGACCACTATATATCATTATATATCATTATATCACTATATATCATGATCTCATTTTATATGTTATATCATTATATATCATTATACATATATATATATATCACTATCATTTCATCATATTATATTTTTTTAATCATCATATATCATTATATCATGATATATCATTATACCATTATATATCATTATATATCATTATATATCATTATATATCATTATATGTCATTATATATCATTATTTATCATTATATATCAGTATATCACTATATATCATTTTATCATATTATATATACATTAAAAATTATTTACTTTTCATTATATATAATTATATATCATTATTTATCATTATATATCATTATATATCATTATATATCATTATATATCATTATATATCATTATATATCATCGTATATCATTATACATCATTATATATCATGATATATCATTATATATCATTATATATCATTATATATCATTATATATCATTATATTTCATGATATATCATTATACGTTACATCATTATATACCATTATATCACTATATATATATATATCACTATATATCACTATATATCACTATATATCACTATATATCATTATATATCATTATATATCATTATATATCATTATATATCATGATATATCATTATATGATTATATATCATTATATTTCATGATATATCATTATATATCATTATATATCTATATATATCATTATATCATATTATATGTTATATCATTATCTATCATTATAGATCATCATAGATCATTATATATCGTTATATATTATTATATCACTATATATCATTATATCATATATATATATCATTATATCATATATATATAGCATTATATCATATTAATAATAATATTATATCATCATGTTAAAATTGAGTTAGTCTCTGGTAAATTGTTGAGCAAGCTGGAGAATTCTTGGTTTTGGTAAATCATCATCCACGATCATCTCCCTGGGGGTTTCACTATGGCGTTTTTTCGACTGTGAATTTACCAACCACTTATAGCAATCCCCGAAATTCAAAAACACGATAATAACCTATTATAACCTATTAAAGTTGGGGTATAATGTATAATACCACTTTTGGAACAAATAGAGGGACATCCACGAACATACCTATTGCAAGTAGAACATGTGCTATTCATAACTGTTTGATATATCTTTTGGCGGGGTTACACAAAAAACTTGATAAAATCAAGCCTCCAAGTAGTACCAAGTAGTACTATGATTTCAAAAGTACATAGATTCCATAGCTGGGAGTTGCATAGATAATAGATATTAGTTCTATAGTACTGATTGTTACTGTAGTACTATTATTCTATAGTATCCTGTACTATCCTCGGCTGGGGTTCCATTCCAACGCTTGTTCACACCGAGGATAACAGCACGGAGCCGCTCGGCATATGGTGATGATGGGGAATGACATGGATAAATTTTGATGCTTCTCCGATGGGGAAGTGTATCTGGTTGGTGGTTTGGAACATGAATTTATTTTTCCATATATTGGGAATAATCATCCCAACTGACTTTCATATCTTTCAGAGGGGTTGAAACCACCAACCAGCTATCAATTTCATCAACATTCATAATCAATTTAATCATCAACCATGAAGGTGATTGATAATTTTTGATGAATTACCGCATGTAAGTATCAATTGTGGGAGTAATTCAACAAAGCATCAACAGATATGGAAGTGTACCAATTGGTGATTGATGATTTGTTCAAGGGTTATACTATCGAAGATGTTGGGGATTATCATGATCCATTGACATGTTCGATGAACTTTGACTTGAAGCCTCAAAATTTCAGTCCGGACTGAATTAATTTAAAACTGGTTTTAATATGTTTTAATCTGTTTTAACTGCCTTGGATGATTGAACTCAAGTGAACTCAAGTGGCGTCTATGCTTTGGGTCAGAAAATGACCGATGGCCGCGGCTGGGGGATGTAATTACCATGAAGACACACCCGGATTATCCCATAGTAATGATGGTGAATATGATGGGGAATTTGGATGAAATTGGGAGATTTTAAATCATATTTGATCTTCTAATCGCTTGAGGTCAGGATGGTTTTCTTTTTGAACATCTGATCGATGGGATTTCCCCCTCCAATTGGATAGTGGCCGTGTGGCCGTGGACAGTGCAATTTTCTTTGTCGCGTCCCCATATTGAAGTTGATCGGAGCAATTTACATACATAGTTGAATTTCCATCAAAGTTGGTAGCATTGTAATACTATATGGGTATGGGTCAATACCTACTAATACCATTTTTAGTGGGATGAACATCCATTTACCAGCTATTTTTGATGTTCACCAGGGGTACAAGGTTTTGACACACTGCCATATATTATATATATATTATTGTTATTATTATAATTATCATTCTTATTTTTGTTCTGATTGGCCAGAACTACTCGATGATTATGATGATTTGGCCACAGTGGTTGGTTACGTATCCTATGATTGACATCACACGATTTAGATTTATGTAGTACAGGCTAGGTTCCAATTACTTTCGGTTATATCACCCTTGCAACCACCATTTTGGGACAGATCCAGATATAAGTTTCTGTACGAACTTCCCAGGATTCCAAATGTAACACATACATTTCGATACAGTTTGTACCTATATTTAAAGAGATGTAAACATGTATACTGTATACAACAGATGCACGCATTACTTCATCATCAGCAACTATATCCCCATTTGTTATACTAATTCTGGTTAATTCAATTGTATAAATCAGCATTAATTAGCACATCCATCATTTGTAGGTGTGTGGTTCATGTTCCATGATACCATAATACCCAAAAACTATGTATCCCCATCCCATAACTTTGTTGCTTAGTAATTTGGTATTGGTTCATATTCTATATACCTTCTGGTAATTTAACATAGCCATGGTAAATCACCATTTTAATAGGTAAATCATCTATGAATAGTCCATTTTCCATAGCTATGTAAACGTTTACTGGAGGGTAACTGTGTGGTTCCCAGTATACCTACAATGTGAGGCCCCCGTTCGATAGCTAAGTTGGTTCAAAAAACTCCAATAACTTATGGTTTATGGTATTTATAACTATAGTAACTACTATAGTTACTGGGGCGAATCTAAACCAACAAACATATCTTGGGGGCCTCACATTGTATGATAGTAAGCCCTATATTTGATGGTAAAAACCATGGTTTCCGGTTAAGATTTTCCCGTGAAAACCAATCCAGTGACCAGTATACCTATGGCTTTTCCTCATAGCATCCCCCTGGCCATGGCTGTCACGCCTCGGCTGCGGAGCTAAAAAGGTCGGTGTCCTTCTGTCGGAAGATCACCTTCGACTTTTTCCTCATGGAGCGGTGACGAAATTTTTTCTCGGGTGTTTATGTGGTGACAGATCTCCAGGGTTTATCGCATTTCATGGGGGTTTATATGGGTTTATCATGGTTTATATGGGTTTATATGGGTTTATCATGGTTTATATGGGTTTATATGGGTTTATCATGGTTTATATGGGTTTATCATGGTTTATATGGGTTTATATGGGTTTATCATGGTTTATATGGGTTTATATGGGTTTATCATGGTTTATCATGGTTTATATGGGTTTATCATGGTTTATATGGGTTTATATGGGTTTATCATGGTTTATATGGGTTTATATGGGTTTATCATGGTTTATAGATATGTTTGGTCACCCGCAAAAAAGATATAGAAGAGTTCTAAAAGCCCACTAACTATACTGAGAAATCACTTTTCGGCATATTTTTGGGGATTGCTAACTACATGTGTTCCAATGAACGGGGGATTATAAAAACATGCCATGATGATGTATAGTTTTTGTATTTGGGTTTGTAGAAACAGCAGAATTTTTTGGGGATTTAAGCAGCAACTGACCCCCCGCAATATCCGGCGCTTTGTCATCAGCGGGCACAGCCGGCACCTTCACCTAACCAGCTATCGTCCCCTGGTTGACTGAGGTTATGCATGATTTCTTGCGGAGGGGCGACACCTGAATGTTGGTAACTTAGTAAAATATGTTGGATCCCCTTAACTGACTGAATGATAACACTTGTATTTAATAGGGGAGTGAATTGTTGTAATTCAAACACGTGGACATCCCCGAACTAGCCAAGGGCAACTTGTTCAAAAAGGAACATGATACATCAATGGAGGATGACCATGCCCTTCTATTGAATTTTGATCAATCAAAATACTGATTTCATGCGATTTGTTGAATTTTCTGGAAAATGTGGCTAATCATGTTTTTTTTACATGATAATGATTAGTATTAATGGTTGGTTGTGGTAAACCATGAAATGATGTAATGCTTTTGTTACTTATCATGAGGATCCAACCTCAGTAGGTCATGATCCTATCTTGGGATGCTGGGGCAATCCCTTATAGTTGACATGTTTTTTTTTTTCGGGATTTCAAACGGATTCATGGGCAATTTATTGAAAAAAAATACTTCACTTCGAATGATCCCCACCATGGCATTTATACATTTTCTTACTGGCAAATCTTCTGGCATTCTATCTGACATATCTTCTGGCATTCTATCTGGCATTCTATCTGGCATAGCTTCTGGCATATGTTCTGGCATTCTATCTGGCATATGTTCTGGCATATGTTCTGGCATATGTTCTGGCATATCTTCTGGCATTCTATCTGACATATCTTCTGGCATTCTATCTGGCATATCTTCTGTATGTTCTGGCATATCTTCTGGCATATCTTCTGGCATTCTATCTGGCAAATCTTCTGGCATTCTATCTGACATATCTTCTGGCATTCTATCTGGCATTCTATCTGGCATATCTTCTGGCATATGTTCTGGCATATCTTCTGGCATATCTTCTGGCATTCTATTTGGCATATCTTCTGGCATTCTATCTGACATATCTTCTGGCATTCTATCTGACATATCTTCTGGCATTCTATCTGGCATATCTTCTGGCATTCTATCTGGGCAGTTGAGGTATCTTCGGCAGTGCCTTCTGGCATTCTATCTGACATATCTTCTGGCATCTATCTGGAATCTGTCTTCTGCGTTCTGTTGAGGTTCCATATCTTCTGGCATTCTATCTGTGGCATTCTATCTGACATATCTTCTGGCATTCTATCTGGCATATCTTCTGGCATTCTATCTGGCAGTTGAGGTCCGGCAGTGCCCACTGCCATCTGGAAGTCGCGGTTGAGGTCCGGCAGTGCCCACTGGGATCTGGAGCTCGCGGTGGAGGTCTGGCAGTGCGCTGACTGGGATCTGGCGCTTGCGGTGGAGGTCCGGCTGTGCCCACTGGGATCTGGACTGCGAGGAGGAGGAGGACGAGGAGGAGGAAGAGGATGCAGAGAACAGCTCTGATAAAATCTAACAACCCTCACCTGGCAGGTGGGGAAAAACATGGTAAAACGTGTAAAACTCTTAAACCACGATGAAAAAAAAGTGTCATGGTAACAAACTTTGGTGTGTTTAAAGACAAATGTACCATGCAAACGGCAATTTTAGGAGTGGATTTTGCGTAGCCGATTTTCATACCCATACAGGAAAATATGTGAACCATATCGTGGAAAATGTGTTACATGGGTCAAGAGTTAGATTAGATACACATATGGAAGGGTGGTCATACCACCATTTACAGGATGGCCATTTTGGCAAGTTTGCTCTTGGGCTTCAACAGCCAGTGACAAGACCCTGGGAGGTCTTGGGCTTTCGGAATGGTGAAGCTCAAGCAAAGGACAGAGGTTACATGGGCTGCCGAGGTGGAGTTTTCATCATCGAGCGGCGCAGAAAGTTGTCCTCTGGAACTGGAAGCAGCTCATCGCGATCAACTGACAGTACACGCACCTCAATTTGTCAGGGACCTGATGGACTTGGCAACCAGGTATTTCCGATGTGTAGTACAAACAACATCAATCCAGTTTGTTATTTACCTATTGGTAAATCAATTTAGTAATGCATAAGCGGTGGCCTGATGTTTTGGTTTATCATTTTCAATGATATTTTCCATGTCCATTTGATGTATCGCATACCTCCATGAGCATGGGTATGTCTGAAAATGGGGGATGCCCCAAACATGCTTCAGGGAAAATGATCAAACATGAAATTTGAAGATAAAAAATGTCAAACCATGAATTGATGATACAGTATATACGTATATATATATACATAATTATATATAGATATTTGAGAGATACCAATGACAATTATGATACTTATGAAATATTATGATATATTATGATCCCATTTTCAGATTTGTCTCAGTCATTCCCATGAGATGATCCTCATGTGGTAACGTACGACACGGACAGGAGACGGGTCGGATCTTCCTCCGCGGCGAGCCGCCCTTTCGGGAAACCTGTGACATGCGCCTTGGTTGGAGCTGGGGAGAAACGGATGGGGGATGTTTTGGCACCATTTTTAGGCCAGGCCATTTTAAGAGTGGAAAATATATACCATCTGGTTATTTAACATAGCCATGGAAAATCACCATCTTTAATAGGTAAACCATCTATAAATGGGCCATTTTCCATGGCTATGTTAGTTTACCAGAGGGTATATATATATATATATTGATGATTCACTGGGAATCCATGAAAATACTTTTTTTTTCAAAGCTTCTGAGACATTTTTTCGGTGTATTAATATAACATAGCTGGCGATTGAGGTATGGATTTAACTATGATTTACTATCGTAACTGCTTACATGTGGATATGGAAACCACCAAAATATTCGTATCTACTACTGTAGATCAAACCTTGGTGAATGTTTAGTGATTGGGTGCAGATAGGATTTCAGGACCCTAAGATGGAGGTACTTTACCATATTATAACGCCACATAAATTGTGGGGATATTCCCTTCAGGTTAGGCATTACATAAACCTTACATAGGCCTTACATAGGTCAGTACCTCTGTCTCAATTCCCTGAAACATTCCCAGCATTGGTAGTTTCTTTTTCCCATACATATTCCCAGGATATTCCCATGAAACACGGTACCTTTGGGGTAGCCTTACCATTTGGGGGGTACCGCAGATCACATTCGGCCCCGAACGTTCGAAGGGTTCGTCCAGGTTGTGTCCGGATGCTTTGGGTGCTGTGCCCATCAACCAAGATCAATGGATCTTGTGCCCCGGCGATGCCCGCGGAGCCAGTGGTGACTGGGGGGAAGAACAGAGAAACAATGGGGGTTTAAACGGCAAACATGGTGACATGACCAACAAATGTGGAGAAACACACATTAAGACTTATTTGGATTATAGATATTATAGTGGTATACAATTCAATATTCAACCAACACAATTGCTTGTATTGGAATCGGGATCATGGTGATTTAGCCAGTTGCGAATTTGGATTTAGCCGTCCAAGTAGCGGAAAGAACGGTTTCAGAAGTTGCGGACTGGATCAGACTGGACAGCCAACCGACCCAGCTTTTTTGGAGGGTCACTGATCATTTGGGACTTCAGGTGGCTGTGCCTGGTGCTGCCATAAAATTTCGGAAAAATGAAAAAAGGGTAGCCTGAAATTGACCATTTATTTCCAGTTCTGAATCAAGACCCTGGACCCAGTGAACATCCAAATAGATGGTACAGTACCCTCTGGTAATTTAACATAGCTATTGAAAATGGTGATTTATAAAGGATTTTCCCATTAAAAATGGTGATTTTCCATAGTTACGTTAGTTTACCAGAGGGTAAATGGGATTTATGGATGTTCATCCCCCCTAATATATGAACCATCCCCATTTGGCATTTTATGATCCACGGTTGGTTCTGACTCAGGCGGTTTCTGGGCCAGGGGGCCAGAGATCAGTCATCCAAGTTGTTTAGCACAGCGGGCGTGCCTGAGGTACCTCAGAATTGTTGTATCACATTGACATGAATTTTCTATCCCGCAGTTTTGTCGGATACATCTTGATTTGCATTTCTGATATGCGCAGATTTCCTGTTTGAACGCCCTAAGGAGAACGTGCTTCGCAAAGAACGGGCAGGGCATAGCGCAGATCTTCGTATGGGGTGAACAACCTCTGCCAGATGCTTGGGAAAAGAATTAGTGTGGGAGACGTAAGCAGCAACAAACCATTTGGGGTCATTTTCAGCCACACTTTTGATTTTTGGTTTTGTGGTTTATGGTTTATGTTTATTTATTGTTTATGTGGTAAAGCCAATGTGATCAACCATCCCAGTAACCATCCACATGCGTTTTGTCATGTCACAGCTTCCCCGTTTTGGTAAGACCTGAAGTGTTAATAATCCCATAGCCCAAATTTATTATAGGCGATGATATGATATAGAAAAATCTTATACCATGTCACTATGTTCAGTTATTTCACATATTGTATACTCAGTTATTTTTTTTGCATAGGTGATATGTTCATATAGGTGGACCCTAAACATATCATATAGGTGAGTGAATCCAATCACTCATCGAATGCTGAAAGCCGTCATCCTCTGTGCTCGCGATGTGCTCGCGACGGATCAGGAAGTCATCGAGCTGAAGCAAATGGCAAAGGAGGAGGACGGCTGGGCGATCATTGAGTCATGTGAAAGGTGAATGGTAGGTTTAGGTTCTTACCTTGGCTGTTTTTGTGCCACCTATAAAAAAATGTATGTGGAGATTTATATGAATGATATTTAAATTATTTAAAATGGGAATGTGCGATATTTGAAAGGATATTTAAGATATTTGAATGGGTCAAGAGTTAGATATGGGATTTACCTCCATGTTTAATGCGCATATGGAGATTTAGTGAGTGAGATATAACCAGGCATTCTATGGGATATTATCCTCTCGCAATTTAATTTAGCCATGGTATAGCTGGCCCATTTATAGATGATTTACCTGTTAAACATGGTGGTTTTCCATAAGTACGTTAAATTGCTAGAGGGTACCTAATATAGCCAGTTGAGATATTTAGCTAGTGGGGTATTCTAAGAAGGGAACAACAGAATGGCACTTGGATTTAAGCAGCGAACATGTCCACCACACAAGCTACCTACGGATGTGCGGGACCCAGTTTCGATTACCGTAAGAACCGTAAGTACCACAGATTGATGGAATCTCCCCAGTTACTGGAATGTAGCATCTGGTTATGACATTCACAGTTCGCCATGGAAAGATCCACCATTTTCAGAACGGTAAACCATCTATTTCTATCTATGGGCCATCAAAATTCACCATGGCAAACTGTTAGTCATAACCAGAGGGTAGTAACCATCATTAGCCACTATCATTCACCATCATTCACCATCATTAACCATGAAAAAATCCCATTGTAATCCCATGATGATCCATAGATCAAGCATCATAACCAGGTCGGGTATGCGGGTCACCTGATGGATTGTCAATCCGGATCCGTGGGATGCAAGCACCAGTTTTGTGTACAGTTCACCATTCCAAAATGTTGTAAAAAATTAGACCCCTAGCCATCCCTAGCCATTTTTTTGGTTGGTTACATGGGTGATATATCTCACTAATATTCCATGAATATCCGATGAATGAATATCCAATTTCTATTAAAATCTATGTTCTTCTATTTTTGAACGAATATCCAATTTCTATTAAAATCTATGTTACAAACGAATATCCAAATTCTATTAACATCTATAGGTTGTTCTATTTTTGAACACATATCCAATTTCGATCAAAACCGATGTTCTTCCTTTTTAAAGAGAATATTCAGTTTCTATTCAAAGATGTCTTTCATAGCACTTCTTTGGAGACTTGTTGGGTACCATTGAAAGGGCCCCAAGGGGGCCGAAGAGTATCATTTTTTCATCGGCCCAGGAGGAGGAGCGTGAACGCATCCGTTTGGAGAAGCTGAAGCAGGTGGTGAAATCCACAGTGCGATTGATGAAGTGATTCATCGGAGGTACCTACCATATACATATCATATGTGTACATCTACCCTCTGGTAATCAAACGTGGCATTGGACAATCAGTGTTGATGATGTTGATGGATGAACAAACATGGTAATTTTAATTATATAGTTTTATAGATCAGCTTCAGTCATAAGTTCCATGGCCATTTCAGGAACCTAAATTGGAGGTACCTACCATATATAAGATAAGGCCTAAATTTCAGGGAATATCCCCTCAAAATATAGCCAGACATATGGTACGTTTACGTAGCTCCATTTTAGAATCCTGGAATTTCCCATTGAACCCGTGGCTTATTTTCCACTGCCCGCGAAACAGGAAGAGGAAGAAAACTTTGATCGGGATATCCCCAAGCAGGTCGAACCAATGGGAGGGGCGGCGGATCAACCTGGTAAGGAGGTTACTGCGGATTCTTCTGGGGTACTGTTAGATACTGTTAGGGTAATAGATCACCTATATTTGACTGAGGTTGTACTCTTACTAACTTGCATGAAGCATCACTTATATATGTTTCTTTTTCCTGCATTTGGGTCTGAAAGAAATCTTCTCCTTATAGATGCATTTCCAATCACAAGGACTGATGAGTCAACGCGCGACGAAGAACTCACACATGGGGTTCAAACCACTCATAGCGGTGTCATTCCCATCTTGGAATCCCAACCCCCAGGCCCCAACTATGTTGAGTGTGATGATATTCATAATATCATATCATATAATATCTCAATGATTATCTAAGAACAACATTTTAACAATGGGATTTTATGGATCGCGAAATAAACGGATCCAGTATGTTACACCAGGCTTTGTGGATCTTGGGAAGGGCTTCAGTGCCTTGCAACAATAAATCCAGAACAACATTCGACTGAGCTAGTGCCTCATAGTTATCTGCTGCACATAGGTGTGAATATGTACATACATCATGAATATTGCAAAAGCTGGGTCGTGGCGGGGGTACCATATATTTACAGATGATATATCTTTATATATATGTATACATACACATATATGATCATATATGGTGTCTATTTGCATGTTATTTCATTTTTCGAAGTCAGACATCATATGTGTGTGTAAATATAATTATATATATATATATATATTTATTTGCATGTGATTTCAAAGAAACATGTATAGTTCATGTCCTTTGTTTTTACCCGAGATCTCCAACCTTTCTATCCCCTTTCTGCCTTTCTATCCCCCATCTCCCGTCGCGTCGCAGGAGGCAAAGAAGAGCAGCAAGGACGAGGCCGGGCGCACGTCGTCCAAGGAAGACGTGAAGGTGGAAGACATGACCGATGCTTGGCGATGGTGGATGGCCTATGGTAGCTGAATGACAGCTATATGGGGTGTGTCTACAAATGTATGGTTAACAATGTATGGTTTATTAAAAAACCATTATAGAAATGGTTGATAATTGCTAATATATGGTTATAATAGGCTAATGGTTAACCATTATGAAATATGGCTAATTTATGGTTATTATATGGTTAATGTATGGTTAATAACTGCTAATATACGGTTAATATATGGCTAATAATGGGTTTCCATTGTCATGGGGGATCCCCAATAGCTGGATCGTCTATAATGGAAAATCCTATCAAAATGGATGATTTAGGAGTTTTAGGAAACCTCCATGTGTGTGTATATGTAATTATATATATATATTGAGTATGGCTAAACGGTTATAATGGCTTTAGTTCTTGATGTTTATTGATGGTTGTTGATGGTTGTTGATGGTTGTTGATGGTTATTTATTGTCATTCATGATTATTCAAAAGGTGGTTTAACCAACAATGCTGTGGGATTTACAAAGCTTCGGGAAATTTATTCGAAATGTCATCGGATATACTGGGATATTTTTAATGGTCAATGGGTATAACATGGTATAACCACAAGATATTGTGTCGTGGTCAAGTTACAGAGGTTATTTTTCCACGAAAGGGGATTGTCATCCTCCCATTCATAGGGATTTAGATTCCGATGATGGGATGGAATTGTCATAGCCGATATACCATGGCCATTGGCCATGGCACATATCATGGTTGTGGCAATGTTTTGGCCATTGCTTATTTTTTAAAAAAAGAATACGATGTCATGGTCATGAAAATAGGTCCATCAACATGCAGAAAAATGATTTAAGGCCTATTGGTGGGGTTGTTAATGGTTCAGTGGCCTGATTTTGCTGGGAAAAATATAGGCTTTTCCACCATGAAATAGAGATGTCGGGATGAATTCACCATTTCACCGACCATGAAACAATGGGCATTTCATATGTCAAAGATCCCCGCGAAAAAAATTGGTTCCCATAGGATCCATGTATGGTATATATATCCTAACATAAAGGGGGTATATTGATGGGATCCATGTTACCATATACAGCATACATGGATCCTATGGGGTTTGGTAGTTGCAACTCTTAAAACCCCCTGGATCGGGCCCCAACTAGCCCTTTGGATCGATGTTCATCCCGAATTGGATCAAGCAGAGGATCATCCAAGCAGACTTCGCGAACAGAAATGCTGGTCCTGGGTCGTTTTTTTACTAAAATGCTAGTACCCTCTGGTAAACGTTTGCATAGCTATTGAAAATGGCCCATTTATAGTTGATTTACCCATCATAAATGGTGATTTTCCATAGCTATGTTAGTTTACCAGAGGGTATCATTCATGGTGTTTTTGTTACAATTTCAAGGAACAAAATCAGTAAGATATAGTAAGATAGGCGTAAGATATCGTTTCTGTCTAAGCTTTCCTGGCAATTTTACAGGAAAACCGCTGTGAACTGGAGGAATAACCCACAATTATCCAGAGATTTTACTATCCTTACTGATCTTAGATCATAACTTGTCATCTTACTAGAACTAGGTGATACTTGAATTCATGGATAGTCCAGTTTACCGGAACATATCCTTACTATTCCTTACTTATCACTGGCTTATCCTTAGTTACTATACAATTTTTCCTCCAATTCTGCTCATTCGTCTACTTCTACGAAAGTAATTACTACATATTACAGCTATAATTCTGCACTAGGTTCAAAATTCCTAACTTTTACTTTACTACCCTCTGATAATCAAACACGGCAATGGCACATCCTCTATTCATAGGTGAGTTTCCATTCAAACCTCCATTTGGCAGGGCGAGTTCCCAGCCAGCCATGTTTTATGGCACCGGAGACCCACCATTTTTAAGCATTATATAACTATCAGGATTACCCATCATTGCCCATTTATTAAGCATTGCTAGCCATCGTTATTTCAACCGCTATGGTCAGTTAATGTCTAACCACTCCTAACCATTATTACCTTTTTTTTTGCCAGCGCTAACCGCTATGAACAACTGGAGTTAGAATGGTTAAGGCTTCCAGTTGTTTCCCTCCGTCGGTGGACACCCAGGAAGAGGATGCGCGAAAGCACCGTCAGCTCCAGGCGATGGAAAAGGCCAAGCGTCGCTTGGCACTTCGATGGAATCCCGGGGTCCAAAAAACATGAAAGAAATGGGAGGAAAAAGCAGTGAACCATAGAAAACCATAGAAAATCCAGAAAGAATTGTAACTTGGCATTTTTTGTTGAACACATCATTTCTAGTTTTTGTGTTGATGTGTCCCAGGTTTTTGGGTGCCAAAGTTGGTTTAGGAGCTGATTCGCTGTTATTGGTAGGTCTAAGGAGATATGGTCAATGGGGATCGTAAGCCAACAGCTGGGGATTACAACGTTGTTTCGTCGGGATCCACGGCTGATTTCCCAAGGGGAAATCCACCAGAAATGGGGAATTGAGAATGTTTATAATGTTTTATATTGTTTGATCATGTTTTACAGTGTCTTATAATGTTTCATGTTTTACAATGTCTTATCATCTTACTGGTGCTTAGCAGGGAATTTTCGGGAATGATCCACTGGCTAACTATCAATAATCATCCCAGCAACCCCCATTCCCATCCATTCCCTACGTTTAGCACCAGTAAGTCATGTTATAATTTTTTTGGATGGTTTCCTTAAGCAAATCCAAGTCATTGTAGACCCCATTGAAATAGCTAGTTGATGGGCCGGATCTCCCTTTTCGACGACTTCGAGTGATCCATGGACATGACATGATTCGTGGCTTTATAGTGCTCTAGAAATAGCAACCTCACATAAACAGATATGCGTTGAACAGTAAAATCCACCATTCAAAATACATAATTGTCGTTTATGTTATGCCTATATCTTTTCTGGGGAATTTAATTCCGTCATAATCTACTGATGGCGTCATCGTTTTTTGCGGTTCCGAACACCGTTGTTTCTGCAGGCAGCCGGTGGTTTCTTTCGGTAACTTCAGGTGAAGCGGATGCCAAGAAGGATCGCAGCATGACGCAGACGGACTTGGAGACTTGGTCCTGGAAGCCGGAAGTGGGGAGATTTCCGTGGGAATCCAATGGGAATCTGGGAATCTGGGAATCCGGTTGGTGCTTTGGAAGATGTTTTTTTCCAAAGCACCTAATATTGGAAACCTCCATATATCATCATATTATCCATGATTTTCCCATAGTGTTCATCTGGTTGGTGGTTTGGAACATTTCTTTTTTCCATATGTCTGGGTAAATTATAATGACCTCACTGCGACCGAACCCTGGAAATCATGGTTAGGATTCGGGAATCATCCCCAAATGGCCTTATTTCAGGTTAGTGAATTATTATAATTTACCCAGATATATTGGGATTAATGATCCCAATTGACTAATATTTTTCAGAGGGGTAGGTATACCACCAACCAGGAATGATATGGGAATACTTGAGATAAATGGCGTATTTCACTTTTTTCTTTTTTTGGATGAAGATTGAGATTGGGAGATACTGAGATACTTGCATCAACAACCAGGATTAAAAACTATTTCATGAGATTTACAGTAGTGGTCCTTATCAGTACTTGTAGTGGAATAATCATGGGAAAAAGGGTATGGGATGAATTCATACCGAGAATATCTCATAGTATGGGAATCAATGAGATGGACATACCACGAAAGACTTCTATGAAATCTGGACACCAAATAGTGGGGAGATTAAGCCAATGTGGGAATTAAGATTGAAATGGAGCTATCCCAATGATTCACATTAGTTGTTAATCTAGTCCAACTTAATCCCATTAGTTATGGGAATTAGCCGATAGATTTTCACAACTCATGGGGCCCAGGTGAGTCCACATGATATTCATGGTGATCTCCCCATTTTTTTGAGGGAATCTCTGGGGAAACTGAGGAGCAGGCATAGTGACTTAGTGGGCTTACAACAGCGCTGGACATAGAAATGGAATATAAACTTAAACCAATTCGGGAAAGAATGTTAAAAATGGTGATATTTCCTGGGGATAGAAAGGGGATATGTCCACAACATCGATTTCCAGTGGATTTCATGGGATAATAAAAGCAAACCAACAATGGCCAGCTGGGATTTCACCAATACATAATGGAGGCAATTTTTAATGAGCAAAAATGGTGATCTACCCTTTGGACATCAAAGATGGCCAGCTGGAAAATCCACTATTTTTGTTGTTCGAAGTCTTTCCCAGCTACAAACCTCCATTTAGTTCGAGGATTTTCCAGCTACGTTCGAGTACCGGAGGGTACCCAGCAGAAATGTGATAAAACTTGGACCCACACCTGGGCACGGTGGGTTAGCCAAGCGTCTCACAAGCCAGGACTTACGCCAGGAATTCTACCAGTTGGAGTGGGTCTTAGAGATGGGCTATCAACAAACCACTAGATAAGTGGGATAGTTCGATAGTTGAAGTGGGGGTGATATATTGATGGGCTTAGCCTAGTTAGATAAGTTTTCTGTGGGTTTATAACTAGACTAAATGTTGGATTTACGGCGCATGGTTATAACTGAAAAAAAATCCGAGAATCCGATTCCCGGGGATGTCCTGGGGGAATATCAAGGATAAATTAAAAGCCCCAGATTGACAACAGGGGGGTCCACAAGACAGTGAATATTCCAATTGCTAGTAGAAAATTAGATCATTATAGTGGGAATGATCCCCACTTTGAGAGTAAGACTTTAGTAAGCCTGGGTTGAGTGGAACGGATATCAGCTATCAGGTTTTTGTTCGCTGTTGCAATCCATACTTTCACTTCCTTAGCCATTTCACCACTAGTTTTGTTTGGTTGAATCCAGATTTTTATGTGTTCGATCATGTCTGCTCATTTTGTCTGACAGAATCACAATTCCCAGACCGAAAACTCCAACTTGTGACAAACCCAAGGTCCAATAGTCCAATTGATCAAATTTCATCCGTTCTTCCCACATTTTTCCAGGCTTAACTCCAGATTTCCCAGAATTTTCATCTCCCAACCGGTCCCAAGCTCCCTTGAACCGTGGCCAACCCCCAGGGTTCCCCACCGGCTTCCCGGGCGACCGCCTTGACGCCCCAGGACATGAGCGCCTTGACGCGCACGGCGGCCACCATGGACGAGGAGTTCTCGGCGCCGGTGGATCTGCTGCCACCGGCCTGGATGAAGCATTGCACCATTGCGCCCGCGCAACAGATGCCTGGAAAAAATATGGGTGGGTCTGAAAATAGTGTACCCCTAAACCCAATGGTTAATGATCATTATCCCTATTAAATGGCTATAATTGGGAATATACCCTATTTTCAGACAAACCCATATGGACGAATAAAATGGATATATATATTTGGGGGATGTTGTTTCTCTTATTATATAGTTATTGTTATAAGAATGATAATGATCATGATTGTCGTTATTGTCACTAGTGTTATTATTATGATTATTATCATTGTGGTTGTTATGATGATTATTATTTATCTAATTAATCATATGTGATAATGATCATGATTAATGTATGTATATATATATATAGGTAATCACCAGATAGAATTATTATAGTTAATGTGTATGTACACGTTGTAATACAATATTACCGATAATGATGGCATCTTTATGCCTGGCACTGGAGATGGACGAGGGGTGATAGGGATTCCAATATACTGGGAGGATCATGGAAAAGAGTAAGCAATGGCAACAACAATAGGAACAGCCAAACTAGTTCAAATGGCAAACATCATGGGATGGTAATAAGCTTCACCAAGTTCGGATGGGATTGGGTTTTCCACTGAAGAGTATAGTGATGTTGATTCTAATATCCCTAGTAGCAACACGCATAATTCTGATGGTAGTGATGGGCTGATGGTGTGTGTGTTTTTTTTGGTTTACTCAGCGACCATTTTGTTTGTTGGGATTGTGGATAGTTATTCTCTTGGATTATCAATTATCACGAACAAGTAATATATAGTTGTTGATTATTTGTTGAAGGGGTTGTTGGTTTAGTGGGAATTCTTGGTCTTTGACCACTTTGACCAACCGAAATAGGGGGTTGCAATCAGCAAAAAGGGTGATTCTTATGTGAAAATATAGGAACATCATGCTTCTTCTCACCAGCTACAAACCATTGGAAGCTGGGGGTAGAATGGGGATTTAACCAGTAATGATGGGATAATCATGGGAATATATAGTATCGGCAGGATATAAGGGGATGATCATGGGGATATATGAGTCACACTCGTGCCGTGCCATGCAGTCCAGTGGAAGGCCTCACACCGCTTGGTAATCTGGCATCATATATGTATATATATATAAACGAATTTTCACGACTTGTTGAGGTTATTTTTCAACATCTCAGGCTTAGTACCCGGTGGAACCTCCAAGAATCAACAACAACTGGGTCCCTCTCATCCCAGATCCCCCTTTATCCCCTTTATATTTCCTTATATATTTTTGGGGCATATGGGGCATATATTAGATGTAATTTCAACATGGTTTCCACTGGTCAAAATCCACTGACTGTACCCATCGAGTATACCCCCAAATAATCCACCTTTTGACAAGCCTATAAATGCAATTCCCAAGGGAACCAGCAGGAGATTCCATATTTTAGGCTAGAAGACTACTTTCCTCTAGAAATTCTGCGATTCTCAAGGTCTATGTGGTTAATGTAAATGTAGAAAGAACCTCACGAAAACTATTTATATACGAAAAACACTAACAGTACGTGATTCTTCATTTACAAAAAGCGAGAAACAGAGGTAACTTCCCATTAAATCCCAGAAAAAACTAGAGAATTTCCCATGATTTTCCCAAGGAAATCATAGACTTGGCTTTTCTTCTGAGGAAGGGATCGGATCCGCCGCTGCCAATGGTGATGAAGCAACCGGCCAAGTTGATCTATCGGTGCCTCAGCAACCCTTCAGGTGATGATTTTATGGGAATGGTGATGTCAACGGAAATTTTCATGGTATAAATGGACATTTAATAGATATTTGTTGGTTATTTCATGGATATCTAATGGTCATTTGATGGATATTTGATGGATATTAATAGTTACTTAATGGACATGTTCATGGTTATTTTTGATGAGATTTATATATTATACATTAATATAAATTAATGGTTATGTTACTGGTGATTTAATGGGGATTTAACGGGATTTATTGGACATTAGTGGTGATGTTAATGGTTGTTTAATGGGATGCAATGGAATGTAATTATCGTAATTTAGCGAGAATACTCTAATTTTCTGGGCAAAACATGGTCAATAATTCCTATATACTGAGGATAATGGGGATATAATAGGGACAACCATCGCAACAATAATTTTGCTCCTGAAGTCATTTCAATCCACAATTTTTGTAGGCAAAAACCTCAAAAACTATATTCTACTCAATGCCCTGAAGGAATCAGCTGTTACCAGATTTTCTTTGAAGGAACATGCGCAGAAAACCTCATGTCTGCAGATCTTTCCCCTAAACTAGCCCAATGACATCGGACATATGTTATTTCCGTAAAAAAATCTTCACCAGATATCTTAAATCATCTTCAACATATATCTTAACAAAAAAACATCTTTAACATCTGGTAGTTGGTGAAACATCCACCAGCTTTTCACAAAGCTGTCACATCTCAAGCAGCGAGGCAGACGCAGGAGTCGGATCGGCGGCGCCTGGCGCGAGCCAAGAAAGGCAAGGACGAGGCGAGCAGAAACCGTTCTCGATGTGGGTTTTGTAAAGGGTTTTTAAGCAGCAGAATATGGTTAGTCGTGTTGATGATATGGAGATATGGATATGGATATGCTTAAGAATGTTGATGGGTTTGTTTACTGGACTTTTAACCACCAACATATGGAACTAAAGGGACAAAACAAGAAAAGCACATCAAAGCTAACCGTATAAGGTTGATGTTTTTGTTTTTGTTTAACAGAAAAATTGTTTTAAGCAGCAAAATGATATAAATGCTTAATGTTGGATAAGGTTAATAACGTTGATTGTATGGCTATGGTTGATAATGTTGATTATATATATATATATGTTTAATGGGCTTTTAAGCAATAAACTATGGATATCTACATATAGTTGATAAATGATGAAAACGCTATGATATTTGATGATATTTGGTGATTTTACCAGCATATGCATTCTGGGTCAACCAACTGGATGGGTAGTTGCTGATCCTTTAACCTTTTGCTGTAGAAATATCTACTAACCAGCCAACAATTTATTTTTAACATGCTATCTAAGATTGGCAATGCATATATTTGTTTTAATCATGAAACATGGAGAGATCGATGATAACATCTGATAACTGATGACTAGTTGACTGGTTGATGATTGATGAAGTAATTGCTATGGGGCTGAAACATGATGAAACCATCAAATTTGATTCTAGAGGCTTTAACCATCAACAGTATGCAGATATAAGCGATAAATGATGCTTGATTAGTTCTTGAACCTTGAGGATTGTACTACCCTACCCGGTTTGTTGGGGATTGTCAATTATGACCGATCAAATTTGGGTTATGGGCTCTTCGATGGACCAAAACCAAACCATTGCTTTCTGATGACATCCGTTGTCTGGCAGGAAGCGGAGGAGGACGAAAATCCGAATGAAGAACCTCGCCAAAACAATCGGCGGTCTCGACCGCCCCGAAAAGTCATACAATGACAATGGGGATTTGATGGGGATAAAGTGGAAAAATCATGAGAACACAATAATACTTCAGATTTTATATTGTATGTGTATCCTTCAATTTTTGCTGTTGATTTGGCCACTTTTGTTTGGTTATTCTGGTTATGTATGGAAGTTCCTTTGGCAAGCAAAAAGGGCAGGGCTCGAAAATCAAGATGGGTTTGTCTAAAAAATGGAATATTGCAGAATTCAAGGATTATTTTCTACTATCATGTTCCCGAACACAATTTCTGGAGGGTTTACCCAATTTTCGGACCAATCGTTTCTTGTGACTTGTGTTTTTTCGGGTTAGATGACCAGAGTCAGGTAAAAAGACACATTTTTTTCATGGTGAAGTGAGTTCAATTTTTGCACTGTTCATTTTAGCCCTACTGGTTGATGATTCTATGGGGTTATACATGGTTATACTATCCAATATTAATTGCGGCTTACCATGGGAAATCCCAGAAAGGGCCATGAAAAAGGGTTTTGAAGAGTGCTGAAAAAATTGCTGGTGAAATGCACAAATTTTCCAGGTTAGACCCTCTTTTCATCGATTAAATGATGTTTAAATCTGATTGGTATCCCCAGTAAGTCTCAACACAGATCTTAGTGAAACCATCGTTTCTCCACATTTGTTCCTTGTTCAACCTGCGGTTCTTCGGAGTCGAATCCAGTTTTCTCTGAGGATGAGAGCCCAGATGCATCCTGAAGATCCTGAAGGTTAGTAATCCACTAAATTCAATATGGCTTGGTGTAAATCCTATACCTAATTGGGGATGATACGAATATGACGACTTATATGTATATATATATACATAGATAGTTTTATACATATGTATGCTTTAATAGTAATGCAGATACACATAGAGTAGCTTCTAGAGAAATGCTATAATGAAGACACATGCTCACAGATATTGTATATATATATATACAATATATATATACACATAGATATGACTGATACAAATGGAAACACGATACTTCCAGATGGCTTCACCCTGTTTCACCTCGGGGCCGCGCCCACAGTGTACAGTGACGCAGTAACCGGGCCCCCAAGGTTCGTTGTTTCACCCGCCGAAATTCGTGACGGACGTGGGGTGAAGTGAAAAGCGGGGTCTGTGAAATTTGTGAGCTTATCCAAAATTGGGATGTACATTCCGCTCGAGCATACCCCAAACATGTCCATTCCAAGTGGAAACATGCATATAAACTAAAGTATACCTATGTATACTGTAAGTAGTAAATCCAAGATCAGCTTAAGGTACAATTCATGGGAAAACATTCATTTTCTTCGTTATGTGCCATGACCAGCATTTTAATTACACAATAACCCCAGTGTTCTTAATTAATGTACCCTCTTTGTTTGTGCCAACCGCCACAAACAAAGATCGTTTCCATTGTTTTGGATCTGCTTAGATGTCTCTATATATATAATATATATGTATATACACATGTAGACAGTATATGAACACATGTTATTCCATATCCTTACACACATCTATAGTTTCACCCAATCATATCCACGCATATACATATATATATAATTATATATACAATTACATTACATATCCTCACCTATTAGAATCTAATTGTAGATAGATAGATGGATGGATGGATGGATGGATGGATAGATGGATAGACAGACAGACAGACAGACAGACAGACAGGTAGATAGATAGATAGATAGTATTCACATGCACATATATTATCAATTTGTCAGGGTTTTCAAACATACATGTTTAATTTATACACATTATTTATACATTTCATATAATTTTATCACTCTTTATATCATTAATATAGTATAAATTCATCAAATAATCAATGTATGCCAATTTATCAATGCAAACATATAAGTTGTATAAGATTAATATACATATTCAATTAGTCACAACATATTTTGACTTAAAACACACATAAAAACACATCATATGTTGTGACATATTATTCACTGGTTGGTGGTCTTGAACATGAATTTTATTTTTCCATTCAGTTGGGAATGTCATCATCCCAACTGTTACTCACTCCATCATTTTTCAGAGGGGTAGGTAGGTCAACCACCAACCAGACTAGGATTGTAAAATATTGTAAACCCATTGACCAACTATAGATTATAAACCATTATTAACCAACTATTGTAAACCCATCAACCAACTATAGATTATAGCTATCATAACTATAATATGAACATTGTAAAATATTGTAGCCCCAAGCCATTAAACCATTATATATATATATAGAGCTATCATAACTCATATAGTTGGCATTCAGTTGGTTAAGCCCCGTGAAAAATCCCGAAAAATCCAACGCCGCTGACGCCGTTCAGGCCTGGAGGCTACACATCTTGCAGCAACGCAGCCCAGAACAAAAGGAGGCGCTTCGGTTCCGCCGCGTGGCGATGGATGTGTTTTTTTTTCCGAAAAACCCGTGGTTGCGAGGCTGTACGAATACTTATACAAAGTCATGGATGACCATGACTTAGATGATTTGGGGACAAAACGGAAAGGCCCTTTTTTGTGGGATCTGAATGGGATTTAGATGTTTTTTTTTTGTGGAAATGTTCATGCACAATGTGCAACCCCATAGTTTAGATAGCTAAGTTGGTTTACGACCTCCACAAAAAGTATAGATATATCTATCATAAACCCAACAGTTTTTGGAGCTATGTTCACCAACCTTCGCCAACCAACTGGGGCAATGTTCCAAAGTGGCCTGGTTGCTGATGATTTTCTCAGGACATTACGACATACCAGGCTTAGCATTTATATCCATCCCTTGTGGTTCACCATATTTCACCAGACTACAACTGAATGATAATTGAACATTGATAACACTAATGAATTGGTGTGGATTACAGTAGATGATACTAATCTATACTAATCTATCAATCATACGATGGGATAATATGAATGTTTCACACAACTTCCTAGGATCTCTGTGGAAGCAATGGTTCATGATCATATCATATCATATCCCTAGGCAGGGCGACCAAAGAAGATCATTGATACATGGTTGACGCACTGATAGGGATCGCCTACCACGGTGGCCGGGATTCCCCAGATGGGATGACAACAGGTTCAGAACGGATGACTGCACTGCAGCAATTCCTCGGTTTTTTTTTGGGATAACAAAAACAGCACCAAAACAGTTTTGGCAACCACATTTAAGATACTCATTTTGTGGCCAAGACGTTCAAGACTCAGTGGCTTGAACATCTCTATAGATTTGCGACTAGTTTCCAGCAACTTTTGATACCAAAAACACAAATTCCATGGACCCCTCCTTCCCCCAACCTTGAGCCATGGCCAATGGCCATATATTGAATCCCCACCCGGGGGAGAGCCCGCATATATAACCTCAGGTTTCATTTCATGATTTTCCTTATCAAAATAGCCAGTTTGGGGTATACTCCATCACTGGGCAAACCCTGAAACTCACCGTCTTAGTTGCTTAAATATGGTTACCCTCTGGTTATGACTCATGACTCACGGTTTGCGAACTGGAAACTCACCATTTTCACATTCGGTAAGTCATAAAACGTTTATCATCTATAGCGAACTATTTTTGTTTGGGCCCTTAGTTGGCTTCCATAGCAAACTATGAAAAATAACCACCGGGAAAATCATCGAACGAATCCCCATTTGGGATAGGGAACTCTTGGGAAACTTCCTGCGGAAAACCAGCTCTGCTGAACAGATGCTGGAACTGATCGAGAGCTCCAATGAGTGCGGCGTGGAAGATCATGGGATTTTCCGATGGATAGAAGAATCAGTGCAAAAGTGATAGGTGAACTACTATTTAGTATATTAAGGGGAATAGAACAACTGATAGCTAGTATTAGGGATCAATCATCCCGAACTAGTCCTGGATTTGCTAAAGCTGTTTTTTTCCATGTCAGCCGACTTAATGGGAAGTTTAATCATTTAATCTTTTGCAACAACATAAGAATATCTACTAACTGGCTAAAATAGGAATATTGACTAATCAGCTAACATGTATTTTTTTTTCCCAGGGTATCTAAGATTGGCAATGGTTTATCAAAAGAGCCATTAGAATACACCTATCTAGTATTGGGGATCACAATCCATGATGAACCCTTTGGGGTTTTCACTTGAACGATCTGGCTGAATGACCCATTTGAATTAAAACATTCAAATGACATGTTTAAACACGAACAGATGATGATTTAATCCGCAAAAAATGGTGATATTTCTTGGGTATGAGGGACAATGTAATTGATTACCTTAATTGGATTTATGGTACTGGGATATCTTAAATCTTGAGGGCCTTTAGGGAATAGCTGAAACGAATAGAAACTAAGGTATCTGGAGGATTACACGACGAAGCGTAACGTTAGCTGACTTATAATTGGCTTAGCTGAGGTTTATGGAGGATATATCGAACTAGTTCACGGGGTTTATACACCAACAAACATAGCTGGGGGGCCCCACCCTGTAACCTCTGACAAAGTTTCTGGCTTGGTGGTTTAGCTTTAGTGTGGTAAACTCAATCATATTTAGTTTAGCTTTCGTAACTAGCTTTCGTTTAGCGCTCCGATTTTGGGTTTGTTTATACCATCCATGTCTGGTGATCCGATGGGGATGGCATATTGGGAAGAAGCAAAACACCATGGCGATGATCCCAGATGTGACAGTTTCTGGGTGTTTTCAAACATGATTTTGAACCAAAAATAGTGGGGATATAACCAACATTGACCAATCCAGAATGGGGATATGATATAATGCCAATGTATGTATATATATACAGTGGTACACAATCGCAATACAATGGTATACCCCAAACACATGGCAGACACATCCTCCTAATATTGTCTCAGATAGCGCTTCTATTTGGGGTTATTATCAAATGATTTTTTTGAAGTCTAAACTCCGTTATACGTATTTTCAAAAAGTGAAGAAAGTAGACAAGTGAAGACAGTAGAGATGTGACGAAAGTAGTGATGTGAAGAGAGTAGAGATGTGAAGAAAGTAGAGGTGTGAAGAAAGTTACGAAGTGAAGACAGCAGAGATGTGAAGAAAGTACATATGTGAAGAAAGTAGAGATGTGAAGAAAGTAGAGGTGTGAGGAAAGGTAAGAAGTGAAGACAGCAGAGATGTGAAGAAAGTACAGATGTGAAGAAAGTAGAGATGTGAAGAAAGTAGAGATGTGAAGAAAGTAGAGGTGTGAAGAAAGTACAGATGTGAAGAAAGTAGAGGTGTGAAGAAAGTTAAGAAGTGAAGACAGCAGAGATGTGAAGAAATGTTGCAGATGTGAAGAGAGTAGAGGTGTGAAGAAAGTAGACAAGTGAAGACAGCAGAGATGTGAAGAAAGTAGAGATGTGAAGAAAGCAGAGATGTGAAGAAAGTAGAGGTGCGAAGAAAGTTAAAAAGTGAAGACAGCAGAGATGTGAAGAAAGTAGAGATGTGAAGAAAGTAGAGGTGTGAAGAAAGTTAAAAAGTGAAGACAGCAGAGATGTGAAGAAAGTAGAGATGTAAAGAAAGTAGAGGTGTGAAGAAAGTAGAGGTGTGAAGAAAGTTAAGAAGTGAAGACAGCAGAGATGTGAAGAAAGTACATATGTGAAGAAAGTAGAGATGTGAAGAAAGTAGAGGTGTGAAGAAAGTAAATATGTGAAGACAGCAGAGATGTGAAGAAAGTAGAGGTGTGAAGAAAGTTAAAAAGTGAAGACAGCAGAGATGTGAAGAAAGTAGAGATGAGAAGAAAGTAGAGGTGTGAAGAAAGTTAAGACACGAAGGCAGCAGAGATGTGAAGAAAGTAGAGATGTGAGGAATGTTGAGATGTGAAGAAAGTAAATATGTGAAGAAAGTTAAGAAGTGAAGAAAGTTAAGAAGTGAAGTCAGTAGAGATGTGAAGAAAGTTACGCAGTTGTAACTGTATTGTGATTTGCAAGGCAATGACTGCAGTTCCCATTCGAATTGCTCAGTGAAGGTGACGCTGGGGAGGATGGAATCACACAAAACCCTTTGTTTTCCCGCATAAAGTGTGTCCCGGCGGCGACATGGGGAACCTTGTTTGTGCGACGGGTGCGGTACCTTAGTTCGTTTATGTTCGTTTTATCTCGGACACGTCCCAAAAACACTGGAAAGTTGAATTCAGGGGTGCGGATCGCACTGTAATGTTATGAGAATCTTACCAGCAAACTCTGAGGGTTGTTTTAAATATTTTTAAAAACCATATTTGACATTTTTTTGTCATTCCTGTTTTGCGGTGTCTTTTTTTTGGTCATTTTGTTGTCACTTTTTGTCATTTTGTTGTCATTTTTCGCCATTCTTTTGTCATTCCTCAACCAGTGTGTCCACACTGAAAGGTTCTTGCGGTAGGAGTTAAGCTCGGGGTTCGATCAGGGTACGCTCTCTGGCCCCCGGCATTTTTGCTGTAAATTCATGTAAATTCTCGCATAAAAGTTACCTTTTCCATCTGCATCTCGACTGCGCAGGCTCTTCCGAAGGTGTCGTTTTACTAGCGCGCGGTGCTCATTTTTTAAGCTACTGTATGTCCATTTCATGTGGTGGCTGGGGAGAGATCGGGCCTTCAGCTTTCATGATCCATCACGGGACGACGGCCCACAAGATGGCGCTGGTGGAGATGGCTGACAAGTTCTGTTCTGCAGATGAAGTTCGACAGCAACAACCAGGTTCAGCATTTGCAGATATCCCCAAGATGGAGAAGTTTCATCTTGCTGCCACGGTGGTTTCGACCGACGATTTTTTTCATGACTTTCGAAGTTATGGCAGGTCCTTAGCCACTTAGCCACTTCGCCACTTCGCGGCGCTGCGTTTGCAAACAATTGGTGTCCTGCTTGGCTGGACCTTTGCGGTTGCAAGACCAATTTGTGATAAAGCATGCGCCTTCGCCCACTTTGATGTATGAAAGGCTTTGTCCTTTTCTCGAGATATCATCCCATTGTATTGATGCTTTCCCAGGATTTTCCTTATGGAAATCCCATGTGTCCAAAAAAATAATCCCAAAAATATCCCATTATATAGATTGTTATATCTTGGAGTCCTTACATCCCATTAATTATTAGCAAATGGGTTTTCCATGGTTTTCCCATGTTGTTTCCACTTCTTTTAGTATACTCCTGTGGCAAGCGCATGCCGCATGGCCCATTCCACATGCTGGTTCCATGGAGCCCGATCCAGGTGGATCCAGAGACTTCAGCGTGAACGTTGGGCCTACGAGGAGCGACGACTTTTTTCATGCAGATCCATACATATATATACACATATATATATACATATGTATGTATATATAAATATATATATATATGTGTACACATATATATATATATACATATGTATAGTTTTTTGATTTTTTTGGTGGGTTTTGTTGCTTTTGGTGATGATTTGGAATTTGATCGTGGCTTTAATGGGGTTAGTGAAATATCATGGGACATGGTTGGAATAGGATACAGTAACTAATGGCAAGTATTAGGGATCAATAATCTCTATAGTCCTGGATTCGCGTGGTAAACCCACTGCAAATGAGGCAACTATAGGGAATATGTTTTTGTTTTTTTCGAGGTCTGCAAGCAAATTCAAGATACGGTTTTCTTGTATTTCTGGTGTTAGATATCACTTCCCCCGTTCATAATGAAACACCCCCATTGCATGGTCCCGAAAATGTGCAAATCCTCATGAAACACCATGGGTTCTTTGGGTGTTTCATTTGAATGGGGGATGGCATTTGTATTTTTTTGGGTTGATATCCACGAAAAGTTAAACTAATTCTATGAAGGGGATCAAGACACCAAGATGTTTGCCGAGAGACATGTTCTGGCAATAAGAATGGGATTTGAGCGGATTTGATGATCACGAACTTGTTTTGAACATATTTGAGTCAGCAAAAATGATTGGCAGGATAGTGATCGGATAGTGATGAAAGCACTAGTCACTAGTCAGTGATTGTTTTTTTTACCGGTAGCCTTGGTTGTAGCATGTAAAAAAACCTTGGATCGATTGGTCATTAGATTTGCTCGACTGGATATCATATCGAAGTGAAGAATCCTTTTTGTGTGGGATATGTCAGGGCAATGAAGCATGGCACCCAAACACAGTTCTAGACAGCTAAGAATTCTGCCTGGCTTTGTAGCAGTGGTGATAGCTGAAGAAATTGAAGAAATGATGTCATTTCCCTCGATTTTCTGCAGATATTTTTCATTTCTTGGGAAATCCACTGCTGTACTTTGGGAATATACAGGGAATATGTTCCATTTTTGGGGGCTCCTGGATTGCAAATCCAATGGAAACGGCCCCGAACGGCCGCCTGTTTCAGGCTACTGAAGTAATCCCTTCCCCAGATCCTGCGAAACACCCATGAAACGAAACCAGGATTTTTCTTCCTTAATGTATATTGGGGGTATTCTATGCTAGGAAGGGAGTGTTGATACATAGCCCAACGTGTCAGTACTGTATAAGCTTCCCAAGAACCAGCCTAAAGTGTGAGCCTAAACCCAACTGGAGGTTCCTGAAATAGTCATACCCCAAGATTGTAGGTTTCAATATACTAAAATGGTCCAATTTTGGATGATTTGGGGGTAGCCCTATGACTTAGGACACCTCCAAATTCGAAATTCGTATGATTCATCTAGAATCATGGCTGCATCACGAATGATGGGGAGAGTGGCTTGAGATCACCCATTTCCCCGGCTGTAAAGAGACCACAGGGATTCCGCATGGTAGTTTACCAAGGCTACCCCTAAAAAAGATTTAAACAGATAGCAAGGCGATGTCACATTTTTTCATGGGATTTTAATTTGCGATCTTTTTTGGGTGCTTACCGCAGATGCCCAATTCAGATCAATTCAGATCATTCGCAATTCACATAGGCTTGCGTCAAAATTCAGTCCTCCCAACTGACAGATGGGCCGGTCATACCAGTGTGCCTGGGTGAATTCATAGACGAACTACAATGACCAAACGCTGTCAAATAGGGAAATGCCCAACATATGATGATTTCCTTCATTTTTTTGGACGAATCCCTTCGCGTTTATGGGTCTGGTTATTTACAACGAGGGGAAGCCAAACTTGTTCAGATGGTTTTCCATGGAAAACTATTGGAATCGAACGATGTTGTTTGACACGGTCCCCCGCATTACGACAAGTGAGGCGAGGACATGTTCAGAGTCTTAGATGCCCCTCCGTCAATCAAACGTGGCAATGGAAAATCCACCCTTTGGCAGATGATTTTCCCGGCCCAGCTATCAACCTTCATTTACAGTGGATTTCCCAGATTTTTCCTATATTTCCCCATGATTTTCAAATGGTGTTGCAGGAATTTTCCAGCCAGCCACGTTTGATTACCAGAGAGTAACCTTTTAAAACATGCAAAACATCGCTGCGAGTTCAGAAGTCCAAGTTTTCAAGATTTCATTGACCCGGTTGCATGTTTAAGTTGTCTGTGTCATCCATAGATGGCTTCAATTTCCCCAGAAAACATCGGGATTTCAAGAAGCACAAAGGTCATTTAATGGGGTATACCCTCTGGTTATGACTAACAGTTCGCCATGGGAAATGGCCCATAGAAATAGATGGTTGACCTATTAAAAATGGGTGGATTTTCCATGGCAAACTGTTAGTCATAACCAGATGGTAAATGGGATATTATTTGGAATATTTGGATACCACCTGGTACTCATCAAACGTGGTTGGCTCGAAGATCAGTTGTGCATGAGCACTTTTTCAAAGGGAAAAACAATCCGTAAATGGGGGTTTTCAATTGCCATGTTTGATTGCCGGAGGGTAGGCATCCCCAAGATATGCCACACTTGGATAATTGGTACCAAAAAATGATGGAATAGTATAAGGTAAGTCACCGGCAAACTGGGATTACTTCTGGATTCTGGTTTTAAAACTTGCAAAACTATTTGCATGCAGTGGGAAGTTATACGCTGCCTTGTTTTATGATGATTCCACTTCCGGAACTCGCTCCAAGCCCGGTTGGCCGCCGTACTCACAAAGTTGGAAGCTGCTCCCACAATAAGTTGGGCCAGCGCTGATGCAGTCCCGAAAACGGGGCCCCACCTTTTCCGTTGCGATGGCAAAAGGAGGGCAGGCCCATGGATGTGGACAAACGGCAGAATTCTTGACCTATGCGCGCTTTCTTTCTCCACCTCCATGCCCAGCAACAGAAAACAGCACAAAAACGCAAAAATGAACGCCAAGCAAGAAACAAACAGCGGCGGGCTCCTTAGCACCAATAGGAAAGTTGCAGCCACTGGGAAATTTTGAGAGCCACTATGTGATATACGCGTGTGAACCATAGATGACGCAAATACAGGCTTGTCAGAAGCTGGGGCGCTGATGCGCCTGAATGGTTTCTGATTGCTTTCCACACTTACATTGCATCCTAGCAGCTGCCCCTTGTCTCCACAAACCCAAAGACTTGTGATATCAGCGGGCGCACCTGTGTATGGCTGGTGTGGCTTCCTCGTCAGGAGCGGCTGGCCGCAGCGGACGGTCAGATCCGAGCGTTGGAGGAGGTAGCATTCAATTGGCACAGGGTAATCTCAAAAGTCACCAAAAAACAGTGGCATGGTAATATGAGTGTTTGATCATATTTGGCTAATTTGGTATTTATCAGGATCACTATCACCATCATCAACAAACGAGATGGCAATGGGGAAACCACCGATACAATGGGATAACGCAATGAGAATTAAGGCGGGGTCTAGTGGGATCTACCACCAACAATATTGTATGCAAATTTTGCAGTTGCCAGCATGGTATGCGCAGAATTTTGGGATAATGGCATGGATGAAAACAAACGCACCCTTCCCATGCCAACCTATTAATTTACTGGCGGGTTTTGCAGGTAAAAATAGTTTAGCCTCAAAACAGGGCACCACCAAATCCAGTGGTTTATCATCATTTTCCTTCTTAACATGTTTATTTGGGGGCAGTCACCATTTTCAAACAGACCCGGATGAAAATAAAAACGTTGGTCATGGTTTTAACCATTGGTGGCTGCCGTGCCTTGCGTCGGCTGCCCATTTTTGTTGGCACGCTGAGAATGGCCCCCGCATGTACTGGAAAGAAAAGGGTTAGTGCCAACCAAGGATCAACCCAGAACAGTGCGACTTGCTAACATTGGGGGGGCACCAAAATTTCAATAGTGATTCATCATTCTGTTCGGGTAGTCCATTAATTAGCCAACAGAGTGTTTTTTTTTTCGAAGTTGGCACATGTAACCTGGACTCCCACCACGGTTCCCTGACGGGCGTCCCAGATATCAAATGCATATCGTTGGTTGCCATACAGTCCTGCCGGACTCCCACAAAATGGTTGATGTTTTGTAGAGGGCTTGTGTTTTTTGAAAAACAAGTGTTCGTTTTTCAATCGTGTTCCGTGTTGTTTTTGCATTTTGTACTGGTGTTTTCAAATGTATATAACGAGGGGTTTCTTGGCTGGAATTGACCGGGATAATACGGTGGACCAATGGCTGGCCCGTCCAATGGCTGACCCCCCTCATTCCTGGCAAATTTCTCTGTTTCAGTTGTGAAACAAGGTACCCGTGATCGGGGTACATTGTAATTGCCACCTAAGTCTGGAATGATGATGAGGATCGGGGAATTATCGCCAATGACTTCTATTGGAATCATCCCAATTTTAGTGGAGAACCCAGCCAGCGAAGGGTAACCCAAATGCCCACTAATTGTACAGATAGATACGCGTCCAAACTTGAACACCAACCATGTAGGTAAATCCAAGTCCCGAAATGAACCTTGTTATGCTTATATAATTTTATGATATTTTATCTATTCACTCAAAAATGAGAAAGTATCACCATAAATGGTGCTTCGAAAGGGGTAGCTCCACGAAATCAGGGTGTTTCAGGTTTCAGGTGGATGATTTCTCACGATTCAGCCAGATATGATTATGTCAGATATGTTTTGTTATATATTACATATTTCACCCTTCGTTCACGATTGCATGTGCATTATATATATATACAAATGTACTTGTACTTGTATGTACTTGTATTATATATACATATATTGCATGTGCATGTGCTTGTATGTATACTAACAGTATATACACAAATTGTTAAGTGTGTATCTAAGGTGCATATGATACAGATATGAAGATGCATATCTATATCAATGTGCATTTATCTTTATCTATTCTCCAAACCCACATCGCAGGCGCTGGATGCAGAGGCCCCGCTCCGGACATGGCACGTGTGCATGGGGGATTTACGACCAACGCATGGCAATGTTACTGTTTGGAAAATGTTGATGATCGATCAAATTTGGAGGAAATGATGGGATATAGTCGATATAGTGGTATAATTTCAACAATAATGATGGCAAATTTGAGAGGGTCAATGATGAATGTGGTGATTCAATCATGAAAAATAGGGAACCCCGTGATTTAAGCAATTGATGAGGGAAAATGGGTGTGTCTGAAAAATTGGATTTACCATCAGCAAATATCGAAAACTCCCGGGAACAAACATGATAAGTATGAAATATAGGTTTTCATCATTTTTTTGATACATTTCCCAACCATAGCCATCCTATTGTGTGAATGGCATATTTTTGAAAAGGAACCCTAAAACATCCGAACACTTATTTTTTTTGCAGGTTTGCAAACCCTAAACTTAGTTTGTGTGTTGCTTAGGATTTGAAGGTTCACAGACAAATTTCATGGCCTTGCGCATCAGGTCTGGTTGTTGTTTTTGGGTTTACGACAATTGTAATCGTTTCAGAAGCTTGGAAAGGTGTCCAAAATTAGAGGACCCCACTTGCAGGATCATCCCGCGAATCGGACGTGTTTAACAACCCTAGAGTGAAACAATTTCCCCATTTCGTGGGGTTATCCCAGGTATACCTGGGTTTTACATTCATGCATGCATATACATACATGCATGCATAGATACATACATGCATGCATGCATGCATGCAAACATACATGCATACATCCATACATACATGCATACATGAACGCATACATCCATCCATGCATCCATGCATGCATGCATACATACATCCGTGCATGCATACATGCATGCATACATACATACATCCATGCTGGCATACATACATACATTCATGCATGCATATATGTACGTACGTACAGACAGATAGACAGACATACAGACATACATACTTACATACAAACAATTGCACTCACATACATACATACATACATCCATCCATCCATCCATCCATCCATCCATACATACATACATACATACACACATACACACATACACACATACACACATACACACATACATACATAGATACATACATACATACATACATAAATACATACAATCACACGCACATACATACATACATACAGACGGACGGACGGACGGACGGACGGACGGACAGACAGACAGACAGACAGACATACATCATACACACATGCATACATACACACATACATACATACATACATCATACACACATACATACATACATACATACACACATACACACATACACACATGCATATATGCATGCATGCATGCATGCATGCATACATACATAGATACATAGATACATAGATACATAGATACATAGATACATAGATACATAGATACATAGATACATAGATACATAGATACATAGATACATAGATACATAGATACATACATACAGACATACACACATACACACATACATACATACATACATACATACATATATACAGACATACACACATACACACATACACACATACACACATACACACATACACACATACAGACATACATACATACATACATACATACATACACATACATTAATATATATATATATATATATACACATTTACATATCATTAACATATACATACAGTATGGTCATTAACCGGATACGATTTGTTGGATGATCCTCCTGTCTCCCCCATGACCTCCCTAAGACTTACTTACGGTATGTTATCCCGAGAAGGCGACGTTGATACAAAGACATATGTGATAGTCCAAAAGGGGATATGCCGAATTATGGCAGTTTTGATGAGGAAAATTGTGAAAAACTGTGAGTCGCCATCATCTTCATCATCATCATCATCACCATCACCATCACCATCACCATCATCATCATCATCATCATCATCCTCGTGATCATAATGCACATAGCAAAACCATCAGTAGCAGCACATCTTGTAATCCCTTTTTTGCTGAGTTCATTGGAATTGAAAAAACAACCTCTCTCTTTCGCGGCAACCTTGAAAAATATGGCATCAGGCAAAACAGCCTCCCACAAATTCGTGAATCTTTCTCAGTGCTTGAAGGGTTTAAACGGAAACCAACAACCTAATCAAGCAAACATCATGTTGACATTTCTTGGTTATAAATTATCTATCCCATATAACCATGTATGCGATGACGTAACATGGTCATTATATATTTCATTATGTGGAGGTTTCCTGAAATAGGGGTACCCCCAAACCATCCATTTTCGTAGGATTTTCAATTATAAACCATCCAACTATTGGGGTACCCCCATTTATGGAAACCCATTATTAGCCATATATTAAACATATATTAGCAATTATTAACAATAAAATTAACCATATAATAACCATATATTAGTAGCCATTTATGGACCCCCCCCATATGTTTGTAATGGCCAAGCCGGGCGCCAAGCCGCGACCGGAGGAAAAGTCCAAAGAGGCTTTGATGCTTCATCTGGAGCGGAGCAGTATGGCGAAAGACGGGTGAAACCTCCAAGTTGTTTGGTGTTTAGTACAGTTATGGCTCGAAATGCCAGTTACTTCTATGGTCAAAAACCTGGTGATTTTGAGTTACTGTATCAATTTTGATGGGGTTATTTCACTGACTTGTAACATCTTGTAACTGGTAAATGGTCATAATTGTGGGGAATGGGGGGAGAGGGGTGATTATTCATAGTTGTTGGGATTGGATCATGAAACCCCCATTCCTTACGTTCAGCGCCAGTGAGAAAATCGGAACTGGTCACCAAAAATGGTGATTCAAGTAGCACCATTTGAGGATACAATGGGATATATATATAATCCGATATAATGGGAATTTCATGGGATATGATGGAAAAAATATACACTGAACACTTGGGGGGAATGGTTTGGGTGTGTCGGAACATGGTGTATGATTTAGTTTACCAAATTAATGGGAACAGAACCTGCAACATGGATGACAATTGGCAATAGGAATATGATAGAAAACAATATTTTCATGGAAACATTGATGAACTTTGGTCAATCGTAGATATATGGGTCGTATGATTTTACGTGTTTTCATTTTTATCATTTAAACCCAGGAGCAGTGGTAAATTCATACATCCAAGATTGGGAATGACATGGGAGACTGATTTGTGTCCTATTTCTGATTAATAGATTGAATCCCATATCCCATTATATACTTCATTAAGACATATTCAAGTCTCGGTTGTAAATCACCCATTCTTGAGTACCCGCCCAATTTAATCCTGTTAAATTCCATTTAGATACCATCCGGTAATCAAACGTGGTTTGCTTGAAAATCCACCAGCAATAGTTCGAGGATTTTCACATTGATATTCTACGGGCCTTTTGATTGCCATGTCTGACTACCAGAGGGTAAATCACATAAAACCATTGCATTCTTTACCCCCAACATTACATAATATCCCCGATTCTTTGCCCTTTATTTTTTTAAACATGAATTATCATCATATCCCATTCTGGTAAATCCCCCATCTACCCCATCACCAATCCCAGGAGCACCGCAGCTCCCCCATGCGCTTTGCCTCTCGCGAGCCGGTAGCAATACCGCAGTAAAACCAGGCACCAACTGAGCAGTGTCAAAAACCCAGTGGTTTGTTAATTTTGGAGTTTTACTAACCTAGTGAAAAGGGACCGTTGCAATCCATTACTGGAATAGCTGTAAGAAAACCAGTGGAAGCAGTTCGCAACCAGGGTTTTGATGTTGCTCAACTAGAATGGGAGTTTGCTGGGATATATATATATATATCTATATAACATCAAGGAGCCGGGATACGACAACCGGCAATCAGTTGGATTTAACCAACTGAAAAGAACGCAGTTTGATATGTTTCATGTAGGGATATGCAGGGATAATATGGGATTGTGATGCGAAGATGAGAGCCATCTCAGGGTGTTAATGGAACCTGAAAGGACCTGAATGGATTATCTTCCACCAGGAATGGAAATTTAAGCAACCAAATATTGAAATGAGAAGCAGCTTGGGGGAGATACTGGCATATGAACCATTGGGGTTTGTCTGAACATGGTGGAAGAAATTGGGGGATGCCTGTCCGCGCAACATTATAAAACCTAACCAAATTCACCAATCAAATTGTTTTGGGGGACCACAATTTTGAGAAACACACTGGCCAGGAACACTGCTGTATGTAAAAAATAATAAATACGTACATCACAACGCATATCCAGTCAATCTGATTAGATATGTATCACATGACACCCCCTGCAGTACCCCTCAATGAAGGCATGGAAGATTTGGCTAGATTTGGGAAATTATGGAGGTAAAGGTTGTTCAATAAATCAGACCCAGGTAGATATGGGTCAAAATTTAAGCCCGATGGAACCACAGATTTTAGGATCAATGTTTAGTAGTATTAATAGTATTAACCATCTATTATAGTATTAACCAATAGTAGACCCATATCTATGGATGGTTAATACTACAATAGATGGTTTAGTAGTATTAATAGTATCAACCATCTATTTATTGGGGTACCCGGGTACCCCAATGACTTGACCCAGACCCAGGTCATGTCAACTCGCCATGATTTCCAGAGGGCGCTGTCTTTGGGCATTCACTTCTTGATTGAAGCAAGAACGAAGGCACACCAATTTCAATGACTATTTCAGGTACCGATTTACTGGAGGCATCTACCACATACCCTCTGGTAAGCTAACATAGCAATGGAAAATCACTGGTTATAATGGGTAAACTCACTATAAATGGCCATTTTCAATAGCTATGTTAAATTACCAGAGGGTATATTTTTTTAGGGCTCGATTTCAGGCTTTAGGTATCTCCATTTTAGGGTCCTGAAATTCCCATTGACCATTTGAGGGATTGTAAACAAAACAAAAAACTGGGGTGATTGATACGCATCATCACATAGAACTGCTATACCGCTATACCGCTATACCCAATTTCTTCGGAGCCCTGCTCCGGGGCATCATGAAAATATGGCATTGGGTATACCGCAAAAACCACACAAAATTATGTGTATAAATATAATTATATATAGAAGTATCCTGTTTATCCACCATTTCTTGATAAACTCTCTCATTCTGGATACATCCCAATTATTTGTTAATTTCTTAAAGCTGATTTATTCGTATTCATTGTATGTTGCATTCAGCCTTTTTCCTGGTCGACTCCTCTCCATGTCCAGGCATGGGCGTCTCGGAGCAAAAGGAACGTGCTGTGATCTCACCAGCAAACATATGGGGATATATATATATATAAATAATATGTCTATATACATATATATATACAATCAATATATATATATATATATATACAATCAATCAAAATATATATATATATATTTCTACAATCAATATATATATATATTTATAATATCCCCTATATCATATGTATATATTATAGCCTGTATTACCAATAACTGGGTTGATCTTGGGATGGCGAGAATTTTGAACAATTCACTGACCTGGTTTGGTCAGTGAGTGGTTCTTTTTGAATCGGGAACAATAGAATATTTGTAATGTTGAATATCTCAATTATCTGACAATAGAACAATTTGACAATGGACAACATCTCTATCTATTATTGAATATAGTTGTCAATGGTTATTAGTAACATCTTTTTACAAAAAAAATGCGTCAATGGCTATTCTTTAATGTTGCCAGAGAAACAATGGCAAAGCCTCTGACATCAGAGCAGTTTTATCTAAATGGGATGATTTTTGGTCCATTGCTTGAGAAGATATTACCGGCAAATTAAGGGTGTCTTGGATTCATACTATTGAATAAACTAGCATAGGTATGGAAAATCTAGGGGGTTTCCATTTTCATGATTTTTCATCTCTATGTTACAGTCAGTACATATGTGATATAGTTTACTGGAGGGAATATAGTTTCTGTTCTGATTTTGTTGTTCACTTTGCAATCATAGTTCAAATTTCGACCAAATATGCCTAGCGCAGTGATAAGATGGATGGTTTCAACCTGGGTACCATGGCACCAGCCATTTCAATGGGTGCTTGATTTTCCATTGCCATGTTTGATTGTCGAAGGGTATTTTTTTTCGGGTCAGATTTGATTTCGACACCGATCACTGCCTTCATGATCTTACTGACATATTCACCCAACAAAATCAATGAACAAACATCATTTCTTCTTTGTCCATGCTCTGTGGGAACCCGGTAAAACCTACGTTTTCCGGATTTAATGTGACAGAGTTGGGTTGTGTGGAGGTCAAACACATTGAATAGAGGGGACGTTTGGGTGTGGCCAGCTAACCCTTCCAGACTTGCACGAAGATCTTTGATGCTTACCCTCCGGTAATCAAACGTGGCAATGGGATATTCCGTCGAAATGGACGTATGACTGGGAAAACCATCTCTAAATGGTGGATTAAAAATTGCAACGTTTGATTACCGGGTAAACAAAACACGTTTTGTTACTGAACAAACGTTCCTTCAACGCATTGATACTCTGTTTGAACTTTGGTTGCGTCCGTTTCTGGAGGCCATGTCACTTGCGCAGCTGAAATTATTGCACCGGGAAAATCCAGGCAGCATTTCTTTTCTTCCTGATTCTGTGTATATTTGGGTATCAGTCAACATAGGTCAAAGAGTGATAGGACATAATATGACATGCTTGTCTCCAAGCAAAGAACGACCTGAGGAAACACCAACACATCCTCTGTTCCTTCCGTGTCGCTTCCCTGGGATGGACATCCACCTTGGCCCAGAGCCGTGTGTGGCTCAAATGCTTCGTTCTTCTGGTCATCCTTTCCACCATTCGCAGAGATCTGCGAGGAGGGGATTGGAGATGGAATTTGCCCCAGAATCTGATGATCATTGGGTGATCACAAAATCATTGTGTTGACTGATTTATTGATCATACATAATCATTGGTATTTCTTTAATCCTCTAATGAATGGAATGATCATTGTCGTAACTGATGATTTTTTAGAAATCCTGATGATTTCTTGACAACCATTCTGAGGATGTCTGAAGTAGACATTTCAAAGTAGGTAGTAGCAAATCATTTCAACTTGCGGGAACCCCCCGGATCCTTCATCAACGAAAAAACGTTCCTCCCCGCTTGACATTGCACTGACCCATGTGAGAGCAAGATAGGGGTTTCTCAATATGAAGCATCCCCAGTCGTCACCATGGCTTTCAATACTAAGATGGTCTAATTTTGGATTATTTGGGGGGTACCCCATGACTTAGGACACCTCCAACTGTGGAAACCATGATCGGTGGTGGAGCTTTTTTTCTTCAGCAATGAACAAGTACTAGTTCCTTTTTTTCAATGGGAAACATATTATGGGGGGATTAGCTTGTCAATGGATGATTTTTATGGGCTATTTCCTATTGCCAGGTTTAGCAATTTCATGACATGTCTATTTTTGTGTTTTTTTTTCTACTTATTATATAATATGATACATACATATTTTCTAAAATCTGATGTTTCCTTTCTGTTATGGAAAGTAAAGTCACGGACCCCTTAACGCGTCCCTGTTTGTTGCACAGCGTCCGTGTTTGCAGCGTTCGAGGCCGGGCGATGGTCACTCGGCGCTGGGGAAAAACGGGAATGTCATGATGGTTTAGTATTATGTTAGCTGATTGGGTAGATGTTCCTATATGTATGGTTAAAGATTGTTAATGATTGCCAATGATGGTTAAGATATGGTTAATAATGGTAAATGGGTTATTTAATTAATGGGTTTCCATAAATGGGGGTACCCCAGTAGCTGGATGGTTTATTTCATGGAAAATCCATCTACAAATGGCTGATTTGGGGGTACTCCTATTTTAGGAAACCACAATATGATAATGATGAGTTATATGGTACTATATCCCCATTATACCCATTGAGACTACCATGATATTAATTGGGGATATATAATAATATATCATGGCATTATTGTCCCATGTTTCATAGGGATATGAGACTATAATGGGACAATAATGTACAATGTAGTGTATCTATGACGTGCCCAAGGTGATTTTTTATTTTACGAGTGGGAAACCCACCATTTGGGGAATCTATTTATTATCTGTACTATGTATAAATATTGTTTGAGCCCCTTGAGCAAAGCCAAGTATGTACCCTGGGATGAACATGGCACCGATGTGGAAAGACCCAGGAAAATGATCTGGAAATGGTGGGCTTTTTCCACATCGTTTTTTCTGTTTGCGAAGCAAGAAGGATCCACGCCAAAATATTGATATAATGGGATATAGTGAGATAGTGGGAATGGGATATAGTGGGATATAGTGAGATATAGTGGGATATAGTGGGATATAGTGGGATATAGTGGGATATAGTGGGATATGTTGATACATTATGTGAGATATAGTGGGATATAGTGGGATATCGCCACAATAGTGGAAATGTTAAGAGGCTCAATGACAAAAAACACTGTTGGGAACGAACTTGGGGATTCAACCAGGGATTTATATGATGTAACCAGTGGGTGATTTTGATGTGTCTGAACATGGGTGATTCTTATAGCGGTCAGCTATATCTGCAGTCGTTGAAAGAAAATGTGTAGCTGTGTAGCCATAGTATCAATGTTTTATGATTCTTGTCGCTATCCCTTTCCATGTCGTTATTTTGGAATAAAACCACATTTTTGTGGGACATACCCGCATGGTCAGTACCTCGCTTAAGCCTACGTTTTTACTCGCTTACGCCTACGTTTGTGAAATATGATGGCAGCACCAATAGAAAGTGACATAGAAGTCTTTCAATATGACTGCAACAGGTCCGACAGAGATGATGAGCAGGACATTTTGATTCGATCATATGAATTGCATGTCACTTTGCAGAAGATGTTTCAACGTATCAGGAATATGTCGCAATGTATCAGGAACATGTTTGAACTCACTTGAAGAAGTTGCTTCAACGTATCAGTAACATCTGGCAAGTTACTGTAGGACGAGGTGACAACGTATCAGGAAGGTCGTGCAATTTACTTACAAGTAGGAAGATGTTGCAACGTATCAGGAATGTATTGCAAGCTACTGGACGAAGATGTTGCAAAAAACCAGGAACATCATTCAAGGGACTTGAAGAAGATATGACAACGTCATGCATGGAACATGTCGGAAGTGTCGCGCAGAAGATGTCACAATGCATCAGGAAGGGGTTGCAAGTCATTTGAAGAAGATGCTACAACGTATCAGGAACATCTGGCAAGTTACTGTAAGACGAGGTGACACATGTATCAGGAAGGTCGTGCAATTTACTTACAAGTAGGAAGATGTTGCAACGTATCAGGAATGTATTGCAAGCTACTTGACGAAGATGTTGCAACATAGCAAGAACATCATTCAAGGGACTTGAAGAAGATGTGACAACGTCATGCATGGAACATGTCGGAAGGGCCGCGCAGAAGATGTCACAATGTAGCAGGAGCGTGCTGCAAGTCACTCGAAGAAGATGCTACAACGTATCAGGAACATCTGGCAAGTTACTGTAAGACGAGGTGACACATGTATCAGGAAGGTCGTTCAATTTACTTAAAAGTAGGAAGATGTTGCAACGTATCAGGAATGTATTGCAAGCTACTTGACGAAGATGTTTGCAAAATAGCAAGAACATCATTCAAGGGACTTGAAGAAGATGTGACAACGTCATGCATGGAACATGGCGGAAGGGCCGCGCAGAAGATGTCACAATGCAGCAGGAACGTGTTGCAAGTCACTCGAAGAGGATGCTACAACGTATCAGGAACAAGTGTCCCCTAAGCCCACCCCAAGTGTCCCCAAGTGTCCCCTAAACCCACCCCAAGTGTCCCCAACTGTCCCCTAAGCGTCCGCAAGTGTTGAGCTAAAGGGCTGTATCCCTTGGAGTTGGTTCCCTAGGCCTACCCCAAGTGTCCCCAAGTGTCCCCTAAACCCACCCCAAGTGTCCCCCGAAGTGTCCCCTAAACCCACCCCAAGTGTCCGTATCTCTTGGAGTTGGTTCCCTAAGCCCACCCCAAGTGTCCCCAAGTGTCCCCAAGTGTCCCCTAAACCCACCCCAAGTGTCCCCAAGTGTCCCCAAGTGTCCCCAAGTGTTAACCTAAAGGGCTGTATCCCTTGGAGTTGGTTGCCTAAGCCCACCCCAAGTGTCCCCAAGTGTCCCCTAAACCCACCCCAAGTGTCCCCAAGTGTCCCCTAAACCCACCCCAAGTGTCCCCAAGTGTTAACCTAAAGGTCTGTACCCCATGGAGTTAACTCTGAAGTCAACATACAAAATGTCGGCTTATAATGAGTAAAAAAGTCGGCTTAAGTGAGTCTCGGACCTACCCGCATGGGTGCCGGTAACCGATAGAACTAACTAATACCAGCAATAGACAGAAGGATATCGGCCAATGGCAATGTTAGCAATCTAGGCTTTACATGGCTTTACGTTCACACATCCAACTGAAAATAAACCCAACAGTTAGATACAGTTACACCATAAATCCAACACTTCGATACAGTAACATACAGTTAGGAGTTAGCAACAGAAACCTATCCTACCTGCGGTTCCCAACTCTTTCAGGTTCAGCTCAATGGATCTATGTAGTACCAGTGTCAAGCGTGGCAAATGCCGGATAAATGGTGGTTTTAGTGGGACAATCGTCCATCAATGGAGGATTTTTCATTGCCACATTTGAGTACACGAGGGTATATTGTCCCATGAAACTCCATGAAATTCCATGAAATCCCATGAAATCAGCATACGACAAGGCAGCGTATGCCTCCCAGGTCACAAACTTAACAATGAACAGAACTTCAGAAGAGTGAATCATCTCTAAGTGGGCCTTATTTTCCATATTTATACACACATGTATATCTGATAATATATGTATACCATATGTATACACATATATCATATATCATATATATGTATACACATATATCATATATCATATATATATATACACATATATCATATATAATATATGTATACATATATATAGACATATATCATATATCATATGTATATATATATATACATATCATACACACATGTATCATATATATATATACATACACATCTCTCTCTATATATATACATGTATCATATACATACACATATATCACATATATATATATATATATCTTGCACATATCCATATTAATGTTACTTTAGTGTTGCCGCAAGCCTCATCTTTGGAGAAGCTCCCAGCTCCATACTAAGTATGAGGAGAATCATATAGTTATTGGGCCAAAAATATCCCAACTGATGGGCTTGTTTGCATCCCATAAATGCATCCCATAAATTAGTTACTGATGGGCTTGTTTGCATCCTCAACTATCTCAACTGCACCCCAAAATAAGATGGTTCTGAGAATTAGTGGACATGGTCATGATTACGATGGATTGTATATTGATTTGATGTTTTATTCCACCTCAGTCTTGCAGCCCTTAGTAGAATTGTTGGTGATGTATCCAGTTGTATCCAGTTGTATCCAAATCACATATATATATATATATATTCATATTCTCATCGTATATACCATAGTTATACCATAGTTATTCACATGAACTGGCTATAATCCCCCATGAGATGCTGCTTCAAACAGCTGCTGGCCTCCTTGAGGCCCGACTCCGTGTTTTGCTGCTGACCCTGGCAGTGCCGTGGAAATGGACATTTGGGGAGTTGGAGCTGGCTTTTTTTTTTTATTGTCAGGACAACCGGGTGATTCAAATGTTGGGATCCAACTTGATGTAACCAACAAATTGGAGGATTTAATCATCATTTATAAAATAATGAGAAACAACATGGGTTTAGCGTGTATGAGTTGTTTCGGAGGATTTACCCTCTGGCATCCTCTAGCAAACTAACTTCAGAATGGTGAAGAATGGCGTGGTTTTACCAGCAATTATGAGGACACAACAACCAGCAATTGAGATTAAAGTCTAGTGGCGAATGATATACGTATATATATATTTACTATAATAATATATATATAATATACATTATATAATATATTCACAATTTATATATATAGTAATATAATAATATAATATAATATAATGTAATTTATTAAAATTTACTATCATATAAGTATAATTTAATCTAATCTAATCTAATCTAATCAAATATAATATAATATCATATGAATAGAATATAACAAAATATCATATTATATAACATAATATTAAATAGTATGATATAATATAAAATTATATGATAAACAGATACATACATTAAAAAACAAAAAATAACCAAATTTAAATATAATATAATATAATATACTGTAATGTAATATAATTTAGCTATTTTAACGTATAATTGTATTACATTATATTGTATCATATTTTATTTATATTTATATTTTATTATATATATAGATATTGTATCATATTTTATATATATACTCGTACATATTATCTTAGATATATGTATATACATATATCATATATTGATAGGTCTACATAAATTTCATATGATGACTCGATCATATAGCCAATCTACTAGCATCTAATGGGGATTTACCAATTATTGGTTACACATTCGACCAGCAAACGCTGGGATTTCACCAACAGAAATCGGGGGTTAAGCCCTAAGAAGACTTGGGATTTTTTCCCGACAACCAGAATGGGAATGGACCCCACCATTAACCATAGGGGTTGTAAGCATCAAGAAAATATAGATATGTATATATAGATATATAGATATATATACGATACATATACATATATATATATACGATACATATACATATATACATATATACATATACACATACATACAAATACATATATTTATATACTTGTAAATATGGATATTAATTATTAAGTAAATTACTGTACATGTTACATATGCGGTCGGTGCCCAAATGGCATAGTTTTTCTCAGCGGCGGGATATCAGCTGAGTGGGACCTGAGGTGCTTCCTGATGCCACTTTAGCGGAGGAACAACAAGGTGTCAGGCGATGGGGGAAGCTGCACTTGCGCGGTGTGGCTGGGAGGTGGGAATGGCTAAGAAACGGTGAACATCACCAAGAAAGACATAGAACAAGGGTGTTTGATGGTTGATTCATGATAGCTAAGTTGATGAACACAATTAACTCAACTATAGTTTACGGTGATATTAATTGAAGTAGAATAGCCAATGGGCTTGACAGACCTTATACATCTTATAACTGGGAGGCTTCGCCTTGTGAATGATTCAGGAGATATTAGATACACTGAATCCCAGACAGCTCCACGGAAGAGAGGAAGCCGAATATAACACGGGGGAAACAACCATGAAATTCACTCATCCCTTCCCCCTAATGTTAAACACCCCCAAAGGAAACCATGGTTTTTTGTTGGGAATTTCCACATTCCATTGGGATCATTTAGGAGATGTGAAGAAATCTTAGGGGATGGGATTCACATGCTCTATTTACTCTATTGAAGTAAGTATGGGTTTCAAACCCATCAAACTCCTGGCCCCATGGGTAAACCATGGTGGATTGAAACCATCTGGAGAATGGCTGATTTTCTTGAGTACATTTCTAGCCATCAACGGCGACATGTTTTTTCGGATTTTCGCTAACAATAGATGAGAATTATGAGTAGGATGGGAATGGATGGGATAAATTGGAATTTGTGAACCAAAAACCACGGATTTTCCAAGCTATACATCTTAAAACCTCTATTTCGTTCGGGACTTTCCCAGGCCAATGTTTGACGCCGTTCGTATCTCCAGTTTTTTTTTCCTTAGAAAAATTTTCCGAGCCTCGGTCATCATGGCCATGGCGGGGTAGCCTCTGGTAATGACTGTTACAGTTTGGTACCCTCTGGTAAACAAACAGTTTGCTATTGAAAATGGCCCATTTATAGTTGATTTACCCATTAAACATGGTGATTTTCCATAGCTATGTTAGTTTACCAGAGGGTAACTGGAAGCCATGGTAGAAATAGTTGATGTAGCGAACTTAAAGATGGTGATTTTCGCGAACTGTGAACGTTTACCAGAGGCTATCCCATTAACATCCATTAACCATGAGAAAATCCCAGATGGGAATCCCAATAGTTGCTGGTGAAAGATGTTTTTTTTGGTGTCCATCCACATGGAGGTTTGAAGCTGTAGTGGGATCATTCGCCAGCGGAAAATCAACTGAATGTCTTAAGATATCCTAGCGATACTTAAGCAATACCGACAGAAATGTGTTCACTTTGTGGGGAGGGAATCTGTAATTTGGTCCGTGGGTAGAAGTTGGGTGTTTTGAAGATGCCGAGTCTTCAGCAGATCGACCCATGAAATTGTTTAGGGCCCAGCGCTTGACCAAAGATGGGTGAGTCACATGGCTTTGTACAAAAGCGGGCGAAACTCCTAATGTTTGCTTGTTTTTCATGATACATGGTATTAAACAACCATGAAAGTAGGAGTATCGCCCTGAGGTAAAAACAATTAACATCATTTTTGATGATTTAAATTCATTTTATTTTTCCCATTAACCTGTTTAAACCATCAAATTTGGAGGTTTAAAATACGGTTACCATTGGCTACATATTCTGAGACACACCCATATTGTTTTGTTCTTTGATTTGCACAGTTGACCTGAACACCGAACATGTTAACATGTTTCATGAGCACATGCAAAAACAACCGATAGAAAGCGACGACCTTTGTTTTGGGTATGGCATATTCAACACGCAAACACATTTTGTCCAAAGGCCATGTAATTGAAAGTAATTAAATGTAACTTTGATGTATATGTAGCATAATTGTATATACATATGTATGTATATGTATATGTGTATACTCTATATATGTATTACTTAAATATTGTACATATATTATACATGTAGTATAACTATATCACATATATATATATTATACATATATTTTACACATTATAAATATTTTTAATATTACATATATATATATTATGTAATATTGTTTATTCTATATTTTATATTGTGTATTATATATGTCGCATTATATATTATATATTGTATATTTGTTGTATGTATTATTTATTCATATTACATTTTATTTAATTATTATATATTATATATGATATATTATATGTTATATATACTATATGACATATATTTTCTACTACATATATATTATTTATATATTAGACATTACATATATTATATATTACATATATTATATATTACATATATTTTATATTAGATATTATCTATTATATATTATACATCTTATATATGTTTACATTATTATATATATATACATATTTAATATCTTATATATTTAATATCTTATATATTTAACATCTTATATATTACATAGTACATTTTTATTATATACTAATATATTATTTATTATATGTTATATATTATATTATATATATACTCTATTATATTTGTATACCCTTCACACCTTCTATACATATCCCCATATAAGGCAAAGATCTTTGTTGCTGTTCCCCCAAGTGGATGCTCCGTTTTTGCGAGGCGGCACCGGCATATGCGACGACAAGGGCCCTTCCAGGAGCACTGCCCTGTACCCCAAAATCATTCAGTTAACCATCCATTTTAGATTGGGATTGTCCATTACAAACACCATCCAGCTATTGGGGATCCCCCATTTATGGAACCACAGAAGTGAATAGAAGTGGAATATGAATGGGATATCTCATTGAAAGGGCAGATATGAGCAACATTTATTGGATATGAATGGATATAAATGGATATCAATGTGGGATATCAATGGGATATGACAGCAACAGATATATGGCTATTAGATGCTATTAGTGGGTTAAGCAACACTAGTCTTTTGTGTACACATACTAGTACCTGAAGAAGCTTGAACCTAAGAAATTGTTGGTCTTATTTGGAGCCACCATGTTTTTTGCAATGGTCATCTGAAAACAATATCCTTGATTCTTGTTATTAGAATATGTATGTTTGATTGAAAATACTTCCCCCAAATACCATGGTCAAAACATGTCAAAACCTCATTGTCGTTATTGTTTTGGCTTGGCAAATGTTGAGGGTCATTCGATTGCCTCGTTACTGCCTCATTCTTGGGCGGATCGTCCTGATTCACCTTTTGGGCCAGCGAGTCGGTTTGTTGTAAAGCAACCAGAACTGAACACAGAAGGTTTGTCTTAGATGTTTTTGGGACGGTGTTCCAGATTGAACATGTTTATTCATGTTTATCAGGTGCAAGAAATTTTCACTGATGATGTTTCTGCTTGCGGGGTCTTTCATGTTTTCCCAGTGGCACCATGGGTTGAATCCAGAGCTGACTTCTGAGGTTGCAGGAGTCGGCTGTTTTGGGTGGAAAAATAGCAAGTTTCCCCATTTCACGGGGGTTCAACTCCAAACTTTGGGGGTCAGAAAAAAAACCTATCGATCTTTAAGCAGCAAAAATGCGTTGGAAACTCAACAAAGATGTCAGGAGTCTATGGAAATGCGTAATCTCACGGTCTGTTCTGGCTCACTTCGGGACGGGTTTTCCCACCTGATGTTGGTAACTCATTGCTGTGGAGGGGATGAGACTGGGCACTGCGGCAACAGTTGACCCATAGCCACTGGTTTCCAAGCATCAAACTCTCAACCATCAAAAAACCATCAAAACCAACTAAAAACCAATCTAAAACCAACATTTTTGTCATTTTTATACATGTTTGGCGATTTCAAATAGATCTGTCACCACTGCGGAACGTGACCAGGAGTTCAAGTCCGTGCCGCCGAATCGTTTTGGAACGCCCCAGGCGGGGTCCTGCCAAAAGATCCAAAAATCCATGGGAAAAGCGCCACCTCTACAGGTGACCACTGCAATCATAGATGGTAAATCAATATAAATCATAGATGGATATATATATATATATTGTTATCAATCTGGGGGTTCAACATGATTTTTTTTTGCCTTGCAATCATATGATTGGTAAATCATGCCGTACTATTTTGCAGGGTTCACCGTTCATCGATTACTGTGCCTCGTGAGTCGCTGAAATCAGAAAAAAATGATCAAACCATCGAAATTTCAAATAAACCATGGCTGAAATAAACCATGAAATAAACCATTAGTTGGTGAAATAAACCATGAATTTCACGAAATTTCACATTAGTTGGAGAGTGGGTGGGTGAAATAAACCATGAAATAAACCATCAAAGATGGCAATGGAGGATCGTCGATTTTGTTCCATGAATTTTCCATTAGAACTTCTATTTCTAGGTGATTTTCACTTGCCACGGATGACGGAGGCGATCCTGCTGTGCTAGCCGGTAGCCGGGCAGATGTTGGTAGTGAAATTGGACATATGTGCGAAACCACCGCCAATAGCCACTCATGTGCTTAAACCAATGTCATAAACCATCCCCCAGTCATCACCAAAAATATATAGGTGGTATGTTTACCATTCCCAGTCATGGGTGGTTTATGGCATTGTTTTACCCACCTTAACCCGCTTTGTCAAAATGTATCATTAACACATGCAGAGAATCTGAGCGATTTTTTTTCCCCACCTACCACGACCTCAACGCTGAAACCATGGATTAGACATGATTCATATCACATTTTTCGAAGACCGTTGAAGACACTGAGTCACTCAAAAATAGTTAAAGGATGTAAACATGAAGATGCAGCCATAGAAAAACTATAGCGAAGACTCAACCAAATCACATGATGCCATTTGATACTACGATATATATATATATTATTTTACCATCACCTTATATGGTTTGAATAAAACCATATTGGGTTACATATATTAAAAAACAACATACTGTTCAAATCTTGCAACACATACAGACTAAGTCAACTTGATTCATTTTTTTTGGTTAGATGGATTTCCCACTTAACCCACTAGAGGTCAAAGTAACTAGCAGGGAATTACCCAATTTAAACCACCAAGTTATAAATCATATGATAAAGCAATCTCATACTATGGCCATCTGCCATGTACCCTCTGGTAATATAGCCATGAAAAACCATCCATTTGCAGATGATAAAACCCATGGCGATGGCAATGGATTTACCATGGATTTTCCCCTTGCCATCTGAGAAAAGTACCATCGATTCGCCCAGGTCGCCATAGTTCATCCCAAAGATGGCATTCTATGGTGATTCTATGGTGAAAATAGGTGATTTTAATATCCCTGAAATGCCGTGTTGAACTTCTGACTGATGTCGTGTTGATGATTTTATTCCCTGGTGAACATCGGTGAAAATCATCCGCCTTCTGCGCGGCACAGGAGGGCCAGGAGCATTCGGAGACGGTGAACCTGACCATGGGCTCCAGCAAGGATACCGAGGGAAAGGCGCCACTGTGTGCGATGGATGGGAACTGGTGAATTCCCATATTGGAGGAATAAATGGGGGTTAATAATTAGGAATCATACATATACGTATATATATATATAGATATTATAATATTCTATTTCTATATCAAGTATTTATGATATATGAACGTAATAAGAATAATGAACGATCACGATATCAGCAGGGCAGTTCTGGCCATCGTGGATCCCTGTTGGGACGATGTATCAACGGAAACATACACATCCCAATATGCAAATGGAGTACATATATTGACATATATCATTAAAATCACTACATACTAATATATAAGTAATAAGTCACTTATGCATTAGCATATCATATATATTTTCGTAATAATGATTTTTCAGTACTAAGCATCCCACATAATTAGAATTATATAATTAGATGTAATGGCCAGGGTTTGCATAATATGGTGATTATTCATGACATCAATTATTTTGCTGCTAAACCTGGGTTTCCTTAGAGAGATATTTCATATGTGGTGGGGCTCCAACTCCGATTTTCGCAAATGATATTTGAATTAAATCACCTCAACATGTACCAGGCCTTAAACAAATGTTGGTTTGGAATGAATCGTGCTCACTTCGATTGGATGGGTATGCACCACATAAAGAGCAACCTTTTTTCCGGTATCTACACACCCGCAGCTGGTTGCGTTTTGGGAATATTACCAACAGCACCCAAGAACTTGTTTAGCAACATGGGGATGCTGAGCCAACACTGACACACTCGAATTGAACAATATTTCCGCGATGTGAACCACCTAAGGTAGGTATTTGCTTTGCAAGAAAGGGCTAGGGAAACCCGCAGAGTCTGGAATTCTGAAGTCAGTTGTCTTTCGGGCGCATGGGCTGAAATGAGATTTGACAGGTGAACATTCCCCAATTTGTTGGATATTGATAAACCTTGGTGAAGCTACAACTGGGGGACATATAGGTGAAGGGCAATTTAGTACTTTAGCTTTAATGTTTTTTAGCTACAAATAATGGAGGACACACATACATATATATTATATATATTAACCAGCGAAAAATAACATTATCCGCACAATCACGATTTTGATGCTAGATGAGGAATACAACCAACACATGTTCTCAGCAACAAAACATAGGGAGATACTTGGAACTTCAATGAAGGCATGTATCCTCCACCTGATTTTGGATATCCCCATCAATCCCCATCATTAGCAAGGTTCGGCCCTTGTTTGCAGTTGGACCCGATATCACAGACGTCGGTGGTGTCTGACGCTTTTGGCCGTGAAAATCCATGAAAGTCGACTCGTTTTGGGCTGTGAATAGATAGTAATCATAATGTTACTGCTCCTAATAAATATCGTAGTAGTAATCATGATAATAGTACTAATTATCATATATAGTATATATATAATAGCAGCAATCATAGCAATCTATACATATCTACACACAATATATATATATACACACCATATAATATACAGGCTGATGTACATGTTCATCTACATAATATGATAAAGTTGGCATATAAACCCAGTGAAAATCTGATTATATCATTGTACTGATGATTATAATTTATAAAACATGAAGAACTGATTCTATTTCTACAGGCTGATGTTTGTTTGTTTTCCTTCAACAAAAAGATGACGATCCGTGACGTGTCAGGTGGTGAGCCAATGGGCTTGCGCCTTGATGTGTGCGAGTAGAGCCACCCAGGGCTGTTGTTCCTACCAAGGCGCCGGAAATCACGTTGGGCCATTTGGGCCGTCAAACATAGCTGTGTTTATTGGTTATGAAATAGGGGCTTAACTGGGATTTAACATGATTTAACCTTCAATTATAGTTGTAGTAGAATTTTTAAGGAACATATGCCATGTCATTGACAAATGATGATTGATTGGTTATGAAATAGGGAGTTACACTACCTGGCTTCGTGGGGATGATTCGAACAAACCTATGCATTCGGAAACCTATCAACCCACTAGTACAATGGGATGGGATACGGTAGATACGAGTATTTTAATGGTTCATTTAGAGGGGCCATAATGAATCATAATGGGGATATTTCATGGAATAATACGAGGGATGGCTACTTGGAGAATCATCCCACTTGCCATGACTGGTTAGTGTTTTTTGGAGGGCTTATGACATGTTATACCATCTGGTAAACTAACAGTTCGCTATGGAAAATCACCATCTTTAACAGGTAAATCATGGTAAATCGGTAAATCAACGAACTAAGTGGGCAATTTTCAATGTAGCTACCCTCTGGTGAACTAACAGTTTGCTATTGAAAATGGCTATTTATAGTGGATTTTCCCATTAAGAATGGTGATTTTCCATAGTTTTTTGTTAGTTCACCAGAGGGTATGTCAGATTGTTTCGGGGATGAGCCACGAATCGGAGACATCGATGATGACTCAGACCAGTTGGTATATTTGCACGGGACAAGACGGGCCTGTGGTTGGCAGTATGATTGGTTCAAGGGCCAAAATTCAGAGGATATTTCATCCAATTTCTATATATTCATAAATTCAGAGGATAGTTCATGCAATTTCTATATATTCATATGTCTCCACTTGCTTTGCACATTATAGAACTATATTTCATAGATAGGTTTCCTAAAGTGCGGGTACCTCCAAATCATCCAGTCGTCATGGATGACATATTGAAACCTATGATGACTCGGGGATCCCCCTATGCCTTAAGAACCCCCCAATTATAGATCATTGTTGTGGGGATCCAGCATTTTATTATCATTACTACTATGAGTATCATTATTATCAACATCATTATTATCATGATTTACTATGGTACATTAGTACTATATATATATCATATATATCATTAGATTATATTATATATATATTATATTATATATATATATATTATATCAATATATATATATATATATTATATATACATATATATATATATTATATATATATATTATATATATATATATATATTTGGTCAAAAGCCCCTGCCTGGAACTCTTCCGTTGCCCGTTGCCCGCCAGGAGAGTTGGGTGTCTGCGAATTTCAGCCCGGCACACCCGGCACCAACGCCACGGTGCCAGGCTGGGGATTCTTGGCCAGTGGAAATCAAGATTTACCATGCGGGAATGCCGAGAATCCCCGAAGTCAATGGAGGTTTATAGCATTTTAGAGCTGGAAAAATGGTATAAATATGTATAAATGGAGGATTTCCTAGGAACATCATCACTGGAGGTTTCACCTATGGAGGTTATCGGAAACACATATCTATTCATGAAGGAAACGCAGATCGGAGATTGAACCTATCAACTTTGGAACGTAGCTGAGGAAAGCGCCGATTCAAATCTGGGTACCCTCTGGTAATCTAACATGGTTTTCCTTGAAATTTTACCAGGTAGTTCTTCGAACTGTTTGTGCGGTCTCATGACATAATAGTGACGCCTTCATGTGTTTAGGCTCTCAGCTGGGGTTGTAAATGGTAGTTTGTTCTAAGTGTAAACAAGTTGAGGCACCAGGGAGTGATTCCTGGTGTTTAGCCTGTGGAGCGTGGGAGGCACTTGAGACCGAGCTGGGAAGCAAGTGGCACAATCCCGTGCTCAGGTCCCTGGCCGAGGACACGCTGGTATCGGCTGTGAGGACCATCAGGTCCCTGCGATCGCTGGGTGCTTCTTTCAGCAGCGCTGAGCGTGCTCGTGCAGCTGCTGTAGAGGAGCCTCATACCCGTGGACGATCAGTCAGGGACAGTGGTCGGGAGCGCAGGGAATTGCCCCCGCCTCCACCTCCACCGGTACCGGTCAAGAGGCAACAGGAATCTTCAGGCGACGAGGGTGAAGAGTCTGAAGAGGAGGAGGACGACCGCATTGACGACCCCAGTGGGAGGCCGGTTTCTAAGGCAGCCCCACCGCGTAGGCCGCCTGAACCAGATCATCCTCCACGAGGTTACAAGCGTGAGCACTCCGAGGAGAATCAGCACAAGTCCCGACGAGACAAGCGTAAGCGGAAGAAGGGCAAGAAGAGCTCGCGTGGAGGTCGGAAACATCAACGACTTTACCGCAGCTTGGAACAGCCTGAGATTCGACTCCACCGGAAGATTTCATCAGTCTTCTGGGACAAACGCCCATCCCTTGACGGGCGACCCGCCCTGCCCCGGCGCAGGTAGGGATGTTCGTTTGGAGAGAAGGTCAAGAGTTCCACCTGGGGGACCCAGCGGGTTGGAACGCTTTGCAACTGGGTCCAGGCATGGTGATCGAAGTCCTTTTGAAGCCCGAGGCAACTGGAGGCAGAGAGGGCATTTGGGCAGGTCTGCTGGTCACAGAAGTGCATGTGGCCGGGCACGACAACCCCTACATCAATGTCTTCGTCAAGAGCCTGGGATGCCCCGATCCGGAAGTGTCCAAACAGTTGTCCAGCTGGTTCAACCGCCGTGCTGGGTACATTCATCTATGTTCAGACGAGGCATGCACGGAAGAATCAGAGTGCTTGGTGCATGTTACGCAGCTCAAGACTTACAGTCCAGAAGGTTTTCGACGCGACTACATGAGTGCCACCGTGTTGCGGCAGTTGAAGAAATGGCTGGAGGACCTTGGGTTGGACGATCCCGAAAATCGCCCTACGGGCCCTACCATAGAGGGTGCTGGCGAGGCTGGCCGTGCGGACCCTGGCTTGGAAGGAGAGCTTGGCGATTTTGCAGATGGAAAGACTGGCCTTGCAGGAGACCCACCTGTGGGAAATCGACCAGCACCAGGCGATCTCAAGGCCGTGGAACGCGCCCGTTTGCGGGAGCGGCTGGCCAGGACGCGCGAGGTTATGGCTGGTCGAGTTGGCGCGAGGGATGCTGGTAAAGTTGCCGTGCACCCCAAAGGTGTCGGGGAGCCTATCGACATCTCCTCTTCGGAAGGTTATTCACCCTCTGTGGAGGTGAAGTTGGAGGAGAAGAAGAAGAAGAGAGAAAAGAAGAGGGTCAAACACCGGCCGCTGGACCCCGCCGGTCCGGGTCGAGCCCTTGTGGTGACAGGTCAAGAACTTCGACTTCCTGGAGGAGCTGGCAACGATCCCGAAGCCCCGAAGAAGAAGAAGAAGGGGAAGGAGAAGGCGAAACCTACAGAGGCATTGGAGGAGGTTTCAAACGCCATTACTACCGGAAACTTGCAGAAACAACTCATGGTACGAGCTGCCGAGGCGGCCGAGGAACGCCGCGAGAGGAAGAGGAAGGAAAGGAAGCACAACAAGGATCTTGGGGAGCAGTTGGCTCAGATCCTTACCAAAGTTGTTGGTCAGAAAAAGAAGAAGAAAGACAAGAAGAAGAAGAGAAAGAAGAGAGGAGGAGGTTACCCAGGAGGCAGCCCCGGAGGGAGCTCCGGCAGCTCTCAGACCAGCAGCTCAAGAGAGGGCTCTGGAAGCGGCTCGGAGGAGGAAGAGAGCAGCAGCTCCGACTCTGGGAGAATGCAGCCCCCGCTCAAGAAGATGGCCATCCACAAGCCCGGGTCGGTGTTAAAGATGCTCATAGACCACGCCCGGGAGAGACTGGACCAGACAGCCAAGGTCACCGTGGCAAGGAGAGACGATTCCAACGCCACACAAGGGGTGAGGATCTCCTCCTACTTTCAGATCGTGGTCAAGCCCCAACTGTCAGCCGGAAGCCCTCAGTTGCGCGAGTTGCACATGCTGTCGCAGGCCGTGGATCTCCTGAGGTCTGGCGAGTTAGACAGTCTTGGAGACTTGCTAGCATCGCGCTTCATCTCCCTGCATCAGGCAGGGCTAGATGGACACTGGGGGGCAGCAAGGCACTTGGAGCTCATCCCCTACGAGGAGACCACGGCGGCAGGACCCGAGATCGTCTTGAAGGCCAGGAAGCACGCGCGATTGGCAGCACAAGTTGCTGGCGCGAAGCCGAGCAACTGGAAAGGAGGCGCAAAAGGAAAGACTAAGACAAGAGCGCAGTGGGAAGATGCGTCATGGCAAGGCGATGGAAAAGGCAGAGGCAAGAAGGGAGACAAAGGTCGAGGCCGCGGAAAAGGAGGCTGGAAGGGCCAGGGTGCGCAGGAGCCCAATGCGGAGACGCGGCAGCGGGAGAAGGCACCCGAGAAGTGAAAAGGCACCGCAGTGATAGTGTCTTGCTGGCCCAGGCCGTGCAAGAGAAAGGCCAGGAGGAGGAGCATGGGTTTGGAATGCCCACTTCGGTTACTCCCACATTTTGTGGTCGAGGGTTTGACTCTAGCTCTGGAACCCTTACATTGAGGGAGTCCGTCGAGCTTTGCACGACACTCAAGATGATTGGTTGTGTCTTGGCTTGGTGGATTATACATGGTTTAGAGGCAGCCGAAGTTACAAGTGTCACTCGGGAATTCTTCGGTTGCTGGGTTAACAGCCGTGCAGCTGAGGACAAGTCACTTCCTGGGCGTCCCCGGGGGGTGACTTTCCCAATCCGAGAGGGAGAGCTTGAAGAATTCGTTCAGGCCATGCAGGTTTGTGATTTGAGACAGGCGTCTGCCCGTGACGCTGTAAGGCGCTGGGCCAAGGACGCTTGGACGTATTTGATCTTTGTAGGGCTAAATGCTCTGAGCGGGTCCGTGCCACGCCCAGCAGTAGGCCGCTGGACCCAAGTAGAGCAGAGGGCTGCGGCCTCCGTGAGGAAGGCGGTTGAGTCGCGGTGTCAAAAAGATACCGAGGATCTACCTTGCAGCCTCGAGGCCTGGAAAAAGGACATGAGCAGCCGTGTTGTTGGATATGGGGGAGAAGAGATAGGTATTTGTGAGATGCTTACCTTAGAGCAGGTTTTGCCAGCATTGCCGTTGGCAGAGCATGGGGGAAGTGTGGATGCGTTGGATTGGGTTGGCCCTCGAACTAGGTTCTTCCTCCAAAACCCAAAGGAGTTGCTTAAGGGTCCTGGGGATGTTTGTTTGCCTAGGCTTCCTGGTAAGGTTCATATAAAAGGGGATGAAAAGCTTCAGATTGGTGAGGAGTTGGTAAAGAGAAATGTTTGCGAGTGGATTCCGCTGGAAAAGGTTTACTGCGTCAATGGACAACCTATCCTGAATGGTCTTTTCGGGGTTACAAAACCAACACTGTTGAAAGATGGACGTCCTGTTCTCCGTCTTATCATGAACTTAGTTCCCAGTAATGCAACACAGTTTCAGTTGGAAGGTGGTTGTAACAGTTTGCCAAGTATTACTGCATGGCAGAGCATTGTGATTGAAGATGGAGAAAGTCTGGCCTGTTATCAATCGGATATGTCAAGCGCCTTCTATCTGTTCAAGCTGCCACGTTGTTGGTTACCTTATCTCGCCTTGAGCGTGCTGGTTGATGGAGAAGCTATCAATGGGGTTCATGGACAAACATATGCATTGGCATGCAAGGTCATCCCAATGGGATGGCAAAGCTCTGTAGGAATTATGCAAGAAATCTCTGAGAACCTCATGAAGCGAAACAAGATTACACCACTTCATCAAGTATGCCGCGGAAAAGTTCTTCCACCCTGGATGTCTGAAGTGTTAGGGCAGGCTGATTCAGAGGAGCGGCACTGGTGGCATGTCTATTTGGACAATTTCGCAGCAGCTGAACGGGTTGTGCCATCTCAAGCGTCACTAGCGGCACAGATGTGCCACGAGGCAGCGGAGCAAGCTTGGTCAGAAGCAGGTGTGGTTTCCTCGAAAAAGAAACGAATTAGCGGACAGCAGCAGATCGTGGAGCTTGGAGCGGAAGTCGATGGGGAACAGAAGCAATTAGGAGTGGCTACTTCTAAGTTAATCAAGTTGATGCAGGCTTCACTCTGGCTTTTGCAGCAGCAGTTCCTAAATCGAAAGCATGTTCAAATACTTGCGGGGCGTTGGGTTTTTGCCTTACAGTTCAGGCGCCCAGCAATGAGCGTTCTGGATGCTACATGGAAGTTTATTGGAGGATCGGAAAAGGTGACTCTGAAGTTACGTAATGAAGTTCGAAAAGAATTCCTCATGCTTGTATTTCTGGGACCCTTGCTTTACTGTGATTTGGGGGCTAGGATTGCGCAGTGCACAATGGCCTCTGATGCTTCAGAACAGGGAGGAGCTGTAGGAGTTGCAAAGACACTGACAGTAGCAGGAAGAGATTTTGTAGCAGCTTCAAGGGTACAAGACCGTTCTGGACCCTCAGAGAAAACCCCTATCCTGCTAATCTCACTTTTTAACGGGATTGGGGGAGCGTTCCGTGCTTATGACATAGCAGGGGTTTTGCCGGCCTATCGGATTGCTGTGGAGCTGGATGAAGGTGCCAACAGGATAACAAGTAGAAGGTGGCCTGGAACTTTAATTATCAAAGATATCCATTTGGTGACGAGAGGTTTGATTCGTGATTGGAGCAGAAAATATTTGGATATCCTGGAAATTCATGTGTGGGCCGGTTTTCCCTGTACAGATCTTTCGAGCGTCAAGTTTCAACGTGAAAACTTGGATGGGTGCAATAGCAAGCTTTTCTATGAGGTACCCAGGATTGCACAACAGCTGTCAGAAGAGTTTGGGCCTGAAGTTGTGGTGAAGCGAGTGGTTGAGAATGTTGCATCCATGGACGAGCAAGCAGCGAACACTATATCAGAGGAGCTGGGGCTGACCCCGTATCTAGTGGATCCGGTGCAGGCAGTTCCCATGCGGAGACCTAGGTTTTGTTGGTGTTCTGAACAACTTGAAGGCACATTTCCTGACGTTACGGTTACTCCAGAGCGTTATTGGAAACGGGTTGATGCTGAAGCTCCATATCCCTTATCCAGCCAATGGGTTTCGGATGGTTTTGAGTGGAAAGGGGGCGAGTGGGGAGAAGTTCTCCCCACTTGCCTCAAAAGCATTCCGCGAAAGGTACCACCACCTCGTCCGGCGGGCCTTGCAAAATGTGATGGACCTACAAGGGAACGTTGGAGACAAGATTCTTTTAGGTACCCACCATATCAATACCAAGAACGGTTTGTCTTTTCTTCAGGGGAAACTTGGCGTCTTGTTAATGCAAATGAGAAAGAACTTTTGCTGGGGTATGGATATAAACACACTGAAGTAGCGTGGGCAGCCTCGAAGATCAAGCAGAACCAAATAGGTTATTCAGACGCAAGGAATTCTTATTTGGGAGATAGCTTCAGCATTTACAGCTTTGTGATGTTTGCAGTCGCATGTTCAAAGAAGTTCTTGCCGGTGTTGACTTACAAGCAGCTTGCTTTACGGATGGGTTTGGCCCCCGGGTTCAGGGCATCTCTGAGAACAGTGGCACCCTTGGGAAAATCGCTTCTGTATGGGACCCCCTCAAAAGCTTTGATTCAACTGGATGGAGACCCTGAACAACTCAATAGGTTATTGCTTCGTAGGACCAACCATACTGGATCTGACGTACGTGTTACCAGTGGCGAAGTGATGAACTCTAAGGTATTCCCCCGGCAGTCGGTTCAAGCAAAATGGTGGCATTGGGAACCCTTATTTTCACAAAGATGGAAACGAAAAGCTCACATCAATGTCCTTGAGTTGGAAGCGTTGCTGCTCAGTGTAAAACATCAGGTTGAAAGGTTTAAACTGTCTGAGGCTCGGTTGTTTCATCTTAGTGACTCATATGTTACAATTAGTGTTGTCAGTAAGGGTAGATCAGCCAGCAAGCAGCTTCAGCGGGTGATGCGCCGCCTGGCGGCCATTTTATTGGCCCATGGGTTGTTCCTAATTGTGGCACACGTGGAGTCCACGGATAACCCAACCGACTTCATGTCGCGACATTGCAAGTGATGGGAAGATTGGTTGCTGGGAAATTCTCCCGAGCAGAACGGGCCCGTCAACGCTTGACGATCAACCTTGATGATGCAGCTTTGACGCCAGCCACCCAACAACGTTACTACTTAGCCCTGCGAAAGGTGTTACCATTTGTTGAGCAGTGCCGATGTGAAGAAGAACTGGACCCCCAGGTATGCAAATGGGTGAGATTGATGTGGCGGCAAGGGGAGCCCTTGTTGACTATAGGAGATGGTTTGTCTGCTCTACACTTTTTCCAACCTTGGATGAAACGTCGAATTCCTCATGCATGGCGCCTCTTTTCAACCTGGCGCCGGCTGGAAATCCCAGCTCGTGCGCCCCCGCTGACCCAAAGGATCGTGCGGGGGTTAGCTGCATATGAGATGATATTGGGAAACTTCGAGATGAGTGCCCTTTTACTTTTGAGTTTTCATTGCCTTTTACGAACAGGAGAACTTCTTGCTTTAAATCCCTCTGACCTACTTTTGGGGGAAGACTCTGGCATAGTTTCCCTTCAGTCTACCAAGTCAGGGAAGTGCAATGCGGCTACTGAAGCCATTAGCATTACTGACACAGTGACTCTTGAAGCAGTACGTAATTTACTGGCTTGCCGCAAGGCGTTGACTTCTGGTAATTTCCCCCTCTGGAATAGCTCACCAGCAGCGTTTCGCAGAAGATTTGCTCAGCTTTGCAATATCTTTGGTTTAGACCATTTACAGTTCAGACCTTATTCGCTTCGGCGAGGAGGAGCGACTGATCTGTTTCAACAAACACAATCGATGGAGGCAGCATTGATTAGAGGGCGCTGGGAATCTTCCCGTGTGGCCCGTATATATATATATCTGATGGTTTGAGCCACCTCCCTAAGCTGACCCTTTCTAACCGTACTCAGAGCATGTTGGAAGCTTGTTATTTTCTTGACCCACTCCGTGGGTGAACGCTGCGCTGGGGGATTTGGATAGAAGCAGGACGCTGAAAAATTTTTCGTGCTTTCCTCTTCCATGAGGCCTGAGACATAGCTTCTACCATGAAGCTTACTAAGGTGAATGAATACCCTTCTACCATGAAGGAAATGTTATGGTGATTTGACCAAAAATTGGTCTTGGTTTCACAATTCAGTGGTGAGACAATGGTCTCTGAAATAAAGCCAGAACCTTGGCGGCACGGCAAAAATGGAATGAAGAGCACAAGGTAGTTCTTCGAACTGTTTGTGCGGTCTCATGACATAATAGTGACGCCTTCATGTGTTTAGGCTCTCAGCTGGGCCCTAACCTCTCCCTCCCTGGGATAGAATCAGGACGCTGAAAAATTTTTCGTGCTTTCCTCTTCCATGAGGCCTGAGACATAGCTTCTACCATGAAGCTTACTAAGGTGAATGAATACCCTTCTACCATGAAGGAAATGTTATGGTGATTTGACCAAAAATTGGTCTTGGTTTCACAATTCAGTGGTGAGACAATGGTCTCTGAAATAAAGCCAGAACCTTGGCGGCACGGCAAAAATGGAATGAAGAGCACAATTTATAGGTGTTTTTTCCTCATTTGAACACCCATTTAGTTGGGCAATTTCCTAGCCGTGTTTGATGACACCGGAGGTTTATATCGTTTAATCATTGATGAAAGTGGCCCCGGATTCGGATTTGCTGGTTAGTTTTTCATACATTAATGGGGTGTACACAATAATCAACCATCCATTTCCCCCGATGGGGGATCCATCCGACATGACTTGCAGGCTGGACGCAGGCAAGGTGTACACCAGGATACGCCACTGCCAAGTGTGCTGAAGCTCAGGGAACTTTGGTAGCTGAACATATTAATATATGGGGTACATATTATATATGTATGTGTATATATATATATATATGTATGTATGTATGTATGCACGTATATATATATATACACATGTTGATATATGTATCTTAAGTGGCATATATCTAATATATATATATATATATGTGAAACGATGGGCTCGCAAAACCACTTAGGATTTGGTGCCCCGGAATTTCAACAGGTGAAGTCTATGGTTTCCACCAGGTGGGAACCTCCACCGCCTCCACCAATATTTCCTGCGCGTTGGGATGCAATTTGAATAATGTTTTCAAAATGGGGTTACAAATTGTATTGATCATAATCCCAACGATGTATTCGATGTATCAAATGTTGTAAAATGTATCAACGCTATCGTTGGGTTCAATGGATAATCAATATTTGATGCTATTTAATTATATCCCAACGATGTATCAAACATTATTGCAAAAAATATTGATGGGGATGCCCATGGTATTTAATTACATGCTATTTCAAAAATATGCCTTGATGCAAGGATTAAGTACATGCTATTTTTTGGTATTAAGTAAATTAAGTCATTAGCATTGCGGGGCAGGTTTAGGAAAGCTGGTCAGTAACATTTTCGCACCTATACAGTGGCCGGGAATGCTATACTGTAATGTTCTAAGGATATTTTGAGATAGGCAACAATACATGCTGTTTGGTGGTTTGGAACATGTTTCATTTTCCCATATATTGGGAATAATCATCCCAACTGACGAACTCCATCATTTTTCAGAGGGGTAGGTCAACCACCAAGCAACATGATATTTGATATTTGTGTCATGGAGAAATTCACAAAACATGGAGGATTTGAGATCGACGTGAAGCCCCATATAGCCTTCTTACAGCTTAGCGAGTCAGGAGGTACCCTGGGAGGACTCGCGAGGTTATGCTGTGGAGCTGCGTTTCGCAGACCTCCAAAGAACGAAACTTAGTAGTCTCTCGTATGACAATATGACTCTTCGTGGCCTTTCTTTTCGCACGAACACGAGCAATCTGGGTGCCCACTTGGGCTGGTTTGCAAAGGCTTCATATCAGAAGGCTCCTTCACATGGGCACACCGTTTCTTTACAGGAATTTGATAGCCTTTATTCTCAATACAATATTTCTCCACACAAAGTGGATTTTGTGATCCCCAGCATCGACGCTCATTCAAATGCAGAGGGCCCGAGGGCCCTATTCCCATGTCCTACGCGGAGGCATTGTGGTATTCCGTATACCACATTTTCAGCTGAGGCCTTTAAACCTTGCTGATCTTTTGGGATGTAACATTTTGAAACAGCTTGGAGATGGTCAAGCTATGTGCCAGTCATTACCACGTCGAAGGAAGGTGGATTTGGTCCTGAAAATGGGGTACAGATAAAGTCCAATAATGGCTGGCCATACATCCGTGGCCATGGAGTTGCCACAAGATGCCGTAGTTTGGCGCCATTGTGTTTAAATAGGCCTTAATGAGCCAATAGTATGAGTGACTTTAGATCCAAGTTACTCTCTGGATCAGGGTCGATTTCGACCCTGAACTCTTGAGTTCATCATGGTTTTTTCTTGGGGTTTTCCGTGGAGAAACCTTGGTGATCCAGTTTACTGGAGGAATCTCCGTCCACAAAAAAGGGCAACATTGACTTTATTCTTGATTGAATAGTTGCAGTATCCAATTCATCAATATTTATACAGACTATAAAGATTTGCAAAAACAACCAATTTTTAATTTCTAAGATTTAAATAGCTTTAAACTATTGAATCCAAGCTTTATTGAATCCTATCTTTATTGAATCCTATCTTGTGTTTTAAGTATGGATCCGACACTCTGAGGTGCGCCATGGGAACAAGGGAAATGCATGGGACAGGCTCAGCCGGCCGCTTGGCATGTTGCGATCATCGTTGGGATGGTCTGTTTGGGGAGACATTAGGATATATTTCATTAGTGATACATTAGGATGGGTTAGAATGAGGATGTAATAGTCTTTTCTTTTTTTAAATATCCCATTATACAAAGATATATTGAGATTAGTGGAGGTAATTATATTCGGATTGATGGGATATTTTATACTGGTATATTAGCGGATATAATCATCTGGATATAATAGGTATATATAACTTCATAGTTCAAACTTAGTGAAATTAGTTTAATTTTAACTTTTAACATAACTCAATAGTTCAATCCTTGGATTTTCACGTCGGACGTCCCCCTGGATCCGTTAAAAAACAACTGAGGCGGCGGAAGGGCTAGCGATCTGGGCGCTTCTCTGGGAGGAGCAAGGGGAAAAACGTAGTCCAGAAGATACCTGGATTACCCTCTGGTAAACTAAGTGTTTGCTATTGAAGCCATGGCCATTTAGTCCGTGGAGATTTACCCATAAAAAATGGTTACTTTTTGTCTAGTTATCTTAGTTTACCAGAAGGTATTGATCGGAACACCATCAATGTGATGAGAAATAACGACTATAGACATCTGTAATTATATATATATAGAATATAATGGGATAATATCGAACTGACATGGCATATAATGGCACATAATGGGGTAATATTGGACTGATATGGCATATAATGACACATAATGGGATAATATCGGACTGATATGGCATATAATTGCATATATAATGGCATATAATGGGTCAAAACGTATGAAATACCAGCTATTCAATTAAGATCCATGACCAGCTATTTTTGGGGAATAAACATCCATTTAACTAACCAGATATTGCCAGTACAATCCCATACATATGAATTGTCAAACTCAGATTCTCCATAATATATATATATATAATATGTATATGTTTTCAGTGTATCACATTGTTTCCAGTAACTGTCCATCTGTAAACCATTGTTCCACATCTTTCTGTATGTTTACCCCAGGGTCAAGTCAGATTTCCACTTCTCCCATATATCTTCCAAGTCTTTCTCATATATTTTCCATGACCTCCAGTGTATAATCTACATTTTTTCTGGAGGTTCAACTTAAAATTAGAGATGAATATTGGAGATGTTCAACTCATGTCCATATTTGATTTCTCCATATTTTTCCAGTATAATCTCTATATTTTCCCAGATATCTGTACCAGATATCCATATATTTCCCCTAAGATTTCCAGTGGTAGGACCACTTCGACACCGACACCTGCGTCCTGGACGGCAGCGGCGTGTTACGCCCCAGCCCCGAGTTCTGGAGCTCCCTGGCGTGGAAATGTGGGGCAAAGTTCTGGAGCTCCCTGGGGAAAAATGGAAAAAATATGGGATGACGATGGGACTCATGTAAGAAAATCATGGATATGGATGAAATATGCGGTTGATGTAAGAAGATATGGGTTAAATACGGGATTAATGTAAGAAAAAGCCTGGATTTGCTGAATGATCTGCAGGTAATATGTTTTTTTTTGGGGGGTTCTTGAAGCAGATCCGAGAATGATCTCCGATAGCTGAAAAAAACTGGCGATTTAACACATGAATCGGGTGATTTAACTCATATATGTATATACAACATCCCTATCATCCTTGATTAAGGTATACAATCACATTTATAAACCATATTATCACATTAAAATCTATATCAAGCCTCCTTTTTTGATCAGTTTCCGGCCTCCCTGACCTGCACGAGGTTCAGAGATTGGCTACAAACGTGGCAAGGAGGGATGATTTGTTTCATCATGTTGTGGTAAAGATGTACTACACAAAAATGGTTTTACCACATCATCAACAAGATAAAAGTCGTGGGATGATGTGGGAAACTAGTAATTTTTGATAATAAAACCATCCCAAATGATAAAACACATAGGGTATGGCCCAACAATAGCTTGAAATGATGAGGGTTTGTCTGAAAAAATAGGAATGGCCACCAAAATAGCAATTTCCATAGCAAAGATGAATGCCATGATGCTTTTAACCATGAGATTTTGGTACTCTATTTTCGGACACATATTCCATGATTTTCCTAGTGGAAATTGCATTTTTGTTTGGTTCTGTGTGAGATTTTATGGGTGTAACAATGCAAATATCACGGGCGGGCAACCTGCGGAATGATTCAGTGCAGCTTAAGTGATGTGGGTCAAGCAATTGTGTAAGTGTACTGCCACAAAATGTAGATGTAGGGTCGTATACAGGTCTAAAACTACGGGGAAACACAGTCTTTGCTTACTTGCTGATTGGTGGTTTGGAACATGGTTTATTTAAGGGCTGACGCCCCTCGTCGGCTCCGCCGGATTTCTCGACCCTCCATTTCATCGCAGTGTGGGCTTGAAAGCTTTTGGATGGGGACCTGCTTCAGAAATATATTCCTTATGTTTTTTGAAAAAAGTTCATGGAATAGGAACTTTGTTGGAAATAGACGGCTTTTTTGGGGAGCAAGTGAGTTCCCGAAAGCTCCTGCCAAGAGTTTGTCCCGAACAACTGCTGCCAATTTCAACTGGTTACTTCGTGTAAAGGCGCCTCTGTGCAAAGACTTCTGCGTGTAAAAGCTTTTGCGCGTAAAAGTTTCTGTGTGTAAAAACCACTTTGTGTATAAAGACTTCTTTGTGTAAAAGCTTCTGTGTGTGAAAGCTTCTCTGTGTGAAAGCGCGTCTGTGTAAAGATTTCACTGTGTGTAAAAGCTTCCGTGTGTAAAACTCTCTGTGTAAAGGCTTCTCTGTGTAAAAGCTTCTGTGCGTAAACGCGTCTGTGAGTGAAAGAAAGCTATATATCTGTGTAACGACTTCTTCGTGTAACAGCTTCTGTGTGTAAAGGCTCCTAGACGTTTGTGTGCAAAAGCTCCTTAAAGTAAAGACTTCTCTGTGTAAAACTTCCCCGCCAGGATTTGGCCAAAAACGGCCGTTTCCCAATGATCCCAGAAGAGAAAGTCAATAGCCGGCCGAGGGACCGCCAAATGGCAGAAATATGCTTCCGAAAGGCTCCCGGCCAGGATTTGTGTAAAACCTTCTGTGTGTAAAAAGCTCCTTTGTGTAAGGACTTCTCTGTGTAAAAGCTTCTGTGTGTGTAAAAGCTTGCTGTGTGTAAATGCCTTTGTGAAGGCTTCTCTGTGTAAAAGCTTCTGTGTGCAAACGCGTCTGTGTGTAAAAAGCCCTCTGTGTAAAGACTTCTTTGTGTAACAGCTTCTGTGTGTAAAGGCTCCTAGACGTTTGTGTGCAAAAGCCCCTTAGAGTAAAGACTTCTCTGTGTAAAACCTTCTGTGTGTAAAAAGCTCCTTTGTGTAAAGACTTCTCTGTGTAAAAGTCCCTGTATGTGTAAAAGCTTCTGTGCGACTCCTCCATCCAGCTTTCTTTCGGGTCACGCTGTCGTGCAGTTTCAATCTGCAACAGTGTTTCTTGTGGAAGATTGAAAGAACAGGTGAAAGCATCGCAGGTTAAAAAAATTAACATAAACAGCGCACAAAGTGCTGTAATTTACAGCATTTTGCGCTGTCAGATGGCAAGAACCCGCGTAAATACCACAGTTTTAGTCCCCGAAAGTGGCTAAAACACTGTTATTTACAGGGTTTCGTTCACGTCACGATCTTCGATTTTTTGAAACACGCGTAAATACCAGCGTTTTTTGCGTTCATCAAGGAAAAAAATCGGTTCAGAAAGGGAAGAAAATGCTGTAATTTACAGGGGTTTGGCGCCGCCACGGGCAAAAAACTGCGTAAATACCAGCGTTTCGGCGTCCAAAAGTGGCCAAAACACTGCTATTTACAGTGTTTCGTGCCTTCCACGTTTTCTTGAAATTGCAAAAACATTGTGAATAGCAGCAGTTTTTGCGATCAACACGCCAAAAATGCTGTAATTTACAGTGTTTTTTTGCTTGGCTTTCAAAAACACTGGTATTTGCGGTGTTTTGTGCATCTTGGGTCCAAAAAGTATTGGTATTTACAGCATTTTCTGCGTTTTTGCATGGCTCCCGCAAAAGATGTTAAAACAGCATTTTGTGACTTTCGAAAAGCGAAAAATCGTCCGAAAAATGTGTCAAAACGGCGCTTTTTTCCGATTTTAGGTACCCTCAAAACGGGGGGGGGGGAAGGCTCTTGGAGACGCTTATGAGCGACCCGGATCCCGGCCAAAAAGCTCTCCCCCACCCTCCTGAAGGATTTTTGGTGTTTTTCGGGGCCCGGCGTCGGAGGGTCGGCGGTTTGGGGCGCGCCTCACCTTAGAGCTCTAGTCGCTCTGGGACGCTCGTGACGCATTTGTCAGCGTACTCGTGGGGAGCCGGCGGAGCCGAATTTTTCCATATATTGGGAATGTCATCATCCCAACTGACGAACTCCATCATTTTTCAGAGGGGTAGGTCAACCACCAGTTGTGTAGGGCTGTTGGAAACCAGCAACCATTTTCGAACTTTTCAGATGGTTAGGGTCCAGGGTGTAGTCTCAGTTGATGGAAACCACCATTTGTTGTTGGGCAATGTGGGTTTCTATCAACAGAATAGGGGTATAATGGAGCTGATACCCAGAATCAGGATGAATCAGGTATATCCAGTTGTGAGTTGGTATCAGCTCACTTTTTTGCCATTGTTGTTGGTTATCTGTATCCCGTTTTTGGTTGATTCCGAGCACCATTTCTGTTAATCAAAACACCCCAGGAGTTGCAGTGGTACCAGCCAGAAAATGCTGAGTGCAACTTGTCGGGCTATGTTTATCCGGGAGCCGGTTGGAGCTACTAAGATTACTAAGAGCTTCCCAACCACGTATTGTTTTGAGGGTTGTTTTGAGCAGATGTTGTTTTTTTTCTGCTGGTTTAAGGACCAGTACAGTTTGTTTGTTTATTGTTGTTCCTTCTAAATTTTGCCGTTTTCATATGGGTTTGTCTTCAAATAGGCTACCCCGGGTACAGTTTTTCCATCTCTGTAAAGGTTGCAATTTGAGGAAACCGATGGAAAACGTCATTCTCCGCATTAAAGAAAATGCGATTTTGTAGGACCCCAATATTTTCGTGTGTTCGACGCATTGCCATGCATCTCTGATTCCACTGATTGTGGGTACTTTTATAGCCACTTGTACCATATTTTGTATGTGGAAACCATCAATTGGCCTCAAATCTAGGGTTTGTTTTGCCAAAACCATAGAACATGAAAAGATTTCAACATGGACACCTGCTGGACCTGCTGATTGGTGGTTTCAGAGATTGTTTTGCCTCCAACCTAGGATGATGATGTTGTTGTTGGTGATCGTGGATGTGTTTGGCGGTTGAAACCGCGACAGCACTTGAAATGATGGGAATTGTAAGGGTAACTCTCCTCAAATGGCCAAAGTGTAAACTTTGATATAGGTTACCCTCTGGTAAACTAACATAACTATGGAAAATCACCATTTTTAATGGGAAAACTCACTATAAATGGTCATTTTCAATAGCTATGTTAAATTACCAGAGGGTAAGGTGAATTGTCACTATGACTATCCCATATTTTGTAATTTCGTGAATACACATCAAAAATTATCAAAATATCCCATTGAATAACAATAGCACTCCCAACCTTGGATGGGTAGTTTAATCCTTAGTTTTTTTTGCTATAAATGGAAAATAACCACAAACAACATATTATTTCTTTGTAGACCACCAAAGATTGACCATATATCATGATCCCATAGATATTGCAACACCACTATTACATTATCGCCAGTGTGAAAAAGCGTGGTGTCATGTTTGTTCATGTATAAACCCCACGAAATTTCGATACCTCTACCATAAACCCAAGAGTTATTGGAGTTATGTTCACCAACTTGGTTTTCATAAACTAGCTATATAGATCCCATTAAAAAGGTGGATTTTTGCTGGTTAAACATGGTTAAATTACCATGTTCCTATGGTTTTAACGGGCACCAGCTTGTTTCTTTTGTGCTCCAAGAATTTTTGTCCTGTCTTCGAGGCCGCAACGGGGAACTGATCATCACGGCCCGAAGAGAACGGCAGTCCTGGGAGAAGCCCGAGGTGCAGAACGCTTCGGTGTCGTTGGTGAGTCAATTGAGTTTGAAAACTGACAAGTGAAAACCAATGATCAGTTAAAGGTAGAGTTTACATTGATTATACAGCTCTCATTTGCACTGACCTTTCTTTGGCTTAAAGTGGTGGTACAAATCATGAAAATTGGACTAGTGACTTGGAAATTGAGACTTTTAAGCAGACAATATGGGGACATAGCCAGAGAAAATTGGGTTTGAACGAAGAAAAACGAGGATTGAACCAGCAAAGCAAAGGGTTCAGCCACAAAAATGGGGAAGGTTGCAAGTTTTATCAAGTGGATATGTCATACGTACATGTCTCCAGCTGAAAAAACTTGATGTGCATCCCACTTAGTAAGTGGCTTATAATCCATGTATACCCCATATAATTAATCCCATATATAAGTGGGGAAATTCCACATATATATATACATACATAACTGGGGGTATAACTTAACTCATTTACCAAGTGGGATGCACCCCTAAGTAGCTAGTTGATATAGTCTATAGTCCATAAAGGATCATGGAATATAGTTGGTATATAGTTGATATAGCCAAGATAGCTGATGGCAATCTAGTCGAAATACAGTTGGCCATATGTTGATATTTAGTTTAACCGTTTAACCACCAAACATGGGTATGTAGTAGATACAACCTATGAATGGTGTGTAGGGGAAACCAACATATTTCCATATATATATGTATGTATATTCATCCTGGAGTAAGAATACGGATCAAAAGAACACTCCTGAAATACTTTGAAGATTCTATATTATATCCACTTCAGGATGATGATCTATGTTATGTTACCCCAGGGCAGTTCTAATCTTCAGCTGAACTAGGATGATCATAGTCGGTGATGTGCCTGAACAACATGGATACCCTTTGGTAATGACTAAGAGTTTGCGAATTGGAAAATCATCATCTTTACCAGGCAAATCATCTATAAATGGACCATATTCTATAGCTATTTTTGTATACATTACCAAAAGGTAATCCTTGCTGGGTTTTTCTGAAGAATTAGTGGAAAACTTCAAAACCCTGGGAGGATTCATCATTTTTCCCCATTGAAGTGGCAATTTATGGAGTTGACCCCATTTTCAGACATACCCAACTATGACTTTGTTGTTTTCTTGTACCCACTATGTCCCCTCATGTAGATCCCCATAAAGATAGCAGAAGATAGCCACAAGTTGGGGGTATCCCAAATATATCACCAGCATGTCCCCATGAGATGGATGGTTTTCCCACAATATTCCAATATTTTCCCATGGTCTAAGCGCCATCAAACATCAATATATTCCCAAATCCATTCCCACATCTAGTCACAAATATGGTAGGTGAATAAGTTATATATCCCCCTTATATACCCATCATCTGTTTTTTTTCCCCAAGCACCCCGGAGCCCACCGTCAGGGCTCGCAGTGCCGGGTGGTGGGCTGGGAAGACAAAGAGCAGCCTTTGGACAACAAAAGCTGTGCCTTCGGATGTGGATGGACGTTGGTGCCATGTGGACTATAAAAATGGATACCCTCTGGTAAACTAACATAGCCATGGACAATGGCCCATTTATAGATGGTTTACCTATTGAAAATGGTGATTTTCCATGGCTATGATGGTAGATATAAAAAGCACAGATGGTGATTTGAGCTGATTTAACTGGAGGATTCAACAAGCAACCATGGTCACCATGGTGGATTCAATCAAGCAATATGTCATGTTTGGCAGTGAAACTTGAGAGTTAACCAGCAAATGAACAGCATTGGGGTTTTGCCTCCGGTAAATGAACAGTTTGATATGGAAAACAAACATGAGGAACCCAAGGAGCAGTATCTACAAATGCTGGGTGTTCCATATCAATCTTATCTGCTGGAGGATAGCCTCCGGTGATCAACTTTGGCTTTTTTTTGAGATCTCCGTGTTTCAAAATCATCGAAGACATTCTGAAGGCAGATATCAATGGGGAATGTTCCATTGCCATTCTAACCAGGGGCGAACCTGCAAACCCGGTGTTCTGAAGTGGTTACGTCACGACCAAGTAACACAGTAACCCTATGTTTGTCGAGTCTTGGTACCTCATCTGTTGCTTAGATCAATTGCCAGCAATGACATGAATATACTTACTTGATCAATGGGAATTCCAGGATCCTAAAATGGAGGTACTGTACCATATAAGTCCATATGTTGGGGGTATATCCCCTTACATAGGCCTTATATATGGTAGGTACCTCCAATTTAGGATCCTGGAATGGCCATTGACTTGATGGTTTAGCATTCACATTTATCCGGACAGATAAACCCGATGACATGGCCGTTTTTTGACACCACTTTAGCATCTGCAAGCTATTGTCTTGTGGTACGAATCCATGGAACAGGGACATGTGAAGTCTTTAATACGCAACATCAGGACATGAACAGAGAATATATAGATACCTCCTGGGAATCAAACATGCCTTGCTGGAAAATCCTACATTTAGTTGGATGAATTTCCCAATTAGATGTACATCTCGTTCGGAGACCTCGCATGTTGCTGGGCCTGGAGGCCCTGTCAAAAACTTAAGGATCATTGGGCCGGATGACCGAATCGTGTGAGGTCATAATGATATTCCTAACCTTCTCAGGGGCTACATACTCCCTTACCTAATCCCATTCTTCTGCTTCTTCTTCTTCTTCTGATTGTCATTATCAACCCATTAGAATTGGCTTTCTCATCCACTGAAACATCCCATGAATTTACCCTCATTTTAATGGAGTTTTCCCTCAGACCCATGGGTCAACTGGTCAACATGCATTTGAAATTCGACTTGACCAAAAACTCACCGAGAACTTTCACGCGTAACTTTCACGCGTTTCAAGTCGCCGAGGTGGCGTTTGTGCGCCGCCATACTTTCAGTATTACAACCCTTGCGACCTGGTAAGGTATTTTGGCAGCAACCGGGACCCATGTCACTTAAATGACTGGGACCTGTGGTGTGGCTGGGATGTTTGATCTTTCCAAAGGGTTTTGGATCCGGTGTCAACATGGCTTGGAGATCCCCACGCTACTAAATGGAGGTTGCAAACGCTGGGAAAATCATCCAAGGAGATGGGTGACTTTCCAATACGCAATGTTGGAGCCAAATTGGGGGATTTGACCGCAGGGACATGCAGGGATTTAATCAATTAATATCGAAGGTACAAAACCCAGTAATTTATGTAATCCGTTCTATGGGGAGATACATGTAACTCATATAACGAACAAATGCGATCATCAATATTCGGTGGTTAAAGACGTCACCCCGACTTTACTGTCATATAGCAGTTGGAAAAAACGTAGGCTGGTGAATCACTATAACTTACCAGAAACATCCAGAAACATAGTATTTTTCATCAAACAAGATGGAAGCCACGAACCCGAATGAATTCACGTTCTTGGGCTACGAGTCCAAACCTCTGCAATAGGAAAACGAAACTTTGTTTGCATGCATCGTGCGGTTCACAAAGAGACAACTAACCAGCACAACAACATCACCACCAGCACAACGAAATCACAACCAGCACAACAATATCTATCACCAGCGCAATGAAATCGCAAAATCACCAACACAACAGCATCACCAGCACAGCAACATCACCAGCACAACGAGATCACCACCACCTGCCACACTCCACACTTTACCCACTGCACACTCCACACTTTACACTCCACACTCCGCAAACTACACTTTACACTCCACACTCCACACTCTACACTTTACACTCTACACTTTACACTCTACACTTCACACTCTACACTTCACACTCGACACTTTCCGCTCCGCACTCCACACTCTACACTTTATACTCCAGGCTCCACACTTTACACTTTACACTCCTCACTCCTCACTCCACGCTCTACACTCTTCACTCCACACTCCACACTCCACCACACTCGACACTCTACACCCACCACACTCCTCACTCCACACTCCACACTTTACACTCCACACGCCACACTTTACACTCCACACTCGCCACTTTCCACTCCACACTCCACACTCTACAGTTTACAATCCACACTTTACACTTTACACTCCTCACTCCACACTCAACACTTTACACTCCACACTCCTCACTCCTCACTCCACACACTACACTCCACACTCCACACTCCATACGCCACACTCCACCACATTCTACACTCTACACACACCACACTCCTCACTCCATACTCCACACTTTACACTCCACACTCACTCCACACTCCACACTTTACACTCCAGACTCCACACTCCACACTTTGCACTCCACAATCTACACTACACTATACACTCCACACTCCACACTCTACACTTCCACACTCTACACGCTCTACACTCCCCACTCCACACTATACAAAGCACTTCCCAGTACTACTTTGTACTGCAAAGCTTGCACAAAGCACTTCCCAGTACTACTTTGTACTACAAAGCTTGCACAAAGCACTTCCCAGTACTACTTTGTACTACAAAGCTTGCACAAAGCACTTCCCAGTACTACTGTGTACTACAAAGCTTGCACAAACTACTTCCCAGTACTACTTTGTACTACACAGCTTGCACAAAGCACTTCCCAGTACTACTGTGTACTACACAGCTTGCACAAATTACTTCCCAGAACCACTTTGTACTACAAAGCTTGCACGAAGCACTTCCCAGTACCACTTTGTACTACAAAGCTTGCACGAAGCACTTCCCAGTACTACTGTGTACTACAAAGCTTGCACAAAGCACTTCCCAGTACTACTTTGTACTACAAAGCTTGCACAAAGCACGTTCCAGTACTACTTTGTACTACAAAGCTTGCACAAAGCACTTCCCAGTACTACTTTGTACTACAAAGCTTGCACAAAGCACTTCCCAGTACTACTTTGTACTACAAAGCTTGCACAAAACACTTCCCAGTACTACTTTGTACTACAAAGCTTGCACAAAGCACTTCGCAGTACTACTTTGTACTACAAAGCTTGCACAAAGCACTTCCCAGTACTACTGTGTACTACAAAGCTTGCACAAACACGTTCCAGTACTACTGTGTACTACAAAGCTCGCACAAACACGTTCCCAGTACTACTGTGTACTACAAAGCTTGCACGAAACTACTTCCAAGTACTGCTGTGTACTACAAAGCTCGCAACAACTACTTCCCAGTACTACTGTGTACTACAAAGCTCGCACAAACACGTTCCAGTACTAATGTGTAGTACTACTGTGTGCTACAAAGCTCGCACAAACACGTTCCCAGTACTACTGTGTACTACAAAGCTCGCACAAACTACTTCCCAGTACTACTGTGTACTACGAAGCTTCCAGAAACACGTTCCCAGTACTACTGTGTACTGCAAATGCACAAACACGTTCCAGTACTACTGTGTACTACAAAGCTTGCACAAACTACTTCCCAGTACTACTGTGTACTACAAAGCTCGCACAAACACGTTCCCAGTACTACTGTGTACTACAAAGCTCGCACAAAGCACTTCCCAGTACTACTTTGCACTACAAAGCTTGCACAAAGGACTTCCCAGTACTACTGTGTACTACAAAGCTCGCACAAACACGTTCCCAGTACTACTGTGTACTACAAAGCTTGCACAAAGCACTTCCCAGTACTACTTTGTACTACAAAGCTTGCACAAAGTCGTTCCCAGTACTACTGTGTACTACAAAGCTTGCACAAAGCACTTCCCAGTACTACTGTGTACTACAAAGCTTGCACAAAGCACTTCCCAGTACTACTGTGTACTACAAAGCTCGCACAAACTACTTCCCAGTACTATTGTGTACTACAAAGCTTGCACAAAGCCGTTCCCAGTACTACTGTGTACTACAAAGCTTGCACAAACACGTTCCAGTACTACTGTGTACTACAAAGCTCGCACAAACACGTTCCCAGTACTACTGTGTACTACAAAGCTCGCACAAACTACTTCCCAGTACTACTGTGTACTCAAAAGCCTGCAGAAAGCACTTCCCAGTACTACTGTGTACTACAAGTGTACAAACACGTTCCAGTACTACTGTGTACTACAAAAGCTTGCACAAACTACTTCCCAGTACTACTGTGTACTACAAAGCTTGCAGAAACACGTTCCCAGTACTACTGTATACTACAAAGCTTGCACAAAGTACTTCCCAGTACTACTGTGTACTACAAAGCTTGCACAAACTACTTCCCAGTACTATTGTGTACTTTACAAAGCACAAAGCACTTCCCAGTACTACTGTGTACAAAGCTACAAAGCCCAGTACTACTGTGTACTACTCGCACAAGCACTTCCCAGTACTACAAAACTTGTGTAAGTACTACTGTGTACTACAAAGCTCGCACAAACACGTTCCCAGTACTACTGTGTACTGCAAAGCTTGCACGAAGCACTTCCCAGTGTGTACTACTCGCACAAACTGTACTACAAAGCTTGCACAAAGCACTTCCCAGTACTACTGTGTACTACAAAGCTTGCACAAACACGTTCCACTACTACTGTGTACTACAAAAGCTACAAAAGTCGTTCCCAGTACTACTGTGTACTACAAAGTTTGCACAAAGTCGTTCCCAGTACTACCGTATACTACAAAACTCGCACAAACACGTTCCCAGTACTACTTTGTACTACAAAGCTTGCAGAAACTACTTCCAAGTACTACTGTGTACTACAAAGCTCGCACAAACTACTTCCAAGTACTACTGTGTACTACAAAGCTCGCACAAACACGTTCCCAGTACTACTGTGTACTACAAAGCTTGCACAAAGTACTTCCCAGTACCACTGTGTACTACAAAGCTCGCACAAACTACTTCCCAGTACTATTGTGTACTACAAAGCTTGCACAAAGCCGTTCCCAGTACTACTGTGTACTACAAAGCTTGCACAAACACGTTCCAGTACTACTGTGTACTACAAAGCTCGCACAAACACGTTCCCAGTACTACCGTGTACTACAAAGCTTGGACAAAGTCGTTCCAGTACTACCGTATACTACAGAACTCGCACAAACTACTTCCCCTATAGACACGGCAACATCTACGCAACAAAAGACACGAGGTCCTGCAGCTTCCCCTATAGACACGGCGACATCCACGTAGCAAAAGACACGAGGTTTTGCAACTTCCCCTATAGACACGGCGACATCCACGCAGCAAAAGACACGAGGTTTTGCAGCTTCCCCTATAGACACGGTGACGTCCACGTAGCAAAAGACACGAGGTTTTGCAGCTTCCCCTGAAGACACGGCGGCATCCACGTAGCAAACGACACGAGGTTTTGCGGTTTTGCAGCTTCCCCTATAGACACGGCGACATCCACGTAGCAAAAGACACGAGGTGTTGCAGCTTCCCCTATAGAGACGGCGACATCCACGCAGCAAAAGACACGAGGTTTTGCAGCTTCCCCTATAGACACGGCGACATCCACGTAGCAAAAAACGCGAGGTGTTGATGCTTCCCCTATAGACACGGCGACATCCACGTAGCAAAAGAAACGAGGTTTTGCAGCTTCCCCTATAGACACGGCGACATCCACGTAGCAAAAGACACGAGGTTTTGCAGCTTCCCCTATAGACACGGTGACATCCACGTAGCAAAAGACACGAGGTGTTGCAGCTTCCCCTATAGACATGGCGACATCTACGTAGCACAAAACACGAGGTTTGGCAGCTTACCCTATAGACACTGCAACATCCACGTAGCAAAAAACACGAGGTGTTGCAGCTTCCCCTATAGACACGGCGACATCAACGTAGCAAAAAACACGAGATGTTGCAGCTTCCCCTATTGACACGGCGACATCCACGTAGCAAAAGACACGAGGTTTTGCAGCTTCCCCTATAGAGTATAGACACGGCGACATCGACGCAGCAAAAGACACGAGGTTTTGCAGCTTCCTCTATAGACACTGCGACATCTACGTAGCAAAAAACACGAGGTTTTGCAGCTTCCCCTATAGACACGGCGACATCCACGTAGCAAAAAACGCGAGGTGTTGGAGCTTCCCCTGAAGACACGGCGACATCCACCTAGCAAAAGAAACGAGGTTTTGCAGCTTCCCCTATAGACACGGCGACATCCACGTAGCAAAAGACACGAGGTGTTGCAGCTTCCCCTATAGACACGGTGACATCCACGTAGCAAAAGACACGAGGTGTTGCAGCTTCCCCTATAGACATGGCGACATCGACGCAGCAAAAGACACGAGGTTTTGCAGCTTCCCCTATAGACACTGCGACATCTACGTAGCAAAAAACACGAGGTTTTGCAGCTTCCCCTATAGACACTGCGACATCCACGTAGCAAAAGACACGAGGTTTTGCAGCTTCCCCTGAAGACACGGTGACGTCCACGTAGCAAAAAACACGAGGTTTTGCAGCTTACCCTATAGACACTGCGACATCCCCGTAGCAAAAGACACGAGGTTTTGCAGCTTCCCCTATAGACACAGCGACATCCACGTAGCAAAAGACACGAGGTTTTGCAGCTTCCCCTATAGACACAGCGACATCCACGTAGCAAAAGAGACGAGGTTTTGTAGCTTCCCCTATAGATACCGATTTAACGTCGCGCAAAACGTCGCGAAAAAGGGCGCGAAAACGTCGCGCCGAGCAACTGGAGGTGAACAAGGGTCCAACCCCCAGACCCCCAACTATAAACGGGAACCCTTCGCTACGCATTCGGGGAAAACATGTCGGGATTCAATCCGTAAAAATTGGGTAAAATTGGCCAGCGGACATGGTCGTTTGCGATCTCTGAATCGTCAGTAAGCAAAGCCGTCCAGCAAAGCCAGTTTTAGTTCCAGCTTAGTTCAAGTGCGCAAACTGCTCATTTCTGAAGTTCCACCTAGCAACCAGGGGGATCACCAGCCTGCTGAAATTCGATTTTTCGACATCCAACTGGCATCTGAAACAACATTTTCAATGGTAAATGATATGTAAAAAAACAATTTTCCATGGTAAAAAGACAATTTCCATGGCAAACAACATGTAAAATCCACAGAAAGCCATCATTTCCATAGCTTTCACCCAGGCAAGACGACAGCGGCTCGGCGCCGGCCTGCGACTGTTCGCAGTCGGCGGAGTTCACAAGCGCCTCATTGATGACCAAAGGGAAGAAGGCGCGTGGAGAGGTGGTGATGGATGGATATATGGATATATATATATAGGTAGATAGATAGATAGATGGAATATGAATATTGGATATAATATCTATATGATGTCTATATAATATGGATAATGGATATATATATACATATATATATAATTATATATATATCTATCTATCACCCATTCCATAGATTTAATATGAATGGAATAATGATGGATTATGCATTATGGATTATCATCTATATATATATATATTGATGGATTATATCCATAATATCAATGGAATATTAATAATGGTAATATGGTTAATATAATATTACATAGATATTATCCATATATTTATGGAAAATTAATATTAATATATATTTATCCATATATCCATATATTATGGATTATACTGATGGATTATATCCATAAGTATCCATAGTGTATTGTAATATAATCATCAAGTTAAATTTATTTATGCATTATAGAATATTAACCATAACTAATAATAATCCATCCATTATTATATGGATACATCCATTGTTATTGATGATACATATTGATATTGGAGGGATGATTAATATTGACAATGAATAATGATACATATAATGATCATTAGTGACGATATAGAATATATATATATATTGTATGTTAATGAATAATAATGATCATTAGATGGTTCGTGATGAATAATGATTCATTATTAATATAATAGGAATATATGATGATTGCCAATGATTATAATCGGAATATATATATATACATATTAATTTATTGGATTCTATATATAGAATATATATGTATATTAATTGATCATTCGTATGTGCCTATTACATGGCTGTGGTCTATACTCCTATTGCATGGCCAATGAACAATGAATAGTCCAAGTATACAATAGGATATATGATACATACATATATATATATATTACACCTGCCCTGCCACTGGGCTCTTTAATGAACACCATGTTGGGTCTATGTGATGGTCAGCAATCCATAGGGAATTGTATCTCCACTATAAAATAGGAATTTTGACCTAGAACCACTTTCTACATTCTATGGTTACAACGGTTAGTAAGTTTGTATTGGTTAATAATCCTTTTGTGATGGCTAATAAATGGTTAATGATTGGATGTCCTTTTCCATCTTGATTCATTAACAGATGGTTCCCCTTAATTAACAACTTTAATAGCTGGATTGATAATGAATAGTCTACCAAACCGGTCGCTCTATTTTTCCCAAAAGGATCATACTGGCAGTGATGGACATATATGATTAATGGTTGATGGTTAATTTATAGCCAATAATTACAACTATAGTATAATATTCATAACAACTTATAGCGAATTGTATTTCTTCTAGGACACTGCGTTACTACTTATAATTACCCTCTGGTAATTTAATATATGGAACATGGACCATAGATTATTGATTTGATGATTTACCTATTAAACAATGGTGATTTTTCAGTTCGCTATGTTAAATAACCAGAGGGTACACGTGTTTTTTGCCTGGTCTGATGCTAGTGATCCCCCACGGCCAGCGCCAGGAGTTTTCCTATGGCCTTTTCGAATTGCGCGCCAAGATTGACACGCGACCAGGCGCTGGTCGGATGAATGGCACTGAGGGACCGGAAAGGGGACCTGGGAATCAAAAGTGGTTGGGTTAACATCTGATATGGCCGATACGGCTGATGATGTGGTTATAACATGTTATAACTATTGAATGTTTGGTACACGATCATACCTAACCAACCAGGATAGTTGAAACCATTAGCTATGTGATTTACTATATATGTTGATTATATGTTTAGTAATGCATGGTTAATCATAGGGAACCACCTGCCATTTTACGGATATACAATGGGGGGATTTGCAACGGACATGATGGTGGGTTGCCATGTGCCATGGCTGCCTAATGATGGTAGGACGACCACAACCCTAATATACCATCCAACTCGATCATGTCACACAATATATATATATATCTATGTATATATGTATAAATACACTCATACATATACATTGAATCCCAAAAATGGGATATTCCATTCATCTAACTGGGGTATATCTGCAGGTTTTTTTTGCCACTTCGACTTGCCGGGATGCGCTTGAAGTTGGAAAGAGACTGGCTGGTGATTTCAAGCATTTCTCCTTTTTCCCAATTTTTCACAAATCTACCCGTAGTCGCAGAGTGAAATATAGGATGTTCATGTTTGTGGGAATGTTTTTCAATACATATTTTAAGCGTTGATCAGAGCTCAAAACAGTTCTGGTTCATCGACAAATATCATCAGATATCTACAAATTTGCCATCATTGATTAGTTTGCTTGATTTTTTAAAACCCATCAACAACCCATGAAATATATCCATTGTCTTGCACTTATCTTTAAACTTTATACTATTCTCCTTTATATCCCGATGAAATACCCCCACGAGACTCCCATCAAAGTCAAAGACCCATGAAATATCCCCATTGTTGTTGTATTACATCCTTCATGGTTGGTTCAACCCCTTTTTGTACGGGTTAAACCAGCATTTTACATCACATATCCATGTAAAGATATACATATAATTTCATGTAAATTACGTTATTATTTAAAACAATATATCGATATATATATATATATATATCGATTATAATGATTACATTTACAAATTGTTAAATAGAATACTTCATATCCATTTCACTTGGAGGTTTCCGTTTCGTGCCCCCAAAATCAATGCCAGGTGCCTGGTCGAGCTGGTGGGCCATAGGCGCAGCATAAAATAGTGGTGATTTAACCAGGAAACATGTGATTTGGTCAGTTGAAAATTGGGATTTCAGCCACGTAAATGGAGATATTTGATGGGATGTGGGGACATCACCAGCAAAATGATGAGAATTTTGCAGATATACCCTCTGGTAAATTAACATAGCTATTGAAAATGGCCATAGAAATAGTGGATTTACCCATTAAAACCAGTGATTTTCCATAGCTATGTTAGTTTACCAGAGGGTAATGCAGATATAGGCAGCAAAATCCGCGTACCTGAACGGGGCAGAGTCGTTCCGTTGTTCGAGTATCAGAGGGGGTGTTTTTAGCTCGTTTTTTTCGGCAGCCGTGGAGTCCAGCGGATGGTTCACCATTTGTTGCGCTTCGGTTATGGGATGTACCCTCTGGTAAACGTTTACATAACTATGGAAAGATCCACCATCTTTCATGGGAAAATCCACTATAAATGGTGGATCTTTCCATAGTTATGTTAGTTTACCAGAGGGTAGATGGATTTTCGACAGATCCACTAGTCACTAGAAGTTAAACTCTTAGGGGATCAAGGATCAACAACCACCAAGTGGATTCAAGTGGATTTACTGTCGCTGAATTTTTGGGAACTGCCAGGTCATGGGGAATACCGAATACCGGAATACCCAAAGCTACAGTTCGGCTCGGCTTGAGCTACCAGAACATGTGGACCTCAAGTAACCCCCCCCTGAGTGCTTAAGTGAAAGTGGATTATTGTTTGCTATTCAGGAGGACTGTTCATCTGACCAACTATCACAAATGAGAGCAATCGCAATTTTGTGGGATCCAAATAATGTGTCCACTCACTGCCATAAAAATCATGGGTTTTCCTCATTAGCAATCTGAAAGTCAAAGGACTCCGGGGCTACCCTAAGAGTGGCAGTCCACCATTAATCCACTTGGTGACCAACTATTTTTTTGACATTCTTATTGTTATGAAATATGAAACTGTAGATTTCGGAGGTTTTCCAGTCACCTTAAGGGTTGGATGACCAGTATGGGGAGCTGATGACCATTTCGCATGGTTCGCAAGGTCCCGCAACCTGTGGTATCACATGTATGAGCATGAGCAGTTTCGAAAAAAGCGTTGATCGATGATTTCTTTAAGGATTGTATTAGCACAAGAAAATATCCCTTGAAAAATATTTGGGATTATCATGGATTTTCATGTTATCCAAAAGGAGGATTCCAACAATGAACACCAACCACTATTATACCATGCATTTTCACCATACTGTGAATCATTTGTGGATTAGACTACCATTACCATGTTTATTTTTTTTAAAACACAGTTCTAGATATTACATTAAGATACCACACAGCAAACCATTATTCTCTTTTGCAAAAGTTCAACTGACACTGCTCAGTCGTGGATTCTACGCATATTTCCAGTCCCCGTGCTTGGCATGGTACCCGCAGTACTTGGATGTGCATTCCAGCTAGTATTTCTTAAGTAGCTGGTATTAAGAATCAATGGTCAATGAGATAAACAGGGTTTATTCATATAATACTGGGCTTATCTTACTTGAACTGTTTAACTGGTGGTTTGTAAAATGTGTATCCCTAAAGTATCTATGCATCCCACATAGCAACTTATTCAACAGTTTTTATCCATATCCCATCTACCCTCTGGTAATTTAACATAGCTATTGAAAATGACCATTTATAGTGGATTTTCCCATTAACAATTGTGATTTTCCATAGTTATGTTAGTTTACCAGAGGGTAATATCCTTACTGTATATCTCATTCCTTACTGTCGTGGCTATGATCCCTGCCTCCAGGCGACTTCGACTTTGTGCCCTGGCCGAAGAACGGCCAAATCGACATCTTAGACGCCTTTCAACACATGTTGAAAGCCAGTGTCACTTGGAAGCGGACCACGGAAACACTTCAGTTGTGAGGTCCTGTTGGGAGACTTATGGAGACTTGGACCACGGCGAGTCTCGGTGTTTTTTATCTGGGCCTCTCCAATGCTTTTCAAGTTTCGACATAAATCGCCGTAAAGATTAGGGGAATTTTCGATGGGTAACAGTAGCTGTTGAGAACCAGCTTTCTTCACAGCCTGATTTTGAGGAGACCTGACAGGTTAATTATTTGCAGCTTAAGGATATAGACATTTCAGGTTTTGAGCAATATTGTTTGGTCAAAGACAGGGGGCACCCTGAAATTGAGGTGAAGTCAACCAAAAAGATCAAAACTTGATAGCGTTTGATACTGCCTATGCATTTGTACTTGGGTTGTTATTCAATCAAGTAAATTCTCCGCTTTATATATGTGCTTCTAGGGACTCATAGAGGAATACTGTATATGACGATATGCACTTGTATGACGCGGGTTGTACATGCTGGATGCGGATTGATTCCATATGATAGGATAAAATGACCAGAACTGGAACGTCAACCCCCAGATGAATGAAATTTCTTTGATTAACTAGGGGGTACCCCGCCAAATAGTGCTGCCATCTACTACTAAACTGGTTTACATATATATAATGATACATATTGTAACCCTCAAATGATCACTATCATCATTACTCTACTAACATGGTTTATATACATACATAATCATACATACATATATATATACATATACAATCATATACACATCTGATAGCCTTCAAATGTTACTATCATTATTTCTATCATAAGAGATCTCGTCATCATCACCCTGACCCCAGCGGCAATGACCATTCCATTGCGGGACGGGACCATACTAGTGGCATGGGAGCACGGGACACAGAAGCGACCTCACTGTTCTCCCTCACTATAACCATAGTTACTAAGGGGAATCATCCCAAAATGGCCGCAAGATTCAGGTTAGTGAAATATTATAATTTACCCATATATATATAATAACAAATAATGATAATAATTAATAATGATAAGAATAATATATATATACACATCAAAACTAAGTTTGCTTTGATATCAAACTGATATAGATGATATAGTGGCTATTTCAGCATAGAGCCACTTAAAATCCATGATCACGTTGATATCTGTTGATATATATATATATATTATATATCCACAGTCAGTAATTTCCACAGTGGCTAGTTAAGATCCATAGGTATTCACTTCAAATACCCTCTGGTAAACTAACATAGCTATGGAAAATCACTATTTTGAATAGGTAAATCAACGAACTAAACAAGGGATCTCTGGATTGGTTGAAGGGAACATCTTAACCGGAAACCCATGGGTTTTCCACATGGAAATATAGACTGGTTGGTGGTTTCAAACATGGCATAATCCTTCCCATTGACGAACTCCATATTTTTCAAGATGGTTATTGCACCACCAACCAGATATTATATGCTTTATATTAGACATATATATATATATATATTCATTTAATTTTATGTAGAAGTTTCCGCATCAAATTTTCCTTCAACCAATCCAGCGGAGATTTTCCTGCCTCCAGGTGACTCATGCTGGAGAATCGGGGCTGCCCAGCAGTGCCATCCAACACGCAGGCACGGAGCTGGGACCTTGGGAACCATGGCGCCATGCCGAGACAGGGTAGATTTATATTCCACCATTAGTGGACATAGTCTGATGATATATACATATGTATGTATAGATATATATATATATATACAGTTGTTACTGTATGTGTTTAGTTATTTTGTTGTACAAGAATGGGACAATATGCAACTATCTGACATGGTGACGTCAAATTGGATGGTCATGTCCAAGAATAGTGGAATATGATATAGATACACGTTTTATCTATCGTGGTATATATATATATATTTATTTCTGAAGGAAAAAATGGATATGTCATCCCCAGAAAGATGCAACAGGAAATCAAACCCCTTCTAATTTCATGAGGTCTTGCTTTTCTACCTTTTTAAAGGTTACTACAATAATCTATAATAGAATAATATATGTATATATTATATACATATCTAACCCACATGGTGTTAATGAAAAGCCATGGGTTTCCCAGTTTTTTCGTGGTCGCAATCCGACAAGGTGCTCGAATGTTGGACCGAGACTGGGAAAAGAACCTCGACGAGACGTCGACGGCATGCGGTTTCTACGTTGGACCTATGGAAATGGGTGATTTATGAACCAAGATATGATATGGGGGATCCCCAAGTCACCACAGGTTTCAATGCTAGAATGGTCTAATTTGGATGATACTTCTAAGATATGGGGTTTCTTAAGTCATGGGGGGCTTTCATAGATGTGTCACAGTACGCTATCCACAAAGGGAGTATCATACACTATATTTATATATACACACATATCTATCTAAAAACCAATATATATATATGATATATATATATATATATGTATACATATATATATATAGTACCTATTATTCAAATGTAATGACAGCATTGATGCAATTGGGTTTCCTTAGATGGAGGGCATCTCTTCTCACTATCTACGATCTCGCGAAAAGTTTTAAACCTAGCGGTGGTGCGCGCATGATAGATAAGAATGGATGAACATTCGCCATTTAGTTCGATGGTTTACCAAAACATTAAACTGAGCGAATTGACCTTGTTTGGGCTATGGGAAGAGGGTACGGTAAGCTGGCCCCCCCGGGAATTTAGCATCACAAGGAAACATTCCCAATAACTAAATCATGCAGAAATCATCCAGACATGTGGGTTTTAAACTATTTTCATGGATTTCCCACGGCCATGTCAGAAATTGAGGATGTATTTCGCTACCCGTCCCTGGTATTTTTTTCAGCTCAACACACAGTTCCGAGTGCTTCCAACCTCAAGATCTACCAACATATCCTGTTCAGTTTTTTATCCGCGATTTTTTTTTAGATACCCTCTATTTCCCTCTGGTAATTTTACATAGTTACGGAAAAATCACCATTTCTAACGTATATACAGTATATATATATAGGTAAATCATGGAACTAAATGGCCGTCTTGCGGGAGGGTTTCTTTTCCATGAATCACCATGATTCACCATTAATCATCCTGAAAACCATGACTAACAATGATAATCCATGGCCTATTCTATATCTGAATGGCTATCCAGTTATCCAATAGGATTACCCTCTGGTAATTTAACATAGCTATTGAAAATGGCCCATTTATATTTGATTTACCTATTAAAAATGGTGATTTTCAATAGCTATGTTAGTTTACCAGAGGGTATCATGGCTAGAGGACATGTGAAACTCTGAGAGTTCATCCTGCACAGACGTGGCCAATCCCTGGTGGTTTTCTCTTCAAACGCACAAAAAGTCACGTGTGGATGGTGGGACATAGTTATGTACTCCAAACAACTAAAAGAATAAAGGGAAAAAACTGGATGGTTGAATGTTGTACATGTGTCCTTTCTTTCATTTTTTGTTCACCCACACATTCTCATGAAAATGCCTGAATCATTCATGGAAAGTGGGGATCAACAAGAACAATCTTGCAGTGCCAGCCAGCCATAGCCATGGCCAACCAGGTATTACCACACCTGGCAACTGGAGTGGGATAGCGACTTCATCCAGATTCGTGTGGATGGTGAAACGCTGCTGAAGGTGCTATCAGTGTTGGTTTTCCATGAAGATTCTGGCTGAAGCTTGGTGATTGATGGGTACCGTTGCGGTACCAACCTCAAGATACAGCTAGCATGAGCATCATTAGCGGCCAGCAAACATGTGGGATATGATGGGATAATGATGGGGATATGATGCATCAGTGGTTGGTTGGACAAACAATGGGATACCCGACCTTTTTTCGGAGCTTGGAACCCGGTTTTGCATCTTAAAATTGCATGTTTGTTTCTTTTGTTCTTCTAAAACTTATATCAAGTAAGTGTATGTATAAATCAAATACAATCATATATATATATATATTATAAGCCTAAGCTTTTGCCCCCATGGCGATATAAGAACATATTTCACTATAGAGAGCTACATGGTCCAAAGTCTAAAACCTTTTCACTCCCATTGCGTTTTCGTTCTCATTATATCCGCACAAAATGGTTGGTTCTATACCCATATTCTTGTTTGTTCCATGACAATTTATAGCTATTCATAGATGGTTAGTTGAATCACAACAATTTCATTTCATTTCTATATTCGTGGGTTTTATAGTAGATGTGGTATATACGCTAAGCCTTCGTTTACCATGATTTCTAAGGTTTCCTAGCCATTTCATAACTATATATTCCCATTAAATTATATCCCTATGTTTCCATAAGCCATTTTCCATAAAATCCCCTTAAATTCACATCCAAATGCCATCAAAATCACATTTAAATCCCCTAAAATCACATTTTGTTCAATGAAATCCCATTAACATCCCCTAAAACTACGTACCTTTTGCCGATGTTTCCCTTTTTTTGGCGGGCCATGTTTCGCCTCGGTGGCAGGTGGATCTCAAGGTGGCGGACGCCGTGCGTACCTCGTGGCCCAATCCCTTCACGCGCGCCAAGTGCCTTGGTGAAGATTTGTTCGGGAAAAAACACATAAGATTGTGAAAAAATGTGGAATAAAAAGGCTTGTTTAATTATATTTTTATGGATTATCATCTATTATGGATTATGGATATGGATTATCATCTATAGATATATTATATAATAAACTGATTGGTTTGGAACATGAATTTTATGCATTTCCATTCAGTTGGGAATGTCATCATCCCAACTGACGAACTTATATTTTTCAGAGGGGTTGAAACCACCAACAATTAAAGGGTTGTTTTGTTATTACATTTATTTTTCTGGAGCCATGACAAAATGGTTGGTTCTACAGCCCTATCCTTGGTTCTTGTTGTAAAAAGGATCATGAATTGTTTGTAAATGAGAAAAGTTGAAGGTTGGAATCCCATTGGCCTGGTGGGGCCCAGTTATGTTTGTTAAGAAAGAAAATGGTTGGCCCGACCTTAACTGTGAAATTAGCAGGTTATAAGTTATATGTTTATTAATTGACGACATGATGAAACTATATAAGTGGTTGTGAAATATGGTTATTTGCCGATTATTAACAATTAACAAACACTAATCATTTGTTTATTTGATGTTTGATAAACAATGGTTAAACATTAAACGTTGATAATTATCGAAATGTATGCTTGATAAGTCTGACAGTTTAAATTGACTGTTGATCAATCATCTATGATCACAAGAAATGGTGGACTTACAAGCAGCAATAAATATCGGATTATATGGGATATTTTTGGGATACCTTCAGGAGATAATTGATAATTGATAGATGATGGTTGATATGTCTGGGTCCACCTTGGGTCAGTCGATCTTTACCACAACACGTTTGCAAAGAAAATGATCGTGACACATCTACCATCTCTAGATCATGTTCCTAAATTTTGGATTTTTCATAGAGTATCCATCTTGGTTCACCGATGTTGAACCTAAAGACAGGATTATTTTTCTGGTTCAAAGTGATCTTTTGTTCTATCCATTTCGAAGGATGGGATTGTTGGTCCTGGCCCTTTGAGTCCAACATAGTGTAGAAATCCTTGGTGGCTTTGCCGACCAGCTGACCAGGAAGTTCTTCCTGATCCTGAACTTGGCCATCGGAGGTCATGCCGGAGGACAAGCGGAACGGGGCCGGAACGGGGCCGGAACGGGGGGACGAAGTCCGATCAGCTTTTGATCACCTTTTTGATCTTTTTGGGGGTTCGAAGCAGTGACAAAGTAGGAGAACGCTCCACTGTTTGGCTTGATTTTCTGGAAAAAAAATAACAACAACCATCATCACACCATGGTGAACGTGCCATGCCAAGCCATAGGGGTTTCCATTGGTTTCGGGGGATGCAGCGGACCCTGAAGTATGGTAGTTTTCATCGGTTAGTTTATGGAAGCCAGTCTAATATAATTCTGGAATATTGACATGGAGCATTTCATAGCATTTCCATTTCTTTTAGGGTTGCGCAACCAACTTATGTACAACTTATGTAAGGTCAATGAGTGTCACTTTTGGGGAAATGGGTGATGATATTACTTTATCTAACCAATTTAGCCTCCTATCTCGAGTCGATTCCTGAGCTCCTCAGCTGGGTAGCTAGTCACTGGGATCAGAGGAAGTCGAGCGAACGAGCCATAGATTCCAACTTCAGATAGTACGAGTATGTAGGAGCATATCCTTATAGCAGCAAAGTCGATTGTTTTTTTTGTCATCTACCGATACCGTTTTTACCCTGTTGGATATATATATATATCCAATGCTTTTTGTTGCTACGACTCAATCTCCGAGAATCTCTGCTGGTCTTCAGGAGATGCCACGTTGACAGAGTTTCCCATGGAACTTCGTGTGGATTACATCCGCGACCCGGCAACGCTTGGTGGGTTTCACCATGAAAACTGCTGATTTAAAGGGATATATATATATAGAATTATGTATGGATTTATTATGTATATATATATATATATCTAAGGAATCACCATGATGGTGAGGTATATTTCTACACCAACTTATATTTCTACACCAACTTATATTTCTACACCAACTTATATTCATCATATATAGTAGGATTTCGTTAGCTAAGTTGGTGGTTTATAAATGTTTATAACTCATACATTTCACTGTGGTTCTACCATCAATTCCTCATGAACACTGGATTTCATAGGAATTCGTTCGATGAGTTGGTGATCACAATCCGTTGGTGAACATACCCTCTGGTAAACATACAAAAAGCTATGGAAAATCACCATTTTTAATGCGTAAATCAACTATAAATGGCCATTTTCAATAGTTATGTTATGTTAGTTTACCAAAGGATAACTCATATTTCACGGGTTGGCAGTGCAATACCAACCTGGTGACGGGTCTGGCAGCGCAGGCCACCACGGATATGGGGCGTTTTCACCATGGTGAAGTATCGCCAGTGGAAAGTGCACCCCTACCTGGTGAACTTATGATTACCCTCTGGTAATTTAACATAGCTATTGAAGCTATTGAAAATGGTGATTTATAGTGGAATTACCCATTGAAGATGCTGATTTCCCATAGTTATGTTAGACCCAGATCGCCCACTTCCGCAGTGCTGAGGTGTGTTTCAGAAGAGGGGCTACACATCCTGAAGGCTCCCAGACAACTTCCGACCCAGTCCGCGGCGAAAAAAGTTGGGCTGCCTGTTGCGGATGCCTGGGTAAAGCTGGGCCACTGGCGGATTGTTTTCTCAGAGATATGGTGGAATGTGATCAATATGCCCGGTGAATCGATGTGATTTTCTTAAGCTTAGCATTTTTTCAACATGAATCATCAACCAAAAACTTGTTGTTTTAGACGCCCCTGGAAGATGACGCGAAAAGCTCCTGGATTGATGTGTGCTAGTTTCAAATCACGTTCGAAAAACCCCGCCGGCAAACAATAGATGGCAATTGGACATCCATCGAACTTGTTGTCAAAACGGTAATTGTACCCAAATTTCCACCAACATTGAATATCCATCAAACACCAAAAATCCGCAACAGATTGATTGTTTCCCGAAATTGGGGCACCCCAAAACCATTGTTGTCACTCGTAGAAATGATACTTTTTGGATGCTTTGAGTCCCAATTTTAGGACCCCCACAAGTTTGAGGGGATAGTAAATCAACATAGCCATAGCCATAGCTATGGAAAATCAATGAAAATCACAATGTTCAGTAGGTAAATGATCTACAACTGGGTTATTTTCCATAGCTAGCTGTTAAATAACCAGATGGTTCACATGCGGAATGGGCAATTGCCTGATTTGACTATCCCATCCGCCCAACTGAGATGGACCCTGTCTTTGTCCGAGGGGATGATAGCCATGATAGCCATTAGCTAAGTGATTAATGGATCAACTGTCAACTTAATGGATCGTGAAGGGGGATCCTATAGTAATTTCATCTCTCTGACTGCGGCAGTGAAATGGGATTGGCTGGATTTTTTGTAACAGACATTAGCATCCCCGAAAAACTCCAAGCATCTTGGGATTGTATAAACATGATTTACCCTCCAAGAAACAGACATGATGTGGGATTTACCCACCATAAATGTAGATGATCTTCCGAAGCCGTACGAAGCTTCCACATCGTTTCCAAGCTTAGGAGCCACGCAAAATTCATCCAAGGCCTAGCAGAAGTGGTGATCCTAAGTGCTAAGTGGGTTACCCTCTGGTAAACGTTTACATAGCTATGGAAAATCACCATTTTTAATGGGTAAATCCACTATAAATCACCATTTTCAATAGCTATGTTAGTTTACCAGAGGGTACTTCTGACATATGGCTAAAATTATGTTTCATGTTTAGTTGCTAAGTAGTTGTTCACCAACTCTATGGACCATCCAAGTACTAGGGATTATCTACATACTACAAGCCATCTACTGGAAAAAAAATATCAACAGCTGGTAAAGTTTATGGTTTGCTTGGTCAATGGGTTATTTTTTAAGATACATGGACTACTCTACCGTCCATTTATGGAAAACCAACCATTTATGGATCGTTTCCGAGGTCAATCTTATCAAGGGTAATCCCCCTTTTTTTAAAGATACCTATGTAGGGTTGGCCATCAAAGAGCCGGAGGAGCTTCTTGACAGCAGATTTTGGGCTTGGGTCTCATAGTGCTGGGCTAATCATCTAGAAATGGGGGATACCAGGATACTACGAAATGTCCATTTCAATGAGGAAGAATAGTTTCTAAACCATTGTGAATTTGGAGGTGCCCAATTTTTGAGACATACCGATTCCCACCAACCAATTCTTGCTCAAGCTGCAGAAACCACAAAGAAGATGAGGGGCCCACAGCAAATCCCCAGCGGATGGGCAGCACGTGACAATTGACCATTGATCGAAGTTGACGAAAAAGCAAAAGTAAAACATGTGACTTAGAACCTCTATATACATCTATAATTCTATATACATATGCGAAATGTGTCCAACCTGGAGATCATAATTTCAACATGGTCCGACATTACTCCATGCCTTTCAGGCACTTGCACTTGCGGGTGAAGCCACAGCCATCCACAGCTTCCGGCGCGGAAAAACCGTGTGAAAAACCCATGCCGAGCGGCATGCCTAGAGGTCCTCGTCGTCGAAGCCACCAACGCAACGGGAGGGGGATTTGCCAGTGAGACTTGGGTTTTGGCCGAAAGTTGGGATGCAACCAGTGAAAATGGGGAGCCACTTAGCCAACAAAAATGTGGTCTTGGATGATGAATTCAGTCAAACATTACGCTTATTGATGGTCATTTGGGTCCTGAATCTTGTTCCACAATTGAAAGATGAGGAAGATGGCTGGATGTGGGCCAACGTTGCCGGGCCCTTCAGTTGAATAATAAATGCAAATAAACAAATCAGCTCTGTCATGTCCCAAATTTTCGAGGAAACCCCTTTCTTTCCACTGGAGAATGATCATCTTTTCATATCTTTTCCATAAATGATGATTTAGGGGGTATATACCCCATTTCTAGATTTGCCCATAGGAAAGGAAAAACATCACCTAATTTTGTTTAGACCCTAAGCTGTCCCAAATTTTGGGCCCCAAATAATTTTGGATACCAAGTGTTGGATGATTGGCAGGACCAAGTAATTGATTTACATCATCGCCGTCACAGGGATGATGGTTTGTGTTGGGCTAACTATCCCCAAAGTGCTAAAAGTTAAGTCAGTTACATTTCGCATGAGAATAACATGAATTCACTTGGTCTCCCAAGGATTTTGGAAATGATTTTTGAAGTAGAATCGTTTCCCACCAAACTCGTATAATACCCTTCCCATGTCATCCCATGAAACTGGATATGTGAATGGGTTTCCCATATCATCCCACTTGGAAATGTGAATCTCCCATATAAAACTATATAACTGGGAAATTATATCAGTTATAAGTTATATATATATAAAACAATATATAAACCATATATAACACCACATATAAACCATATTCAGAGGATCATCCCATATAAAAGCCATATAAAACCTCCATATCCAACTGGGATGATACAGCCTGGTTGCAGACCCCGGCATGGCGATGGCAGAGGGCCCGCCCAGCGGATATGAGCCATGCCAGGCGGGAACGGCGGGAACGCGGCGCCAAAATTCCTTAAGCATCTGATATCAATTACCCTCTGGTAATTTAACATAACTATGGAAAGATCCACCATTTTTCATGGGAAATTTCACTATTTCTATGGTGATTTTCCATAGTTATGTTAAATTACCAGAGGGTAAGGAACATAACATGATTTGGCAATTTGCAAGGAACATGAATGAACATGATATCAATATCATTAATATCATTAATATCAGTAGTATCATTAATATCATTAATATGGAATGTCCATGGTCATTTCTCACGTCATCATGTTGACCAAGAGAGTAACAGTAGTTGGGAAGTGGAAATAGATGGAAATAGTACATCACAGTAACTCTCCGGGAGCTGAAGGCTTCAGACCGCTCCTGCTATGCGGGACAGCTGGCAAAACATTGGCACAGCTGCGCGCACGAAAGACGCAGTCATGTGGTAAAGTTCCTGCCATTTGGGACTGCAGCGGGAGGTTGCCGGACGCATTGTCCCAGCTTGGGGAATGGGTGGCTCGACAACCCAGGAGCTGATTCAGTCATTGAGCCAGTCAGACATGCAGTCATCCATTCACTTAATCATTGATTAAGCAAAAGCTTCATTCATTCATTTATTCTTTCTTTCTTTCATTGTTTCTTTCATTCTTTATTTCATTCACTCAGTCACTCATTCAGTCATTCGTCTCTGCGTTCATTTACTCACTCACCCACGCAGGCGCTGGCTCACTTGGTCATTCGCTTGTTCACTCATTGCCTCACTTGTTCACTCATTCACCCATCCACCCATTCATTCGTTTATTCGTTTATTCAGTCAGTCGATCATTCGTTGATTCATTAAGACATCGATTCCTGGTGACTTACTCCTTGCTCCATTGATTCATTATTATTTTATTCATTTGTTCACCCCTGTAATTTATTTTTCATTCCTTCATTGATTCTTGCACGTCATTGATTTTGTTTGCCTTCATGCCATTTCATTTGGCATCTCAACAATCATTTGCTCATTCGTTGCTGCACCATAACCTCAACCGTTTAGCGTTGCTGAATGTCACAGACATTCCTATACGCCATTGGCTTCTTATAGTCATTGTTCTTTTTCGAAACTTCCGCGTTGGCACGGCCGGGCACTAGTGGTAAATGACATTGTAAATCCATATCAAGATTTGTGCTCGCAACAAGTCCGCATTATTCTGCAGGTTTTGGTGTTATATTTCTTGTTTGGTTGCTACTTCACCCTGATACTGTACATGATAACTGATTCCAAGTAAAATAACCTCTGGTTATTTAACATATCCATGGTTTTTCGATGGCCTATCGATGGTTTACCTATTAAAAATGGTGGATCTTTCCATGGTTCAAGCTCCATGTTGAACGGATCGGATCTCCGTGGTTGCCGGTGGGTTCTCAGCCCCTTTGGGGTGTCGGCTGCAGGGCAACGAGCGTGGCGGCGGATCCATGGTGGGATGCTTAGTGTCGTGGGAGCGACTGGAAAGGGATCCCACAGATTTTTTCGGTGCCAACCACTTGGAAAGGTGGGGTTCACGGGGTTGTATGGGAAAATACATGGAAAATATGGGTTGATTAGCAAATGGTTGAATTTTATGATCATGCAATATTTACTCCGAGTGTTAGTTAGGATATCATCCTTAGATTATATGGGAATAGATGGGCTATTAATCACCAAGATATTAGGGACAACCATTAATGGTGGTGTTTAACCAGCAGTAGTGATTTTACCAGCAGCAATGGGGATTGCAGTGGATCTGATGGAAAGAAAAGATCAAACAAAGGCGGGTTTTATAATCATGAAAAATGGGGAATGAATGAGCAAAAACATGATGGATTACTGGAATACTGGAATATCATCATTAAATGATAGAGTAGTGTGTTCAAACATGGGTCATGCAAACAATGGACATGAATCCATATCCATCATCCATGTTTATCATCCAGAAATCCATAACCATCACAACTATCCGTTTAACAAAGGCTGTTTTGTTTTTTTAATATTTCTTAACATACCCTCTGGGAAGCAAACATAACTATGGAAAATCACCATTTTTGATGGGT